ATGAAGCTCAGCTGCAGCCGGTGATCAACGAGATTAGCCGAGCGCAGGCGGGGGCGGAGTTGAAAACGGAGCCGTCAAGACGGACAGCTGGACACTTCGGGACTCAAAGTTGCTGCAGTCATGATGACCGATAACATGGCGTCATTATATTTTTTTGTTATTTTTATTTATAACAACAAAACATTTACAAATAAAACAGAATACAGTTTCTACAAACTGTAGTTCCTTTTTAAACAATAAGAGAGAATTATGAATAAAATATATAACAAATGCATGAGAGAAATAAGAGGAAATGAGAGGTTAATATAAACATAAAAACGAACAGGTCTATTAAATACAAAGCAATAAGCATAAATTCTAGGAGTTAAACATCAATCTTTAGGCTAATACTTCTTGTTTGAATATGCTAAAAAAGGGTTTACATATATGTACATTTATAGATATAAAAATTTCCCATGTAAAAAGCAAAACAAGGTGTTTTGATTAGGTCTTAATAAATGACATTATTTTGGATAATGAATGAATTTTCAAAAAAGCATTTTAATCCAAAAAGATTGTGTTGAAAAGAACAAAAGGTGAAATAAGTGAGCGATGTAGAAGTTTCCCAGAAAGAGCAGGTAGCCTTTAAACTGCTAGACAGGAAATACAATATATATTTATATTATAATAATAAAACCATTTTATAATTATTTAATAAAATAGTTCTTTACTTTAATTTGTTTAGAGAGCTTTAGGGTGGCAGGATCAATGATGATGATTATTTTACTTTAAGTCTGTAAGACTTATTTAGGTTATTCACTAAAATATACACTAAAATATAACATTTAAATCGTTCATGGAGCTGAATGCAGTAAATAGTCTGTACAAAAAAGTTAGAAATAAACCTTTGCAAACAAGCCAGCCTTTATAACCTGATTATTTAACAAAAGATGATTACTGCAGTAAATATTGTAGTCTTTTAATAAGCAAGATGTGTACAGGATAGAGAGTGTGTGAAAAGTGAATTGTTTGTTTTGAAACTTTTGAATCGGAATTTGTCCAATTATAAACCCGAAATACACGTGTTTGTTGTCATGTGGTGAACTCGGCCAATCGTGTAATATCGGTGTCGTCATCAAAGCTCCTGCAGTCGCTCTTCAGAAGCTGCGCGGTCTGAGTTTGCCGTCTGATCTCGGAGCGCTGTCGCGGTACTTTGATGCCACATGTGACAGTCACGTGGCGTCGGCGCAGCATCAATCCGGACAAGATTTCTAACCAGAATGCACCGCTTTAAGACAGATTTCGATCGATCTGCGCAGCGCTGCATGAAGTCGAACGCACCTCTTGTCTTGTCATGAACATGCGGTTAATGAGTTCTCTCATTGGCTGCATGTTCTTGTCCTGTTTTATGTAAGCGCAAGGCTTGTGTTGTCTCTCTGTGTCATGCGCTCTCCCGTCTATTGTCTAGTCCCACCCTCCTTGTTAACTCATTATTAGTTAGTCATGTTCACCTGTGTGCCAATTTACCTTTTGCTTTATAATCCCCTCATGTTTTCAGTCCGGTGCCAGTTCGTTGTCTACACTCCCCGTGTTCCTGCTCCAGTCTTGCCTTGCCTTGCCTTGTCTTGTCTTGTCATGTCAGCCCAGCCAAGTTTGTGTGTTTTGTTAATGTTTTCCCCCTCGGGGTAGTTTTGTTTTGCCTTTTATTTTTATTTTATTATTAATAAATACCCATTATTTCTTTGCCCTTGAGTCCTCGCTTCTTTTCCCCACCACGAACGTGACAAGTCTGAGGCTCATCAATATTATCAGAGCTGCTGAAATCCTCTTTATTTCATGTCAACAGTTTCTGTTTTCACCTCATTATATTGATGTCTTCAGATCTACGAATAAAGTTAACTGTGTTAGTTTCAACAGACCTGAGGAAAATACATGTTTACCAATTGTATTGTCTACAACAGTGGCTCTCAAACTTTTTTTCAGCAAGTACCACCTCAGAATTTTTTTTTTGATCTGTCAACATTGGGATATAAAATACGGGATACCTCCCGGTTCACCCAACAACCATTACAAATACGGGGTGTAAATGAGCTTCAAATGATAAAATACATTAGCAATTTGAAAATAAATTAAAAGGTTTAGCCTATTAAAAGTAAATTTCCTGATGCATAGTCATCGCATAGTTAAAAGTGTTTACATTTTTTTACTTTAATTATTCAGCGATTCCTCTGTGTACCACTAGAAGGAAGCACCACAGTTTGAGAACCACTGGTCTACAAGAGAAAACTATCATAATATCATTTATTCAATCAATCAGTGTAAATTAAGCAGATTACCATGTTTCTTCCTTCAGTTCAGCTGTAAATACTGGAATATTCCCATCAGTCTACAAGTGAAGACGAGCATCAGACCATCAGGAAGAAGAGAAATCTGCAAAGACAGAGTTTATTAAAGGAGAAAATGAGTGATCCAGAGCTCTGCAGAATTAAAGAGGAAGAGACTGAAGAAATAATAGGTTTGTGTTTATTCATTACTCTTCAATGTGTGGCTGAACAGCAGTGAGGTTGTGAATCTTTTAGCAGTCTAAATCGGCTAAAAAATCCATATTGGTGCATCCGTAATAAATGGTACTTCTATGTATTCTAAATATTAGCAATATGACATTAGCAGTTTTAGGTGAATCATATGTAAACATCTATTTTTTTATGTCGAGCGCTGCTAGAGCGCCTTCTGCTGTTAGCAAACTGTTAGCAAAACCCAGCCTCCAAAAATGTAACTCATTTACTTCATTTCAGATGTGATTGTGAAGGAGGAGAGTGAAGAACTGAGTGACGATGAGGAGAAACATCATGTCAAAAGTGAAGAAGAAACTCAATCCGAGACTGAAGATAGCTTTTTAGCCGTAAATGGTTTCATCTGCTCTCTGTGTGGAAAGAGTTTCAGGCGTAAATGCGATCTCAATCGCCACATGAGGATCCACACTGCAGAGAGACCCCACAAGTGTTCACACTGCAACAAGGGATTCAATGATGCAGGATACCTGAAAACACACGAGAGGATCCACACCGGAGAGAGACCGTACACATGCAGTCTGTGTGGGAAGAGTTTCACACAATCATCAAGCCTTAACACACACATGCTGATCCACACTGGAGAGAAAAAACACAGATGTGGTCACTGCGGCAAAACATTTTTAAGGTATACCGGTCTGAAGAACCATGTTATAATTCACACCAACGAGAAGCCTTATTCATGCCCTGAGTGCGGGAAGAGTTTCAGACATCTGTCAAATTTAAGAGACCATGAGAAGATCCACACTGGTGTTAAAGCGCACGTGTGCTTAGAGTGTGGCAAGAGTTTTATTACAGCTCGACAATTGAAACGACACCAGACGACTCACTCCTTTTAATTGAATGGAGAATTGGGAACAACAGGTTGAAACTGTTGTGCTGACTGAAGAGGCTTAGATGAAGTATGCCGATGACGAAGCTTATTAGTGTAAGTAGGCGCCCAGACTATTCAAACCTTTAAAAACAAACAGCAACTTGTACTGAATCCTACATTTGACTGGAGTCAGTCAAGAGACAATAATACTGATCAGCCCCCGTTTACACGAATGTGTTTTAGTTTGAAGTTTTGCTACTGTTACGCTATCCATCCACACTACGCCGAGCGCCGAAAACAGAGCACGCTGGAGAGGCTATTTTCATTCTGAAACGCTGCTGCTCCGTCTCAGTGTGGATGGGGGCAAACGGAGACATCTGAAAACGGAGGCGGGGCTGCTGAGATTCGCTACCTGATTGGGGCTTTTGCATCATTGCGTATCCTTCCCTTATTCGTCAAGCCCCTATCACATGACTTTAACACTTGGCTTTAACGCTACCGGAAGACAGCAGACCAGCCTTCAATGTAAACAACAACATGGACACAGAAATGGGAGCGTTGTTTGCACTATTGTCTGTTTTAGGCGGCATTGTGCAGTTATTCATTTTTACGTTTAGTAACAACTCAACCTCGTCGTCTGTCCACAAAAATACCTCTCTTGCTTTCTTTGCCATCGCTTTCATTGTTCAACCGGCGTTTGTTGACTAACAATAACCAAATGCCGAGTGAGACACATGCTTCCTGTTTTTACTAGAACGTGCATGCCCAGAGTGCGCGAATGGTCTCGTGATATACGTTTTTGGTGGCGTAGTGTGGATGGAGATATGTTCAGAGACGCTAGGTGAAACGCTAGAGTGGACGCGGATCGTTTTTGATCCAAAATGCCGTTTTAAAACTAAAACGCACTAGTGTAAACGGGACCTCAATTGCTAGCAGATTTCTTAGTCTTGTTAGGCTCTAGAGCGGGTGCAGATATATCCTCACCTGTACAATCGCTCGTGGAGAGATTTTGACTTTTTTTTTTTTTTATGAGTCTTTTTTATGAGTTTGCGCACACCGACCGTGCCATTCTCCATTTGTCCATGACAAAGTGAAAACAGTGATTCTCGTGAAGGACATTCTCATGTTTGCTTAATCCAGTGATGGTGAAATGAAGCTTCCTGAACCAGTGAACTGTTTGACTCAATTGTATCGAGAAAAAAAAAAAAGGTTTGTTACTCAGCTTTCCAAATCAGAGCTCGATGAAGACCTCTGCTGGTTAAAGTGTGGGAAAGCATTGTGTTGCAAAAATGTCAAATGTTCACAATCCGCTTGTTAAGTGTGACATCACGCTAAGCGGCTTCCGGGTCCAATAGCTCAATCAAACTGTATGGGGAGACTCATCAATTAGTAATAATAAACGTTCACAAAGCGCTCTAATGGCTCGTTTCCACTGACTGGTATAATACTGTACGGTACTGTATAGGTTAGTACGGGTCACCTTTTTCAGGTTTGCATTTCCACTGCTAAAAGGGTACCAATGGTACTCTTGTGGTGGGTGTGGTGTATGGCAGAAAGTTTCAGTCAACGTCATTTCCGCTCGAGAAAATGTCTAGAGTAAAACTGTACGAGTCGTTCACATATTATATGAAAGCACATTTTCCGGCGTCACTCTTGCATTTCTCAATTTCTGACAGGATCGGGTTTCAAAAAAATGACAATAATTAAGCGCACGTTATTATCATCAGCTCAAAAAGTTTGTTATTTCAGATATATACGCGCGGCAAGCGCAAGCTAGAAAGTGAAACCACTCGCGCTTCAGACTGGCTTGTAAAAAACTATGGGCCACTGTGTAAAATCTCCTCAAGACGACGACGACAAGGTTTGGGTGCGGGTCGACCATGGCTCATTATATGTATATATAATTACGCTGTAATCTCTCAGCTGTGTATGAAAACATTGCATTTTTTATTTTTTTTTCATTCTGGCTAGCTCCACACGAGCTCGTGACGTATCTCTGTAACCAATCAGCGTACAGCTGTGCTTGTAGCTCCACCTTTCTCGTGTTTGCTACCCTTTCGGAAGGGTGCCGAAAAAGTGGTACTGTACAGTTCTGTACGCCTTTTAACAGTGGAAACGGGCCATAATACTTTCGAAAATCACATTCGCAATATACATCCAAGCCTAATATTCGATGGCCTGAAAGTGGTTCGTTTTTTAAAAATTGTTTAGCTTTTGGTATTTGTGATGCAGGAAGCCCAGAGATTGTTGTGTAAACTGTGACTTTATATAAAATTAACCTTAATGTGTGATATGAATAAAACTAATATTTTATCAATTCAAATGAGTGGCGGCTTGGACCCGGAAACAGTATTACATACGTCACCAACACGTCAGCACTTAACACGCGGATTGACCGACTCATGCATGTAGTAATACAACTACAGTAATATAAACAAATTACCCTGTAGTTTTTTTACCTATATGTAGGCCCACACGGCCTTGTAGAATTCAGCAGATTTTTAGCCCATCATTAATCCTGTTTATTTACTTAAGTAAATGTGTGTAAATCTATATTTATTCAGTTTTTTTATTAATCACAGTAATAATATTGACTAATAAGAAAATGTTCATCTGATTTATGTACAATGCAGTTTGTGCAGTAATATTTTCTGTCTTTTAGTAGATGTATTATATGAGAGACTTGCTTTGTTTACCAAATAAAGTGAACCTAATTGCATTTGCATTTTTAACATTAAAAAAAAAGTTATTTTTCATTTCACATATTAAGGTTTTAGTTACGATACTCCCAAAATAATTCCGCAGAAATCTGCAGATTTTTACTAAAATTCTCCGCAGAAATAGCAAAAAGATCAGCAAATTCAGTCTGGCCCTGCCTATAAGGTATGTTACAGTACACCACAGATGAATGTAGTAAAATTCAAGGTATTCAAAAGTATTTATATTTATCGTATTCTAACGTGTCCTTCACCCACCCACCCGTTCCAATCGTGGATCAAATCGCCGATTCTTGCATGGGAGGTGAATGCTCTAAGGAACACACATGTGGCTCTCCAGCTGTCTCCCTTCAATAATATTTCACAGTTTAAAAAACTATAACCATCACTAGAAATCAGTTTTCTATTAATAAATACAATTACACTTTTTACATTTCGACTAATGCACGCGTACGGTGCTGTGGATAAAATTAAATCGTGACACTAATGAAGGGCAAATGCGTGTACGTGGTTACCATAAAAATATACGTTGTTTTGCCTTTTATTTACCCAATAACAGTAAAATATAATTTTTTGTTCTTCAAAACTAGCGAAAAATTAATTTAATAACAATAAGATATGTTCTTTAAAACTAGAGATGGGTATCGTTAAGGTTTTAACAGTACTACTACTTTTATCGATACCACTTATCGGTTCGTTACTTTAACGGTTCTCTTATCGGTACTTTTTGTATATTTTTTTTCGGGGTCTTTCTTAGTTCATTGTGCTCCCTGCAGTTAAAAGTGCCCTCTAATCTTATCTAATCTTTGATTTTTTCAGTAGCGCGTTAGTTAACTGTGTTTTGGAAGTTAACTGTGTTTTTAATACAGTTTTGGAGCATCTTGCGATGTAAAAATAAGCTGTTTTTCCTGCTTATACAAGAAAACAACCTGTTGTGTTTGTTGCAACAAGCATTGTCGCTGTCCACTCGGGAAATACAACCCGTTTGGTTCACTCCGCAAGCTTACGAGCTGTGTGCGCACGAGTCTGTGTCGCAAGCTGTGTGTGCGCTTAGAGAACAAAACACAGAGAACAAAAACAGAAACATGTTACATGGCCCTATAAATTTCCAACTTATATTTACCTGAAATGTAAAAAAAAAAGGAGGAAATTGCTCATTTTATTTTTATAAAATGTTTATTATTATTAATATTATTTTGTTTTGAGTAACAGCAATACCGATATTTAAGAATCCATATTTATTTTGTTTATTCATTAATTTGACTTGTTTATTGGTGCATATATAGACTAGTATAAATCATACAACAGTACATGGACAGCTCCTGTATCACCACAGCTTTCAAACAAAAGTCCAAAAAAGTAAAGAAAGATTTGACTTTGTCCAGTGACGGCCGACATCACAACACGCCGTTACCGTCCTTCAGGTGGTAAAGCACTGGCATTACATTACAAAACTGAAGTGCAGTTATTTCCTCGTTGTTCAAAGAGTCTGCAAGTTTGTGTTTCATGGATATAGGATGTAGCTAGGATTGTGGACATCGATGATGTTAAGCGTGTCTTTATTCAATGTTTAGCAGAAAAAAAAGTATTTTAGCAAAGCATGCAGCTGTTGGTAAAGTTCTCTCCCGGATCAGAGCGAGTTTTTGTGCTACCAAACACAGCGTTGCATGCAAAAAACTAAAGTCAGTCAAAGTAAAGGTCTCATTGCCTAGGATGTCAATCAAATTAATCAAGGTATAGTCACAAGTAAAATAATAGGCAATTTTATTATTCTTAGATTTTAGACGACGGGTTAGTAATTATATTATAGATGATTATATTCAAGTCAATGAAATAAAAACTTTAATAAATAAAATATGTTTGTAAGAATGTGGTGGGCCAGTGAAAAGCAGCTGTAGTGTATATAGTTTAATAATCAGTTTAAATTGTCACAAATAAATACATAAAAAGCGGCATTAATTCCCGCCCTCTCATGGTAGGTGCGCACATAGTGCGTACAGTCGTACGACTGCAGGTGCCACTGTTATGGTTTATATTATTGTAGTGCTTTATCATTTTGCCTCATGATACAATTTATATCCTGTAATTATGCAAAATATCAAAACACAACGCTTGTTTTGTGTGTATAAAATTGAATTCTCTCATACATATTCATCGACTGTAATCATGTTCAGTCTTTTATTAAGTGTAATTTGTGCAAAGAGAAGCTTTACACGTTCAAGGTATGCAAAGATTTATTTTAACTTCTTTTTGTCCAGCTATATTGTTTCTCCCGTCATTTTTTGGTCAATTTTTATCAGTCATATTTATATTTTGCTAGCTTTTGTTTACTGATTGTAGTTACATTATTATTTAGCCTACTTGTTAAATTTGTGCGTCATGAAGATTTACTTATTAATTTGATAAAGTGCGCTTGTAATAACATTTTAAACGCCTAATAAACAGTAATTCACCTCATACATGAGATGTTTACCAACAGACAATGCGAATGTTTGTAATTTGAAGACTTAATAAAAGTGTAGTGAGGAAAAGTCAAATTGGCGCTTTTTTTCCCCCAATTCCCCGTTGTTCCCGCCTCAACGTGATGACGTCAGAGCGACGCGTTCATTCAGCGTCGAGTCTTCAGAGCTGAGGTGGGTCTCATGCTTTTTCTCGTGTTTACTCAGCAATAAAACACACTTTTATTTATTTTAGTTTATTAAAGCGACAATCTGCGACTAGTTTCTGCACTGAGTTCACCTCTATCTGTGTGTCTGCTGCTGACCAAAACAACATAGGCAGCGAGGTGCTCTGAGAGGAACATATGCGCTAAGTGTTTGTGTTTTCCTATGCGAAGTTTTTTTTTAACTGTTGTAATGCCACAAAATATTATGTTGCGGATGTATTTGGGAATTTAGTGCTGCAGATATTCTGTTTGGCAGTAAAAATTGTTGATTTATTTGCTCGTCATTTAAAGTTTTTTAATTGTTTGTACATTTGTACATAACATAAACACGTGTTTAGCAAATAGAGGTAAAGTTGGTTTTATATTTGCACTTTCGTTCATTTAGAAGTCTCTATATTGTTATCATGTTACTTTGAATATTCGATCGGAATTAGCATGCAGGTATGACTTCAAAACAACATTAACACTATCTATTTGACTGTGAACAATGTTGTACTTTGTTGTCAATTGCTGCTGACATAACTTCCCTATTTAGAATTGGCAAAGAATACTTTTCTGAAATTATATTATTAAGGAGAATGTCTGAATAAATGAATATAAAACCAACTTAACCTCTATGTTTAGCAAAGATGTTGCGGATGCTAAGAATTTAAACTATAAAGATTTGTTAAAAAAAAGTTAATAAGCTAAATACCATTAACTCATTAAATAAACACACTACTTAAAATATGGCTAGACATAATTTCATTATTTTATATATGAAGTAAACACATTTAAAGAGATATTCATCAAAGTATTACGATGAAAATTCTATATTATTATATACTATTTATCATATATTAATGTTAAAAATCCTATCTAAACTGTCTCGTTTATTTGTGGTTTCATTGTATTTATTTTTTATGTACTGTTTTATGAGATAGTGTTTGTTTCTGATATGGCGTTACATAAAAATATTCAACATTTGTCTTGAGATCTATAAATTAAGTTAATTTTATTACTTTAAGAGTGTTATGTGAATTATGTGATCACCTATTGTATTGCATAAAATATATAAATGAATTGTTATAAATTAAACAGTTTAAACGAATGAGTAAATGAATCTCTGTTTTCTCTTTTGCAGATCGTCCCGTCAGTCTACAAGTGAAGACGAGCATCAGACCATCAGGAAGAAGAGAAATCTGCAAAGACAGAGTTTATTGAAGGACAGTGAGAAGATGAGTGATCCAGAACCCTGCAGAATTAAACAGGAGGAGACTGAAGAACTAATAGGTTTGTGTTTATTCATTACTCACTGAAATATATTTGTTCACGCAGCACGTTAACGCTGATAATGGCCCACCACTTATATATATGCGTTAACGTGCTGCATAAATGCGAGACTCTTATCGGGCGATTAAAAAGTATCCCCGTTAAAGTTGGGTTGGGAGCTGGGTCTATTCTATGAAAGCTATGATGACTTTCACGTGATATTTTATCTCAGATGTATACCGGTGAGCTGTCTGAGAAAAAAGTGCCCTTCTAAATCAAATCAGCAGGATTTCTGACTAACTGCAGTTCGGCAGTTTCACTTTCACTCATGAACGTTTCAATCATGTCCCCGTGAACAAACTGGGGTATTAGGCACAAATAAGGAGTAAGGACTGGTGAGGGTGTTATAGAATTTATTAACCCAGGCCAATCAAAGAAAAAAAAAATCTGCATTTCAGTTATTGTTTCATTTGTGACTTAAGTCTGATGAAGTTAATCAAAAATCTGTTTACATGGTAGATTTTTTTTTTTTTTTGCCTTTATTAGATAGGACAGTATTGAGACGGGAAGCAAAGTGGGAGAGAGAGAGAAGGTAGGGAGATGTCGTCGAGCCGGGATTCGAACTCACGATGCCCTGATGTGCTATTGCACCGTATGTCGACGCTAACCACTAGGCTATTGCACCGACTACATGGTAGACTCTTAACCATAGTATTGTCTTAATCATAATAATGATGTAAACATACTCAATTTTTGACACAATGTCAGGGCTCTGTGAACTTGGCTTTGTGACCAGCATTTTCTGTATGTAGGTACATCAAAAGCAAGTATGAAATGGCTTTTTGAAGCTTATGCAGGCCTACAGTTCAACATTCATGTTTAACTAAATGAACAGTTAGTAAACACAAGTACATCTTACTGAACATTATTTATTTTCATCACCAATTATCACAGTAGAACAGTTCCTCAAGCAGTTTGTGATGCATTTTGGAAACAGGAGATAAGCCCCTGGTCTAATGCGCCACCTGGCTTGAGAAACCCGATTTAAATCATAAGCTGACAGTTAAACAGCTGAGCAAGCATCTTTTAAACTTTAGATCTGGGGGGTATTCCAGAAAGCAGGTTATGTGACATACCCGGGTAAGTTTGAGAGTAAGTAAGTGGATAACCTCAGCTTTCGGTTCCAAAAACGGAGGTAACTTTGTGGGTATGTATGTAACCATAGCAACTCACTCTCTGAAGATAACCTGCTCGGTAGCAGGTTATGTTCCAGTGTAAGTTTGTGTCAGAAGGTAAGCGAGCATGGCGTGCCCTTTTGATGAGGATCCTGTGGACGTAGAAGCTCAAATTATACGAGGTTTTTTTTCGCCGGGAGAGAGTTATAAGACCACGTATTGATGTGTTTTCATACCCTAATGATTATTTGAAGGAGCGTTATCGTTTTTCAAAAGAGTCGTTAGTTTATTTAACACGTCTTTTAAAACCGCATATTGCGAACGTCACAAACCGTGGTTCTGCTCTTAGCACAGAAAGCATTCTGTCCATAGCACTAAGGTTTTTTGCGTCTGGCCATTTTTTGTATAATGTAGGTGATGCAGAGCATGTGGGAAAGGCAACTGTTTGTAGAGCCGTTCGTACGGTATGTCTGGCCCTTAAACACCTCTTACCCACATTTGTACAGTTCCCTGGCCACAAACCTCTGCGTGTTATTAAGAACGAATTCCACAGAGTGGCAGGTTTGTTCTTTGAAGGAAAATCTATTACGCATATTTAATATGCAGTCTTATTAGTTATATCTATACATGTTTTCTTTATGCACACTCAATACTTCCATAACTTTGTTTCAGGGTTACCAAATGTAATTGGGTGTGTTGATGGCACCCACATTCCTATTAAAGCCCCTTCAATAAATGAGGGGGACTATGTTAATAGGAAATCTACTCATAGTATCAATGTGCAGGTAACAATTTCCGTGTGTCCTTAATTTTTTTGCCTTGTTAAAACCATTGAATTGTAATATTGCTTTTTTTCCCACCAACTAGGTAATATGTGAAGCAACCCAAATAATTACAAACGTCGAGGCAAAATGGCCAGGATCTGTGCATGATGCCAGAATTTTCCGCGAGTCATCATTATGCCAGGCATTTCAGCAGGGTATATTTTGCTTGATATAATGAATTATTTTGTTTTATTTATTTATTTTTTTACTATATTTGTATTATACACTTTAATCATTACAGGACAGTACAATGGTTACTTGCTGGGGGACAGAGGATACCCTTGTCTGCCCTATTTAATGACACCCTACCCTGAACCTGAGCCTGGACCACAGACACGGTTAAACCTGGCTCACAGCCGAACAAGAGCTAAGGTGGAGATGACCATAGGGATTCTCAAATCTCGGTTTCAGTGTCTGCGTGGGCTCCGGGTCAGTCCAGAGAGGGCATGTGACATCATAGTGGCTTGTGTTGTACTTCACAACATTGCCACTATAAGAGGAGAGAGCCTCCCTCCTTGTATTGAGGGAGATGGCCCAGAGGAACACCTAGACATTTTAGAGGCCAACAGAGACGGAAGACTTTTGAGAGACAGGATCTGTCAAAATTTTTTTTATTTTTTTTGCACTGGTTTGCCAGACAGTTCATTTCTTTAATTCCTGAAAAACAATAAATGTACAATTCAGTAAGATTTTTTTTATATATATATTACTTTATACACACACAAACTTAACATGCAACAGATTAATATTCACAGTTCTCACCTTAAGGCGATGCTCCAGTAATTGAATTTCAAGTGCTGCTTTTTTTATAAGTGGCCTTTTCTCTTCCATTTGAAGCTGTATAAGGTCCATCTCCATGTCACTTTTACTTATTTGTTTCTGAAGATGGACCTTATACAGCTCTTTTGCTGGCAACTAGGAATTGGAAAATGTATAATAAATGAGATTGTTTGGTCAGACAATAAAATTAAAATATGGACAACTGGCCACAAGTTCTTACACTGCTTAGATTATGCGTTGAGGTTGAAGGACCCTCATCTGTGGGCAAATCCCCAGGTATGTACTGTCAAATGACAATGACAATGAGTTTGTTACTCTGATGCAAAGGCGGCCATGCATTATAATGGTCTGCATTATACCTCAGTGGGCCTAGGAGCATTGTCCACTTCTGTCACAGCAGATGTGGTCTCTTCATCATCATCTTGATCATCCTACAAGAGAAATATGCAAGTTTACATCATCTGACAAAAAATAAATAAATAAATAAAAAAAATAAAATAAAAAAGCAACTAAAGGTCCCTAACAACAAATTACTTACAACTGTGACGGACCGTGTTCTTTCTGGAGGGTCCAATAACACAATATGTCCATCAGTATCTATATGAACACACAACCATTAAAATTATGTATATTATCAAATAAAACCAATACTACATGAAAGAGTAGCATGTCACAATAATACAACCAAGATCACAGTAGTCTATACATCATATGCAGTTAAATAAATAAAAGCTTGTATAAATTAAACATGTTCAAAAAGCCTTTAAGTGACAGAAATAGTCAAGTGAAAAAATGAAAACAAATCATAGAGGTAAACTTACATTTCACCATTTTTTCACCATCACTTGTTGTACATGATGAACTGCCCCCTTGAATGCCAGCAACCACTGGTCGTCCTTTATTAAGGGACAGAGCCAGCTCCTCACATGGGGTAAGGGGAGGTGGTGGTGGACCCCCGCCAGTTAGACGGGCTTCAGCCTTCTTTCTATTAGCTACATGACAGAAAGAGTACTAAATAGTGTTTAATTAATAGTTCAGTAATTGTGTAATGAAATATTACCTTTTTGCAGAATGTTTTTGTGTTTCATTTTAACTTGGCTCAGAGTTCTTCTGGCTCCAGAAGGATTGCACCTTATTAAATAAATAAATTAAATATATATATATATATATATATATATATATATATATATATATATATATATATATATATATATAAATATATATATATATATATATATATATATAATGTACATGTAGACATCACATTTAATTATGTTGCATTATAAGAAAACAGGAAACAATAACACATTTGTAATTTTATACACTCACGCATTTACTCTGTCCGTTATTTTTTGCCAAGCCAACTCTCTATCTTTAGCAGATGCAGCTGTATTGCTCCTTTTTAATATTACTGGCTTAAATTCCTCGTACGCATACATTAAAACCTCCAACTCCGCCTCTGTAAAATACGCCGCTCTCTTTTTTTTCGCTTTGACTTTCCATGGTGACTCATGAAATCAGCGATCCATTGAGAATGTCTTTATGTATGCTCTGTGCACGCGCATTAACTCTAGGTAACCAATTGAGGGTTGATTAAACTAACTCTTCTCAGGTGTTTTGGAACCGACATACTCATGGTATGCCGGTTTGGGGTAAATCAACCCAGAAGTTATGATTTACCAAATGGTAAGTTAACCCAGCTTTCTGGAATACCCCCCTGTAGTGTCTGCTTTTTGCTGGCTGTATGTGGGCGGAGTAATACACAAAGGGTAAAGAGGCTGCAGGAGTTTTGATATTGCGGAGTATCACACGGCTATCAGCCAATCAGATTTGAGAACCAGACAGAACTGTTGTGTGTATATATATATATAAATATATATTTATATATATATAAATATATATTTATATATATATAAATATATATTTATATATATATATAAATATATATTTATATATATATATATATATATATATATATATATATATATATATATATATATATATATATATATAATATGAGCAATTGATGTTTAACATTTAAAAAAAAAAAAAAAGTTTCAGTAAAAAAGCTCTAAAATACTCAAAAATGCATCTGTCAATGTTTTCATACAATTATATTTGATTCACCAAAGTCACACAAGTGGCAATTTCACATCTGTCACATCCATAACAGAGAGAAGTCACATACATAACGACACTTTTTCCACATAAATGTAAAATCAAATAAAATCAATCATGTTTTGTTCTATAGTGAGCCGACTCTTCTCCTTTTTATAATTATTCTTTCTTTTGGGTTTTGCAGTTCAAGTCACAGAATTTCTACAAAGTATGTTGTATACTGTAAACTTGCTGACTTTTTTTGTCACATCCATAACACATGTTTATTTTACACATTTAAAATATAAAAAATGTTTACAGATTGAAATTTTTCTGCTCCCATGTCTCTGTGGCTAGTTTTTTAATATAAAGAGATGTTTCAATATACTGTTAAGATATACTTCCTCTGTCAATTTATGTTTTGAGAATTTACTGCAAATGTCACATCCATAACGCTGGACTTGCTCATATATATATATATATATATATATATATATATATATATAGATATATATATATAGATATATATATAGATAGATATAGATATGTGTGTGTGTGTGTGTGTTCTAGATACTAAAGGTTTTATTTGCACACATGCTTTTAAATGACATTTTACAGTTGGCACACATCTAATTTTAGTTGCAATTGCTCACAGTTTTTGATACTTGCTGGGGCACCATCTGCTGTTAGCAAACTGTTACAAACTAGCCTCTTTTCATTTAACTTATTGGCTTAATTTTTAGATGTGAAGCAGGAGAGTGAAGAACTGAGTGAAGATGAGGAGAAACATCAGGTCAAAAGTGAAGAAGAAACTCAATCAGAGACTGAACATTTATCTTTTCTACAATCAAACACGCATAACAATTACAGTAAGTACCTCTATCTTAAGATCCAGCCCTTCAGGTCTTATTATTTATGGAATTTAATTGCTCCCTGCCGCCATTGAAATTTGAATAAATTTACTGTCATTTGAAAAATAATAAAATGGCCGGTGAGTGTATTAAAAGACTATAGAATACACAAGACATGTCACTTGTATCTATTTGAATATATTATATTGTATATATTATATATATATATATATATATATATATATATATATATATATATATATATATATATATATATATATATATATATATATATATATATATACACACACATTTATTCATTTTTTTTTTCTTTTTTTCTTTTTTCGAGATACTAAATGTTACTTGCACACATGCTTTTAAATGACATTTTACCGTTCACACACATCTATTTTACATGGTCCTTGCTGGAGCACCATCTACCGTTAGCAAACTGTTACAGACTAGGCTATTTTCCTTTAACTTATTGGCTTAATTTTCAGATGTGATCGTGAAGGAGGAGAGTGAAGAACTGAATGAAGATGAGGAGAAACATCAGGTCAAAAGTGAAGAAGAAACTCAATCAGAGACTGAACATTTATCTTCTCTACAAACAAACACAAACAACACTCACAGTAAGTACCTCTATCTTAAGATCCAGCCCTTCAGGTCATATTATTTAGGATAACTATGGAATTTGATATAGTTTAAATAAATTTACTGTCATTTGAAAAAAATAATAAAGTGTCCAGTGAGTGAAAAGACTATAGAATACACAAGACATGTCACTCGTATCTGTTTGAATGGGGAAATGTGTAGCGGTCAATATGGTGAATAAAGCCCCACCTACTAGTACAGGAGCCAATCATTGATCGCTATATGGTGAATAAAGCCTGCCTTCTTGTACAGGAGCCAATCATGACCTTGCTGCAATTTTAGTTTCCCAAAACGGTATAATAAAGTTGAGTCGGAGTCTGTCTGAGGTGATCATAGGTCGAGGTGGACAACCATGACATGTGGAGTGCCACAAGGTTCAATTCTGGCACCTCTCCTGTTCAACCTTTATATGCTCCCACTAAGCCAGATAATGAGACGGAACCAAGTGATGACACTCAGATCTACTTAGCCTTACTGCCTAATGACTACAGCCCTATTGATACCCTCTGCCGGTGCATTGATGAAATGAACAGTTGTAATGTAATGTGTGTTTATATAGCGCATTTATTGTGTATGGCCATACACCCAAAGCTCTCCATAATCATGGGGGGGGTCTCTCCACACCACCTCCAGTGTGCAGCATCCACTTGGATGTTGCGACAGGAGCCACAGGACAACGGCGCCAGTGCACTCACCACTCACTAGCTATAGGGGGAGTGGAAAGACAGTTATAGAGCCAATTCAGTGGATGGGGATGATTGGGAGGCCATGATGGTTAAGGGCCGAGATGGAATTTGGCCAGGACACCGGGGTTACACCCCTACTCTTTACAAGAAGTGCCATGGGATTTTTAATGACCACAGAGAGTCAGGTCCATGGTTTGATGTCTCATTAGAAAGACGGCACCCATTGACAGTATAGTGTCCCCTACACTTACACTGGGGCATTAGGACTCACACAGGTCACAGGCTGAGCGGCCCCTGCTAGCCTCACTAACACCACTTCCAACAACAACCTAGTTTTCTCATGTCGTCTCCCATCCAGATACTGAACAGGCTCAGCCCTGCTTAGCTTCAGTGAGTAACCAGTCTTGGGCTGCAGGGTGATATGGCTGTTGAATAAGTTGGATATTCCAAAACTTTGTTCAGTTAAACAAAGAGAAAACTAAAGTCATTGCATTTGGGAACAGAGATGAGGTTCTCACGGTGAAATGCGTACCTTGGCTCTAAAGGTCAAACAACAAAAAAACAAGGTCAAGAATCTCGGTGTGATTCTGGAGTCAGATCTGAAATGTAGTCAGTCAAAGGTCTTTTTTGTCACATACACTTCCCTGTAGTCAAATACACTGTCACACCCCCCCCCCCAAAAAAAAAAAAACACTTCAAAGACATGTGCTGTTGGTCAGGGGTGTCAAACTCAATTCCTGGAGGGCCGAAGCCCTGCACAATTTAGTTCCAACCCTACTCCTACACACTCACCTGTAGGTTTCAAACAAGCCTGAAGGACTCGATTAGTTTGATCAGGTGTGTTTAATTAGGGTTGGAACTAAACTGTGCAGAGCTGCGGCCCTTTTGGAACTGAGTCTGACACCTGTGCTGTAGGTGAATTGAATAAACTAAATTGGCTGTAGTGTATGGGTGTTTCACAGTGCTGGGTTGCAGCTGGAAGGGCATCTGCTGTTTAAAACATGTTCTGGATAAGATGGCAGTTCATTCAGCTGTGTAAACACCAGAGACTAAGCCAAAAGAAAATGAATGAATGAATTGACCATCGATTGAAAGGGTCACTGACAATCATTGATTAATCATTTGCTTCCCAACTTGACATTTTTCCTACTTTTTCTTCATTTCATTTTTAGACCTGACGGTGAAGAAAGAGGAAAGTGAAGAACTGTGTGAAGATAAGAAAGTCTATCAAAGCGTTCAAACAGAAGTGAAGTCAAATACTTGCTCTTTGTGTGGAAAGACTTTTATAAAGCCATCGTATTTAAAACGACACCAGAGGACTCACACTGGAGAGATACCGTACACATGCGATCAATGTGGGAAGAGTTTCAACAAACCATCAACCCTTAATCAACACATGCTGATCCATACTGGAGAGAAAACACACAAATGTGATCACTGCGGCAAAACATTTCTAGAGCCTTCAGATCTAAACACCCATCTTACAGTTCACACAAAAGAAAAGCCTTATTCATGTTCTGAGTGTGGAAAGAGGTTTACACTGCTGCCATATTTAAAAAAACACGTTAAGATCCACACTGGTGTGAAAGAGTTCGTCTGCTCTGAGTGTGGGAAGAGTTTTAATACAGCCCGAAACTTGAAACAACACCAGATGATCCACACTGGAGAGAGACCTTACAAGTGTTCACACTGCGACAAGAGCTTCATTTACTTACAAAACCTGAAATCACATCAGAGGACTCACACTGGAGAGAAACCACACAAGTGTTCACACTGCGACAAGAGATTTGGTAATTTACATAACCTGAAACTACACCAGATGATCCACACTGGAGAGAGACCGTACAAGTGTTCACACTGCGATAAGAGATTTAGGCAGTTACAGATTCTGAAAAACCATGAGAGGACTCACACTAAAGAGAAGCCGAACACATGTACTCAGCACACATGTACTCAGTGTGGAAATAGCTTCACAAAATCACTACACCTTCAATGGCACATGATGATCCACCCTGGAGAGAGGCTGTACAAGTGTTCACACTGCGATAAGAGATTTAGGCAGTTACAGATTCTGAAAAACCATGAAAGGACTCACACTAAAGAGAAGCCGAACACATGTCCTCAGCACACATGTACTCAGTGTGGAAATAGCTTCACAAAATCACTACACCTTCAGTGGCACATGATGATCCACGCTGGAGAGAAAACACAAATGTGATCAATGCGGCAGAACGTTTTTGAGACCTTCAGAGCTGAAGAGATATCTTATAGTTCATACAAAGGAGAAGCCTTATTCATGCTCTAAGTGTAAAAAAAGTTTTACGCAACAGGCAGAATTAAAATCACATCAACCAAACCACACTGGTGTGATAGAGCATGTCTGTTTTGAGTGTGGGAACACTTTTGATACAGCTTTAGGCTTGAAAAAGCACCAGAAGATTCACACTGGAGAGAGACCACACAAATGTGATCAATGTGGCAAAACATTTTTGAAGCCTTCAGATCTGAATCTTAGAGTTCATACATAGAAGAAGCCTTATTCATGTGCTGAGAGTGGAAAGAGTTTTACGCAACAGGCAAAATTAAAATCACATCAACAAAACCACATAATAGTTTTCTTCTTTGGTCTGAAGCACACAGCGTCCATTTCTCCTAAAAAAAAAAAATATCTGAATATATAGTCATAATTTGTTTTAGAATCATGCCTAAAATCTACAACAATATGGGTCGTCACATTCAGATCAGCTCATAGATGGAGTTCCTCACCAAAGATTTTTGTCTGAAGGTTTTGTAATTGTAGGGCTTTATCATTTTGCACCATGATACAATTTATATAATTATGCAAAACTTCAAAATACAAAGCTTGTTTTGTTTGGTATAATGTTGAATTCTCTTAGGCCCCGTTTACATTAATGCGTTTTAGTTTGAAAACGCATAAGTTTTAAGTTAAGTTTTAAGTTACGCCAACCGTCCACACTACGCCGGAGTTCTCGAGCGCCGAAAACGGAGCGTTTTGAAAACGCTGGAGAGGCCATTTTCATTCTGAAACGCTGCTGCTCCGTCTCAGTGTGGATGAGCAAAAACGGAGACATCTGAAAACAGAGGCGGGGCTGCTGACATTCGCCTCTCTGATTGGGGCTTTTCCTCAATATTAAGTAGCCTAACACACACAGTTCAGTCCTGCATCCTCTCCTTGTAAGTTCAGACTTCGCAAGTTTGATCAAGGCTGCAGTCTCTTCTTCTCAATTTGATATGGAAAACAGGCTATACCGAGGACACGGGTAAATCTTCAAAGGGAACAGTGCACTTTATAACTTCATTCACATCACCCTGGCTACGTTGTTTCACTTTCTCAACAATAAAATGTAAACATGATTTAAGGAACTGCCTATTTTCATTTTAATATTAGCAACTTAGACAGCAGACATGTTGAGGCGTCGTGCTGCATGACCGTCATCTTCACTGTGTGGATATTTATTTTAAATTTCAGTGAAAATACGAAACACACCCTCTCTTTTGCTGATTATCAGTTTTAATAATCGATAATGGCCATTATAAAAGTATAACATACAATAAGTTTATACATTATAGGAAATAAAGGCAAGCGATCAGTCAATATACATAATGTAGGCTACGTGGTAACATTAATCATTAACTTATCTTTGCGCTCAGCCAAAACACGTTACCTGAGAACAAGTAATAGATTCCAATGACCAAAGTCAGAATATGTCGTTAGATAAAGACAACAAGATGAATGAAATATCCCGTTTAATAAATATAGTGAGATTAGATCCAGCAGGAGATGCTTGATGAGAAGTCCGACTAGCAGAGCTCTCATCTGGGTAGATGGGCTGCAGCGCTTGCCCGAGAGTGTCTGTGTGGTCACGTGATGTGCGTTTTCAGCGTTTTGGTGTGGACGGAGAGCAGTTCAGAAACGCTGGGTAAAACGCGAGTGTGGACGCGGATCGTTTTCATTCTAAAACGCCGTTTTAAAACTAAAACGCACTAGTGTAAACGGGGCCTTATACATCTTATATACAGGGCTTGACATTAACACCCCCCTAATGCGGGAAGATTTTAGCCGTGGTAGGTTAGACAGCCACCGTCACTTGCCACTTTGGCTGGTTGAAAAAACATTTTAAATTGTAGTTTTCTTAAAAGCAGTGTTCGACCATAAGGATGGCCTAATATTTGTGCAAATGGGATCTTACAATTGAGAAGAAACACAACTGCCTAAAATAATTGTTCGCACGAGCAAAAGAAAGCAGGTAAATACTGAATAAGAGGATAATCCTTTGCGCCAACGGCTGATGTGATGCGCTCGACTAAAACGCGTGCGTGCTCCAGTTTCCTTGCGTGAAGCAACTGTGCCTGGAAATGCAACTGTAGTGATTGGTTCTCTTTCAAATAGCTTTGCTCATGCACCCGACAGTCTTGCTGCTTTCAAGAGCTCCAGCACCGGTTGCTTTCACTTTGACCGTTCTTTGAGTAGATTATTCATTGGCCTATCGTTAACCGTGTGTGTTTGAGATCATCCTTTCTTTATCGCACATGGTGTGTTTTTCATTTGCTTTCTTTTGCTCACACTTATTTTTGTTAATATGGTTTAATTATCATCCTTTAAAATAGCATTGCTCTAATATGAGATTAGCTCCCTATTTATGTGTAGTTAACTGCTGTTCTGGGATATTTGGCCAGGACAGATTAGTGTGCATATTTTAGATGCATGACAGTAATTATGTTTTTTGAATGTCCATTTTTTTATTTTTTTAAGAATTGTTTTGTTAAATAAAAAAGTATACAGCTTTATTTTACTTGTTTTGACACATTTAAATTTTGTGGCTATGAAATAATTAATATTTATGTTTGGTGTGGTCAGAGATAAATTAGGTAAATCCTTCATTTTGAGCTCTGGAAAGTGATGTGAAATAAATCTGCTCATATATCACATAGCTGGAGAAACTTGAAATGGTAAAGATGAAATAAATGTTTACATCTCTTATATAACATATAGGTTTATTTCAACTTCTCAATTTCAGGTTTCTCTAGCTATGTGATATATTGTTTCTCCCAATATGGTAGTCATTTTGGTATATTTTTATTAACCATATTTTAATATTTTGCTGACTTTTGTTTACTGAATGTAGTAGCAAAATTCTTAAATTTGTCCGTCATGAAGATTTACTTATTAATTTGGATAAGTGCAGTTTTTACAACGTTTTAAATGTCTAATAAACAGTATTTCACCTCCTACATGATTAAGATGTTTTACCAATGAAAGGTGAGAAGGTTTGTTATTTGAAGATTTAATAAAAGTATAGTGAGGAAAAAGTAAAATTGGCGCTTTTTTTTGACCCATTGTTCCCGCCTTGCCGTGATGACGTCAGCACTGACGCGTTCATTGAGCGTCGAGTCTTCAGAGCTGAGGTGAGTCGTTGACGCTTTTTCTCGTGTTTACACAACAATAAAACACACTTTACAGTTTATTAAAGCGACAATCTGCGACTAGTTTCTGCATTGAGTTCACCTCTATCTGTGTGTCTGCTGACCAAAACAATACAGCAGGCAGAGAGCAGTTCTGAGAGGACAATATGAGCGAGTTTGTGTTTTTCTTCGTGAACTGATTGTCAACTGTTGTGATAAAACATGATGAATGTATTTTGGGAATTTAGAGAGGCAGATATATTAAGCTTAACATTAAAATAATGGTTTGTGTTTGCTCGTCATGTAAAGGGGTTTTATGGTTTGTGCGTTTTTACACACCATATAAACCTGTTTACCAGATATGTAGTAACAATAAGTTGATTTCTAAAGATAAGCTAACAAAATGTTTATAAGCTAAACCACAATATGTAGTACCTTTCACTTATTAAATAAAAACGCATAACTTAAAAAAATATGGCTAGATATAATTTAATTTATGAAGTAAGCACATTTAAAGAGATCTTTATTTTTTTGTCGTCATTGTAATCGAGAACTGGTTCTCAATTGACTTACCTGGTTAAATAAAGGGGTTTTATAATATGCTTTATTTCATCATTCAGTGTAAATTAATCAGATTTTTCTGTTTTTCTTTTGCAGCTCGTCCTCCTACAGTGCAGCTGTAAATACTGAAATATCCCCATCAGTTTACAAGTGAAGACGAGCATCAGACCATCAGGAAGAAGAGAAATCTGCAAAGACAGAGTTTATTGAAGGACAGTGAGAAGATGAGTGATCCAGAACCCTGCAGAATTAAACAGGAAGAGACTGAAGAACTAATAGGTTTGTGTTTATTCATTACTCTTTTGGTGCAAGCCATATATATATAGTAGTCAACATTTAGCAAACGATTAATAACTCGTCTCTTAAAATGAACTTATTGATTTTCAGATGTGAAGGAGGAGAGTGAAGAACTGAGTGAAGATGAGGAGAAATATCATGTCAAAAGTGAAGAAGAAACTCAATCAGAGCCTGAACATTTATTTTCTCTACAAACAAACACAAACAACAATCACAGTAAGTAGGAGATTTTAAGATCCAGCCCTTCAGGTCATATTATTTAGGATAATCATGGAATTTAATTGTCTCTGTTGTTTTCTCGTCTTTCTTCCAACAATGTTTTTAAGCCACTTGAATTTGGATTGTGTAAATTTCACAGCAAACTGCATTAGTTAAAGTCACTAATATCCTGCTAATGGCCTCCAATTCTGGACATCTGTTTAAACAGACACTTCTCTATCTTACTGATGCTTTCGCCACTATAGACCACATTTGAACTAGGGTTGTGCCGATAGACGATGCCATCCTCCATCGCCGAAGGCCGACAAACTTCACGATGCTGAGCCAGCATCGTGATCCATTGCCTCGCCCCACATTTATATTGATATATAACTTATTATTTGCATGTCATCTTAATAGCAATAACGGTCTTTTCATGAGCTGTGTTAAATTTTACATATAGCTGCTGCTTGCACATCTGACAGCATCGTGAGGATTAAATAAAAGGATTATACAGCACCTCTTGTGCTAATAATAAAATAACATGGTGGAATGTTAATCCACCATTAACACTTTTCCAAGAGTTGATAAAAGACTCGAGTGGCTTCAAGTCCGCTATGAAAATGACTAAAGCCATTCACTGTAAAGTCTGTGGGACGGGGTTTGCAGGTAACAGCGTTTGCCACTGAATCTACACATTTTAAGCGAGAGAGGTGCTGTATAATCCCTCATTTACATTTAGTCATTTAGCTGACGCTTTTATCCAAAGCGACTTACAAATGAGGACAAGGAAGCAATTTACACAACTATTAGAGCAACAATGAAGAAGTGCTATAGGCAAGTTTCAGGTATGTATGTTAACATGTTGTTATCTCTCTACTTTGTTGACCTCTAAGAAGGTTATCCGGGTTACAAATGAGAGAGCGCGCAGGGGAGGGGTTGATGAGGGGAAAAGTTCAGTTGAAGATGTCTCGTGTGTGTGCGAGGAGGGAATGAACAAAATAAAGTGTGCTTACTAAATAAACGTCGTGTTTATTCAACTTTACATGTAAAATGTAAGAAGCCAAAACATTAGTAATTATTATTTATTCATTAATTTTTTTTGTAATACAGTTAGCGCCGAGCCAGAGAGGCAATTGCTGAATAGTAAGAAAAGTAGTAAAAGGAGACTAAATAGTTGAGTTTTTAGTCGTTTCTTGAAGACAGCGAGTGACTCTGCCGTTCTGATGCAGTTAGGGAGTTCATTCCACCAACTGGGCAGATTGAACGCGAGAGTTCGGGAAACTGATTTCTTCCCTCTTTGGGATGGAACCACGAGGCGACGTTCATTCACAGAACGCAAGTTTCTGGAGGGCACATACATCTGCAGGAGTGAGAGCAGATAAGAAGGAGCAAAGCCAGAAGTCACTTTGTAGGCAAACATCAGAGCTTTGAATTTGATGCGAGCAGCAACTGGCAGCCAGTGCAAACGGATGAGCAGCGGAGTGACATGTGCTCTTATAGGTTCATTAAAGACCACTCGTGCTGCTGCGTTCTGAAGCAGCTGAAGAGGCTTAATAGAGTTAGCTGGGAGCCCAGCTAGCAGAGAGTTGCAGTAATCCAGTCTGGAGAGAACAAGAGCTTGATAATTTAATCCGCACGATGCTGTCAGATGTGCAAGCAGCAACCAAATGTAAAATCTAACAGAGCTCATGATGAGACTGTTAATGCTATTAAGATGACATGCAAATAATAAGTTATATAAATATAAATGTGGGCCGGGGCGATGAATCAAAATGCCGGCTCAGCATCGTGAAGTTTGTAGTAGAGATCTGCGCGGGACTAAATTTTGAATCCCGCTCCTGCCCGCACCTGCCAGGTTTTAGCCCGAACCCGACCGCTCCCGCTTATATTAAGAATTTGTTGTCCCGCTGCCCGACCCGCCCCGTTTTCTGCCCGCCGCGCCCGATCCCGCTAAAGAGCGGGGGAGAACAAAACCGAAAATCACTCAGCTATACAGTCCAGACAGCCAAGCTGTCTGTATACACACACACACACACACAGCACCAAGCACACACACACACACACACACAGACAAAGCTCTCTCTCATACGCGCGCGCGCACTAACACACATACACAAGCACCAAGCAAACACACAGGCGTTTGCTGTTTTATCAACTCAAAGGGTTGTAATACCATGTATCAAGTACCAATGTAATACCAAAAGGTTTTATATAAAGGTATATAAATGCTGAGTCCAGCTCCGGGCCGCAGCGCACATTACTCTCGGTCCGATTCCGGCGCGGATGCGGTAGCGCCGGCTCGCTTGCGGCCGCCGCATCTGGCCCGATTGATTCGAGCCGGAATCGGGCAGTGAGTCCACAAGCATCCGGCCCGAGTCCGGCAGCCGGAGCCGGGCCGAGTGGTAAGTCTCCGGCAGGCGAGAATCTAGCCGGAACTGGCCCGAGTGTATTTTGCTATCTGGGAAAGCTCTCTCTCTCTCTCGCTCGCTCTCTCTCTCGCTCTCTCATTCGTGCGCGCACTAACATACACACACACAAGCACACACACAGGCAAAGCTCTCTCATTCCCATAGCAATTTCCGCGATATTGCTAGACAGCCCGCTCCCGTCCCAAATTAAACCCGTTACCCACCGCTCCCGCGATTTATTCGGAAATTTATTCCCACGCCGCAGAAATCTGGTTGGGTCCCTCTGCAGACCTCTAGTTTGTAGACCATCGGCGATGGATGATGGTATTGTCTATCGGCCCAACCCTAGTATCCTCTCTTTCCGCTCAATGTTGATCCATATTTATAGCCGATTTGCAAATAGCGCAACTCGCTGCAGGTTCACAACGGCGGACTCAAGGAAACAAACAGTGAGTGATGTCATGGCACACACAAGTACAGACAGGCAACAGCCGTGTAACACAAGGACAATACAGTTTTACTGCTATTCACTACTTAAGATGTAACTTTGTTTCTGTACTTAATTTTCAGACCTGATGGTGACGAAAGAGGAAAGCGAAGAACTGAGTGTAGACAAGGTCCATCATAGTGTTCATACAGAAGTGAAGCCAAATTCATGTACTTTGTGTGGAAAGAGTTATAAACAGCCGTCACATTTACAACAACACCAGAAGATTCACACTGGAGAGAGACCGTACACATGTGATCAATGTGGGAAGCGTTTCAGACGATCATCAACCCTTAATCAACACATGAAGATCCACACTGGAGAGAGACCACACTATTGTGATCAATGCGGCAGAACATTTTTGAGGACTTCAGAACTGAGGAGACATCTTACAGTTCATACAAACGAGAAGCCTTACTCATGCTCTGAGTGTGGAAAGAGTTTTAGTCGTCTGTCAAATCTAAAAGTACATCAGAAGATCCACGCTGGGGTTAAAGAGCATGTGTGCATTGAGTGTGGGAAGAGTTTTATTAATGCACAAGTACTGCAAATACACCAGAGGATCCACACCGGAGAGAAACCGTACAAGTGTTCACACTGCGACAAGAGATTCAGTCTGTTACACTCTCTGAAATCACACGAGAGGATTCACACTGGAGAGAAACCTTACACATGTACTGGGTGTGGAAAGAGTTTCAAAAATTCATCACAACTTCGTCAACACATGATGATCCACACGCGAGTGAAAACGCACAAATGTGATCAATGCGGCAAAGCGTTTTTGAGGCCTTCACATCTGAAGAACCATCTTACAGTTCATACAAAAGAGAAATCAAGTTCTTTAGCTCCTTCAGAAATGTTCTCAGCTCCTCTACAAGGATTTCCAAATGATTTTTCCTGTTTTCATTCATGAGATAACTCAGGCAAAAAACAGTCAGTTTCTGTGTACATCCCTTCACCAGTAAGTCCCCGGCATACTTTAAACAAAACTGAAGAACAAACTGAAAAATCCATCTGATACTGAGTTAATTTTCAGTTTACTGTAGAAGTTCGAATCAGATGAGGGAGTTAATTTAGGCTACTTAACCCCTTTGAGCTGCCATTGGTCTGTGGTGATTCTGCTGTCAGTGTGTCTGTTCTGGTGCTCCGGCTTCTTTGACGTGCCGTTTCTTCCCTCAAATTAATTTCCTATTCCACGAGGGGTCAGAGAGGACAACATCCAAAACAGCAAATACACTGGAGGGTGTTTGTTGTGTTTTATTTTTATGGCACATTTAAAAAAAACACATGTTGACCAAAGTTCTTTTACAAATCAAACAACACAAATGTACACTTGCTTATATGAGCAAAATAAGATTCATCACAATCAAAAACCAGAGACAAAAGATGATTTTAAAATGAGATTTAAAAGCACCAAGGGAAGAGCGTGATCTGATGTAGAAAGGTAAACCATTCCACAGACGAGGGGCTGCAACAGATAAAGCCTCATCTCCTTTTGATTAAATTGAGACTTGGAAACCACCAACTGAAACTGTTGTGCTGACCGAAGAAGCTTAGATGAAATATACCGATGAAGAAGCTCACCGTAAACTTCACACTTGGTTCAATTGCCTGGACCATACCCAGTTCGATTGGGTTTTGGACATAGAGAAAGCGGCTAACGTCTATCTGCCGCAAAAATATTATATTCGGTCAGAACATCAAGCGATGTCTGCAGAAGCTGCTTTCGGAGGAGACAAGCGGACTCTATCACTGTGTTTACCCTGTCCTGTTTGTTACCAAGGTACAGTATATGATACATTCACACACACACACACACACACACACGAATAAATATTATGTAAACGATAGTTTGTTGTACTGTTGGCGGTTTACATCCATTATTTGGTACTATTGGTTTCATACCCGAATTGAACCGGACCAGAGTTTGTGTGAACCATACCTTTAGGTGGACTCAGGTACGGTTTATGGGTGCGCACAAGAGTTCAGAAGACACTTTCACACTAGCTAAACGTACCGTACTCTGATGTCAAATGAACTCAGGTGCGGACCAAAAGTGCTACTGAAACAGCAACAACTCGTACTGAATACTGCCGTAATCTAGCAGATTTATTAGTTTATTAAGGTGCTTGCATAGCTGTAGATCAATTTTGTTCTGAAACCGGGATTAAAGTTGTTGATCTTTGTTCTTGGTGCGGTTTGCGTTCATTCGGAAAAGTTTCTAAATGGACCACAATGATTAAAACAAGCCTTATGTGAGTAAACTCTCTTCACATTTCTCAGAGTTTAGTTTATTTTCCTGGATTCTGCTCGGCTGTCATCCATCATTTTTTAAATTTACGACAATGAGAAATCAGACATTATTACCAAAAATGTGCACTTTACTTTTGATGGTGATAGACATAGACATCACCAAATATAAATCAGAGATAAGAGTTTCCCATACATAGTCTCATTTAAATTTTGATTTTGATTGGTTGGAGGGTGTGTCAGTCAGTTTCGATTACAGTTCAAACTTAATATTAAAGTAGGGCTGTGCAATTAATTGAAAATTCGATTTCGATTTTGGCTTCTAACGATTATGAAAAAACATTAATCTAGGTAAACGATTAAAGGAAAAGACCGCATGATTCTGTGTGTGAGGCACGCACACAGAACAGAAGCATGCAGTCAGCATTCGGTCTCACTCGCACACTGAGACGAGCAGAGCGCAGTCAGCGCACACATCTAAAGTCATCTTAACGTGAGCGCTTTAATAGTCAAATAGGTGTCAAAACGTGGTGTTTAGTGATTGTTCATATTAACCCTCATTTGTGTAATAAACGAGTTTAGGATCAAAAGACATGTGAAAGAGAAAGTGGGATTTAGTGTAATTAGGCAGGTCATTGTATAACAGTAGTTTCTTCTGCAGACAATCAAAATATATTGCTTAAGGGGGCTAATATTATAGACTTTAAAATGGGTTTCAAAATATTTAAACATGCTTTTATTCTAGCCAAAATAAAAATAAAAAAAGAAGAAAAAATATCAGAGGAAATACTGTTAAAATTCATTGCTCTGTTAAACATCATTTGGAAAATATATATTTTTTTTTAATTCTCTGGAGCACTAATAATTTTGACTTTAACAGTAATCGTTTTGAATAATCTTGATTACAATTATGACCAAAATAATCGTGATGTTTCCCAAAATCGAGCAGCCCTATAATAAAGCATAATTAGAAAAATACTCATCAATTATGCCACAAAATTAAGTTTTAAGACTAGTTACAGGCGAGAATATAATTGAGAAATTCAGTGCATATGTCAATCTTGCCATGAAAAAAAATTAAGTTTTCACCAAAATATGGAAACCGTTTCTTGTTTTTTTTTTTTTTTTTTTTTTTTTGTTAAGCAAGTATTTTACATTACTTTAGAAATACTCAAAAATGCATCTGTCAGTGTTTTCAAACTACTCTATTTGATTTACCAAAAGACACACAAGTGGCAATTTCACATCCACCAGAGAGACGGAGAGACGTCAAATCCATAATCACACTTTTTAACAATAAATGTGAAAATATATAATTAAATAAAACCAACCATTTTTGTTCTATAGATAGCCGACTCTTCCTTTTGATTATCATTGTTTCTTTTGGGTTGTGCAGTTTAATTCACAGAATTTCTACAAAGTATGTTGTATACTGTAAACGCATGTTTATTTCTCTCATTTAAAATATAAAACATGTTTGCAGATTGATATTTTTCTGCTCCCATTACTCTGTGCTCAGTTGTTCTAGAAAATATACACAGATGTGTCAATATAATGTTAATATACACTTTCTATGTGAATTTATGTTTTGAGCTTTTACTGCAAATGTCACATCCATAACCCTGGACTTGCTCAATTAGTTTTTAAGTTATATTGGCAGTTTATGTATGGGGAAATCATGTCTTTACAAATTCGAAAGCTCCAGGTGGTCAGCGGGAGCTCTGTGAACAGTCACCCCCTCCTCCTCCTCCCCCAAAAGAAGCTTTATATCGGTCAGACCATCTCAGGACCTTCTGCTGGATCTAATCTCTTGCATCTCTGTTGTTAAAGTGTGATCTGTAGTTACTCTTTGTTGTATTTAACGGTCAGTATTTAGACTTTTGAACCTATTATCTGCTCTGATGTGTTAGTTTTGGCAGATCGCAAACATACGTGTTATAATTCATTTTTGACCGTAAATAATCTAATATCAAATGATGTCACTTTCGACTCATAGCTTTAAAGTTGTATTGCACGCATTACATGTTAAATTTTATGCAAATGTGACAGGACTGACAGAAACACGGGACGGTTGTAAAATTATTTATATCATATATTTGTAGAGTTTATTTATAATTTCATGTTTTTGATCAATAAATGTGAATAAAAACAATTTAAACATTATATTTCTGAAGTATTTTTTTTTCTAAATAACAGTTTTTAGCATAACAAATGGATTAAAGCTGTAGGTCCAATTGGGCTGAGGACAATGACAGGGTTTGTATAGTGTAAAGTGTTTTTAATAAAGAACAAAAATCCGAGAACCAATTGAACGACATATTCCTTTACAGGACAACTCAAAGAGATCAACCAGCTGTCTATTTTAGATGTAATACTTTTTATTAACTATATTAATGTTTTTAATTTTAGATAATGTACATTTCTGGTAGAACGTCCAATATTTTTACTCAATCGGCCGTGAAAAAAGGGATTGTAATAAGTGTCCTTTTAATTTTTCAAGAATCTAATTAACAGTATTTTAACTCTAAACCGAACGGGAATCCGACGGCTTTTTGGCGAAATTAGCAATTGTTTTGTATTTTAATTTGGCGCGTTTTTGTTTATCCGCCCGTGCTCCCCGTGATGACGTCAACTGAACTGACGCGTTTATTGAGCGTCGAGTCTTCAGAGCTGAGGTGAGTCGTTGACGCTTTTTCTCGTGTTTACACAACAATAAAACACATTTTACAGTTTATTAAAGCGACAATCTGCGACTAAATTCTGCATTGAGTTCACCTCTATCTGTGTGTCTGCTGACCAAAACAATACAGCAGGCAGAGAGGAGCTCTGAGGGGAAGATATTAGGGAGTTTGTGTTTTTCATTGTGAACTGATTGTCAACTGTTGTGATAAAACATGATGACTGTATTTGGGGATTTAGTGTGGCAGATATATTAAGCTTGACACTGAAAACATTAAGGTATTGGTTTGTGTTTGCTCGTCATTTAAAGGTGTTTTATGGTTTGTACTTTTTTACACACCATATAAACCTGTTTACCCGATATGTAGTAAAAATAAGTTGATTTCTAAAATTACGAAATGCTTTAGATAAACCTCAATATGAAATCCTTTTCACTTATTAAGTACAAACGCATAACTTTAAAAATATGACTAGATATAGTTTCCTTTATGTGGTAAACACATTTAAAAAGACATTTACCGTAAAATGTTTTATATTTGAAGAGTTCAGATGCAAAAACCTTTAAAAGCCGTCTGTAATTTTCCTCTAAGCTGAGCATTTTCATCAGGCTCCTGTGTATGTTCAGTAGCATAACTTTTATGGCAAAGAATAAGGCCTTTTCCTGGTCTTTAAAGTGAAATATCTCAAAATAAACAAAGGAGGCTGAGAAAAATGTTTATTTCCAATGGAAATTTCAGACGGCACTTAGAGGTTTACCCATCTGAACACTTCATTTATTATCAAATTAACTTTAATGATCTTATTTGAACTGTCTTGTTTATTTATGGTAGCTATAAACTTTTTTGCCATGAATCTATAAAATCTGCAAAATAAGTTTTAAGAGCAAGTTATGTGATCACCTATTGTGTTACCTAAGAGATAATATTAGCACACTGGATGTTATTTAGCATGCAGCAATTCATTTTGTTACTGGTGCGCCATTTAATACTCATGACTGTCAACTGTAGTCTTCATGGAATCAGCCTTCTCTTCAATCACGTCGACAAATTCCTTAGTTTCTGTTAATTTACGAAACTCCTATTGGGAAAAACTCCACTTTATTTAGTCACTTCTTCAGAATTCAGAAAACATGTGGAAATCTGCACTCTAGTAGTTTTATTAGCCTTTGCATACCCAAAGATCGCTACTCTTCAGTTTTCTGCTGCTGATTCTTGGAGTCATCTGCAGCAGACCTTAAAGCTCAACACTTTCATTCCACTATCATCCTTTAAAAATTCAATCCAGTAAATAGTACAAGATCCCTGTGCTTGTATTTAGTTTTTCATTTGTTTTATTTGTTATTATCTGCATTTGTGAAATTGTTATTGTATTGTGTCCCTGCTGCTTTGTACTGTATCTGCTTTTTATGTTGCCTCTTGGCCAGGTCGTCATTGTAAATAAGAACTGGTTCCCAATTGACTTTCCTGATTAAAAAAAGGTTATTATAATATGCTTCTTTAATCAGTGTAAATTAATCTGATTTTTCTGTTTTTTCATTTGCGGCTCGTCCTTCTTTAGTTCAGCTGTAAATACTGGAGTTTTTCCATCAGTCTACAAGTGAAGACGAGCATCAGACCATTAGGAAGAAGATGAGTGATTCAGAACCCTGCAGAATTAAACAGGAAGAGACCGAAGAACTAATAGGTAATAGGTCACTCTTTTGATGCAAGCCATATAAATATAGTAGTCAACATTTGAAGTTAAAATGAACTTATTTCCTAATTTTCAGATGTGAAGGAGGAGAGTGAAGATGAGGAGAAACATCAGGTCAAAAGTGGAGAAGGAACTCAATCAGAGCCTGAACAGTTACCTTCTCTGCAAACAAACACCAACCACAGTAAGTTGGACATTTTAAGATCCAGCCCTTCAGGTCATATTAATTAGGATAATTGTGGAATTCAATCGCCTCTTCTCTGTTGCCTTCTCGTCTTTCTTCCAACAATGTTTTTAAGCCACTTGAATCTGGATTGTGTAAACTCCACAGCACTGAAACTGCATTAGTTTAAGTCACTAATATCCTGCTAATTGCATCCAATTCAGGACATCTGTCTATACAGACTCTTCTCGATCTTATTGCCACTATAGACCACATTTGAACTACTTTAATCTCTAGAGTAGAAAGTATGTTTGGAGTTACCGGTTCTGCTTTGAAATGTGTTAAGTCTTATGTTCATGAGCTCAAGCAGTTTGTGGTAATGGGTGCCTGCAGCTCTGAGGTCGCTGTGGCTGGCTCTGGTGTACCTCAGGGATCAGTATTGTGCCCTTTACTTTTTAGCCCCAATCTCAATTCTGTTTTTGTACCCCTTTCACTTGGCTTTTAAAACAGAGTGTGAAGGGGAAGGGCTTCAACATTTACCCCTGAGAGATAGGACAGCACTACGACACGTGCACAGATCATCATATGTCATCACGATCTCTTGTTTATATGAGATCGGCGATCGTCACTGCTGTAGTTATTCCGGTTGTGTTATTTTTTTGTTTATCTTCAGGAAGTCACTGAAGGCATATATCATGTTATCATAATGATACAATGTGGCAATAAGCTCGTAACTTTACCGTAAGACATCCTTTAATACTTTATGCAACAGCACTTTTATAAAGTTTTCATCGGCCAATCTCCACCACAAGAAATCAATACTCATTTTCGGCTGCAAAAAACTGACTCAAGAAGAGGAAAAAATTCTAGTGTTCATATCTGGTGTTTAACTATTTGTAGATATTACTCAGCAATGTTAACTTATTAATTTGTGGGAAGGAGTTGTAAAGCATTACTTTGCTACAGCAATCCACATGTAAATAACGCATTAGTCTTTTAGGGGCGAAATTCAACTCAAACACCACCAAACTGCCCAAGTTACTTCAGAATCCGATGTCTACTTTACAAATATTGTGAAAAGTATTAAAAAATATGAGGCGATGTACATCGAAATAGGGGGTGCCATTGTATGGTCACCAATTGAAACCTGAATGCAAGCTGGTGGCTTAATAAAATTTTTATCAACCAATCACCACCACAAGAAGGCAATACTCATTTTTTGCTGCAAGAAATTCTCATTGGAGCATGAGATATATATATATATATATATATATATATATATATATATATATATATATATATATATATATATATATATATATAAAGAGAGAGAGAGGAGGATCTAAACGACTGGGAAAAAATAAAATAATTTACCATCGAATAAAAGGGTTGCTGACAATTGACAATTAATCAATCATTGATTAATCATTTGCACATTTCTCTCTTAAAGGGTCATGAAACACCAAAACACATGTGTTTGAGCTGTTGACAGTCGTTTATGTGTCCCACACTGCTAAAAACACTATTAGGACACCTATATTTCACTAAAAAGTGTAAATTGGTTGTTTTTGCGTTATTTCAAGCAAATTCGTACTTCCGGTTTGAAACTAATTTTTGAAGCTGCGTCACGGTCATGACATAATAGCGTGTATTCCAGCGTGCAGACTGGACGTCTGTGCCAGAGTGTGTCTTATTACGTCTTACAGTGTGCTGCATTAATGCATGAGTAAGGCTTGGTTCAAACCAATCAGCGCGCTCTATTGTGCAACTTCATTAATATTCATTACTGTCACAGTGTTTAGACGGCAGAGACGCCACGTTGTGTTGGCAAAATAAGCGTGTAGTGTTGCTTTTATAGTTTGCTGCAGTTCAGTTTCGTTTTCATTTTCTCTCTGTGAGAGCTCAGAGTCACGTGTGGATTAACAGTGTACGCGACGCTCGACAACAATAACTTACGTGTCTAAGGAGGATTATTGTTTACCTGAGAGCTGTTCTCATCTGCAAACGCTGAAATCCGGATTCGCTTGTAGTCTCCTCTTAATAAAGACGCGGCTCTAGTTGCTGGTGATTGTCCTGTCTCTACAGATTTGGTAAGTGAGCGACCAGTGCTCTTTGTTTATTCAGTTTGTTCGTATCGAACTAAGTTAACTATTGCACTGAGTGTAAACATGTTAGCATCACAACCAAACTTTAACCTCGTTTAGGATTTTCACCGCATTTAGTGACCGGAATAACAAACGCGGCTTTCTGACGCTACCTGCCGTGTGCATCTAAGTTTCCGGGAAATGCGGAGGGGTCTTTTCTCTCATTCGCCGTGCGGTATCAAACATTGCATGAAAAATACACGCTTAGAGCAGCTCCTCGAATCAAATATTTTGTTTGTCGCGAGGGGCATGAATGAATTTCCTGAATGAAAGAGCCAAACTGCAGTTAAAGTCCACCATTTAATAATTCAGCAAATAATTCGACTACAGATGTCCATGTAAACAAACTTTATCCCCTGTGTGTGTGTGTGTGTGTGTGTGTGTGTGTGTGTGTGTGTGTGTGTGTGTGTGTGTGTGTGTGTGTGTGTGTGTGTGTGTGTGTATATTTTGACTCTGAAACTCGCGCGTGCCCAAATAGACACTCCCACACCATCCCACTTTTCTTCCTCCGACACTCCCCCCTAAACAGAGCTGGACACGCCCACTTTTCTGACTTTTTCCAAAGTAGAGGTGTGAAAACACCCTGCTGAAACGAGGGGGTTTCATGGCCCTTTAAGATGTAACTTTGTTTCTGTACTTGATTTTCAGACCTGATGGTGAAAAAAGAGGAAAGTGAAGAACTGAGTGTAGACAAGAAGGTCCGTCGTAGTGTTCATACAGAAGTCAGGCCAAATTCATGCACTTTGTGTGGAAAGACTTACAAACGGCTGTCACATTTAAAACAACACCAGAGGACTCACACTGGAGAGAGACCGTACACATGTGATCAATGTGGGAAGAGTTTCAGTCTACCATCAACCCTTAATCACCACATGAAGATCCACACTGGAGAGAAAACACACAAATGTGATCACTGCGGCAAAACATTTTTGAGGTCTACAGAGCTGAGGAGACATCTTACAGTTCATACAAACGAGAAGCCTTATTCATGCTCTGAGTGTGGAAAGAGTGTAAGTCGTCTGTCAATTTTAAAAGAACATCAGAAGATCCACGCTGGTGTTAAAGAGCATATTTGCTTTGAGTGTGGGAAGAGTTTTATTAATGCTCAAGTACTGCAAATACACCAGAGGATCCACACCGGAGAGAAACCGTACAAGTGTTCACTCTGCGGCAAGACATTCAACCAGTTACAAAACCTGAAACAACACCAGAGGATCCACACTGGAGAGAAACCTTACAAGTGTTCACACTGCGACAAGACATTCAATCAGTTACAAAACCTGAAATCACATCAGAGGACTCACAGTGGAGAGAGACCTTACAAGTGTTCACACTGCGACAAGACATTCAGTAAGTTACAAAACCTGAAATCACATCAGAGTATTCACACTGGAGAAAAACCGTACAAGTGTTCACACTGCGACAAGACATTCAGTCAGTTACACGCTTTTAAATCACATAAGATGATCCACACTGGAGAGAAACCGTACAAGTGTTCACACTGCAGCAAGGCATTCAATCGGTTACACACTCTGAAATCACATAAGAGGATTCACACTGGAGAGAAACCGTACACATGTACTACGTGTGGAAAGAGTTTCAAACAATCATCACATTTTCATCAACACATGAGGATCCACACTAGAGTGAAAACAGTTCCAGCCAGTTCCGATTACAGTTCGAAATAGATGAGGACAGTTAATGGTGAACGGGGAAATTCTCAAAATTAGAAAAATACTCCTCTGTTATACCACAAAATCAAGTTTTAAGACTATTTGCAGACGAGAATATATTTGAAAAATTCTGTGCATATGTCAGTCTTGCCATAAAAAAAAAATACGTTTTTACCAAAATACGGAAATCGTTTCTTGTTTTTTTTTTTGTGTAGCAAGTATTTGACAGTACTTTAGAAACACTCAAATTCATCTGTTAGTGTTTTCAAACTATTCTATTTGCTTTACCAACGTCACACAAGTGGCAATTTCACATTCGTCACATCCGTAACGACACTTTTTCACCATAAGTGTGAAAATATTAAATTAAATAAAACCAATAATTTTTGTTCTATAGAGAGCAAACTCTTATCCTTTTTATTATCATTGTTTCTTTTGGGTTGTGCAGTTTAATCCACAGAAATTCTACAAAGTATGTTGTATACTGTAAACCAGCAGACTGTTTTGTCACATCCATAACGCATGTTCATTTCCCTCATTTAAAATATAAAACATCTTTATAGATTGTTATTTTTCTGCTCCCACAACTCTGTGCTCAGTTGTTCTGGAAAGTATACACAGATGTGACAATATAGTGTTAATATACACTTTCTATGTGATTTTTTTGTTTTGAGTTTTTACTGCAAATGTCTCATCCATAACGCTGGACTTGCTCAATTAGTTTAAAGTCAAATCGGCAGTTTATGTATGGGGAAATCACGATCATTCAGAAATCATTCTTTACACATTTCAGAAGCTTCAGGTGGTCAGCGGGAGCTCTGTTATAAAGAACATGTCTTTGGACTGTGGGGGAAATAATAATATTAATAATAATTCCTAACATTTATATAGCGCTTTTCTGGGCACTCAAGGTTCTTTACACAATGGGGAGGAATCTCCTCATTCACCACCAGTGTGCAGCATTCACCTTGATGACGCGACAGCAGACCACAAACCAGCTGATGGGTGGAGAGGAGACAGAGTGATGAAGCTAATCATGATATGGGGAGGGTTAGCAGGCCATGTTGGACAGAGGCCAGTGGGCAGATTTGGCCAGGATGCTTGGGTTAAACCCCTACTCTTTTTCGAAGGACATTCTGGGATTTTTAACGACCACAGAGAGTCGGAACCTCAGTTTAACGTCTCATCCGAAAGGCGGCGCTCACTGAGCAGTATAATGTCCCTGTCACTATACAGGGGCATTAGGACCCACACAGACCACAGGTTGAGTGCCCCTTGCTAGCCTCACTAACACCATTTCTGGCAGCAACCTAGCTTTCCCATGTGGTCTCCTATCCAGGTACTGACCGGGCGCAGCCCTGCTTAGCTTCAGTGGGCGACCATGTGAGAGTTGCAGAGAGCTAGCTGCCGGCTTCTGAGAACCAAATAAAGGACTTTTTTTATTTACAGAACATCTCACAGATATCGACCATCAGTCCATTTTGGAAATCTTTGGGATGTAATACTTTTTATTTACTTTATTATTGTTTTTATTTCAGATAATGTACGTTTCTGGTAGAACATCCCATATTTTAACTCAATAAGCCATGAAGGGATTGCAATAAGTGTCCTTTTACCTTTTTAAGAATCTAATTAACAGTATTTTAACTCTAAAACTGAAGACGGCTTTTTGTCCACATTAGTAATTGTTTTTGTTTTGGTATTTTAATTTGGCGCGTTTTTGTTTATCCGCCCTTGCTCCCGCCTCGCCGTGATGACGTCAGCGCTGACGCTTTCATTCAGCGTCGAGTCTTCAGAGCTGAGGTGAGTCGTTGACGCTTTTTCTCGTGTTTACACAACAATAAAACACACTTTACAGTTTATTAAAGCGACAATCTGCGACTAGTTTCTGCATTGAGTTCACCTCTATCTGTGTGTCTGCTGACCAAAACAACACAGCAGGCAGAGAGGAGCTCTGAGGGGAAGATATTAGGGAGTTTGTGTTTTTCTGTGTGAACTGATTGTCAGCTGTTGTGATAAAACTTGATGACTGTATTTGGGGATTTAGTGTGGCAGATATATATTAAGCTTGACACTAAAAACATTAAGGTATTGGTTTGTGTTTGCTCGTCATTTAAAGGTGTTTTATGGTTTGTACGTTTTTACACACCATATAAACCTGTTTAGCAGATATGTAGTAAAAATAAGTTGATTTCTAAAAACAAGCAAACGAAATGCCTGAGCGAAACCTCAATATGAAATATCTTTCACTTATTCAATAAAAACGCATAACTTTAAAAATATGACTAGATATCATTTCATTTATGTGGTAAACACATTTATAGAGATATTCACTATAAAACTATATTTGAAGAGTTCGATGCAAAAACCTTTTAAAGCCGTCTCTAATTTTCCTCTAAAATGAGCATTTTCATCAGGCTCCTGTGTATATGGTCAGTAACATAAAATTTATGGCAAAGAATAAGGCCTTTTCATCCTCCCTAACGTGAAATATCTTAAAATAAACAAAGGAGGCTGAGAATTTTTTTTATTTTCAATGGAAATTTCAGACGGCACCTAGAGGTTTTCCCATCTGAACTCTTTATTTGTTATCATATTAACATTAATGATCTTATCTAAACTGTCTTGTTTATGGTATTAAATTTTTTTTTGCCATGAATTTATTAAAATCTACAAAAGTTTTAAGAGAAAATTATGTGATCACCTATTGTGTTACCTAAGAGATAATATTATCACACTGGATGTTATTTAGCATGCAGCAATTCATTTTGTTACTGGTGCGCCATTTAATACTCATGACTGTCAACTGTAATCTTTATGGAATCAGCCTTCTCTTCAATCACGTCGACACATTCCTTAGTTTCTGTTAATTTACAAAACCCCTATTGGGAAAACTCCACTATATTAACGATCACTATTTACAAAACATGGAAATCTGCACTCTAGTAGTTTTATTAGCCTTTGCACACCCAAAGGTCGCTATTCTTCAGTTTTCTGCTGCTGATTCTTGGTGTCATCTGCAGCAGACCTTAAAGCTCAACACTTTCATTCCACTATCATCCTTTAAAAATGTAATCCAGTCACAAGATCACCGTGCTTGTATTTAGTTTTTCCTTGGTTTTACATTATTATTGTATTTTGTTTCTGCTGCTTTGTATGGTATCTGCTTTTGTTGCCTTTTTATGTTGCCTCTTGGCCAAGTCATCATTGTAAATAAGAACTGGTTCCCGATTGACTCACCTGGTTAAATACAAGTTTATTGTTGTTTCATCGATCAGTGTAAATTAATCAGATTTTTCTGTTTCTTCTTTTGCAGCTCGTCCTTCAGTTCTGCTTTAAATACTGTAGTATTTCCATCAGTCTACAAGTAAAGACGAGCATTAAACCATCAGGAAGAAGAGAAATCTGCGACGACGGAGTTTATTGAAGGACAGTGAGAAGATGAGTGATCCAGAACCCTGCAGAATTAAACAGGAAGACACTGAAGAACTAATAGGTTTGTGTTTATTCATTACTCTTTTGGTGCAAGCCATATATATAGTAGTCAACATTTAGCAAACGATTAAAAACTAGCCTCTTAAAATTAACTTATTTACTCAATATTCAGATGTGAAGGAGGAGAGTGAAGAACTGAGTGAAGATGAGGAGAAACATCAGGTCAAAAGTGGAGAAGGAACTCAATCAGAGCCTGAACAGTTACCTTCTCTGCAAACAAACACCAACCACAGTAAGTTGGAAATTTTAAGATCCAGCCCTTCAGGTCATATTATTTAGGATAATCGTGGAATTCAATCGTATATTCTCTGTTGCTTTCTCGTCTTTCTTCCAACAATGTTTTTAAGCCAATTGAATCTTGATTGTGTTAATTCCACAGCACTGAAACTGCATTAGTTAAAGTCACTAATATCCTGCTAATGGCCTCCAATTCAGGACATCTGTCTACAGACTCTTCTCGATCTTATTGCCACTATAGACCACATTTGAACTACTTTAATCTCTAGAGTAGAAAGTATGTTTGGAGTTACCGGTTCTGCTTTGAAATGTGTTAAGTCTTATGTTTATGAGCTTAAGCAGTTTGTGGTGATAGGTGCTTGCAGATCTGAGGTTGCTGTGGTTTGCTCTGGTGTATCTCAGGGATCAGTATTGGGCTCTTTACTTTTTAGCTCCATTGCCAATTCTATTTTTGTACTCCTTTCACTTGGTTCTTGAAATGGAGTGTAAATGGGAAGGGCTTCAAAATTTTCCCATGTGAAATGGGACAACACTACAACACCTGCACACGTCATCATATGTTAACATAATCTCTTGTTTATATGAGATCGATGACCTGCTGTAGTTATTCCAGTTGCGCTATTTATTTTGGTATTTGATTTCAGGAAGTCACTGACTGTCATAGATCATCTTATCATAATGATATAATGTGGCAATAAGATCGTAACTGTGCTGCAAGACATCTTTTTAGTATTTTATGCAACGGCACTTTTATAAATCTTTTATCGGCCAATCATCACGACTAGAAATTAATACTCATTTTTGGCTGCAAAAATCTTCATCTAATCATGTAATATATTGAGAACAACTCAAAAAGAGGAAAAAAAATCTAGTTTTCATATGTGGTGGCATATATATATATATATAAATTGTATGAATATTACTGAGCAGTATTACTTATTCATTTGTAACAAGAGTTGTAAAGTGGATTGCTGTAGCAAAGTAATGCATGTAAATAACACATTAGTCTTTTAGGGGCGAAATTCAAGTCAAAAACCACCAGACTGCCCAAACTACTTCAGAATCTGATGTCTACTTTATAAAGTTTGTAAAAAGTATTAAAATATATAGGGGGGTGTACACAGAATCATGGAGCGCTATTGTATGGTCACTATGGAAACTGAATGCCAACTGGTGGCTTAATAAAGCTTTTATTGGCCAATCACCACGACTAGAAATCAAAACTTGTTTTTGGTTGCAAGAAACCCTCATTGGAGCAGATGATAAATATAGAGAACGACTCAAAACGATTGGGAAAAAAAATTAAATAAATGACCATCAAATCAAAGGTCAATCATTGATTAATCATTTGCACATTTCTCTCTTAAGATGTAACTTTGTTTCTGTGCTTAATTTTCAGACCTGATGGTGAAGAAAGAGGAAAGTGAAGAACTGAGTGTAGACAAAAAGGTCCGTCGTAGTGTTCATACAGAAATCAGGCCAAATTCATGCACTTTGTGTGGAAAGAGTTACAAACAGCTGTCACATTTAAAACAACACCAGAGGACTCACACCGGAGAGAGACCGTACACATGTGATCAATGTGGGAAGAGTTTCAACCAACCATCAACCCTTAATCAACACATGAAGACCCACACTGGAGAGAAAACACACAAATGTGATCAATGCGGAAAAACATTTTCAAGGCCTTCAGAGCTGAAGAGACATCTTAGAGTTCACACAAAGGAGAAGCCTTACTCATGCTCTGAGTGTGGAATAAGTTTTAGTCGTCTGTCAAATTTAAAAGAACATCAGAAGATCCACGCTGGGGTTAAAGAGCATATTTGCTTTGAGTGTGGGAAGAGTTTCAATAGAGCTCAAGTACTGAAAATACACCAGAGGATCCACACCGGAGAGAAACCGTACAAGTGTTCACACTGCGGCAAGACATTCAACCAGTTACAAAACCTGAAATCACATCAGAGGACTCACACTGGAGAGAAACCGTACAAGTGTTCACACTGCGACAAGACATTCAGTCAGTTACACACTCTGAAGTCACATAAGATGATCCACACTGGAGAGAGACCGTACAAGTGTTCACACTGCGACAAGACATTCAGTCAGTTACACACTCTCAAATCACATAAGAGGATTCACACTGGAGAGAAACCGTACACATGTACTCGCTGTGGAAAGAGTTTCAAACAATCATCACATTTTCATCAGCACACGAGGATCCACACTGGAGTGAAAACACACAAATGTGCTCAGTGCGACAAAACATTTTTGAGGCCTTCAGTGCTGAAGAGCCATCTCAGAGTTCATACAAAGGAGAAATCATGTTCTTCAGCTCCATCAGAAACTTAATCAAGGATTTCCTAATGATTTTCCATATATATACACACACAAACTGCTCAAACAAATAAAGGGAACACTTAACATCCTAGATCTAAATGAAGTAACTGTTCTTATTTAATACTTTGTTCTTTAAATAGTTGAATGTGCTGACAACAAAAGAAATTATCAGTGGAAATCACATTTATTAACCCATGGAGGTCTGGATTTGGGGTCACACTCTAAATTGAATTGGAAAAACACACTTCATGGTGATTCAACTTTGATGTAATGTCCTTAAAACTGGTCAAAATGAGGCTCGGTAGTGCGTGTGGCCTCCATGTGCCCGTAGGACCTCCCTACAAAACCTGGGGATGCCCCTGATGAGTTGGCGGATGGTCTCCTTAGGGATTCCCACCCAGACCTGGACTAAAGCTTCCGCCAACTCCTGGACAGTCTCGCCCTATTCACACGGGGCTTCAGCGTCAACGCTTGACAGAGGGCGTGTCTGAAGTTGGAGCTGAAACGATCGTCATAGAAGCGTCAGCCAATGAAATTCAGTCAGCAATAGGCCACTGTCTGAGCTGGTGTATTTGCATACAGCGATCTGATTGGCTGACGCTTCCGTCGGCGCTTGAAAAGTTGAGCTGGTCCCAACTTCTGCAGCGAGGAACGCTTCTGAAGCGGCGCCGACGGATCCACAATGCAGTTCGGCAGTGCCTGACGTCACCCATTCAAAGTGAATGGGAAGCGTTGACGCTGACGCCCCGTGTGAATAGGGCGTCTGTGTTGCAATGTGGCGTTGGTGGTTGGAGCGAGACATGATGTACAACATGTGCTCAGTTGGATTCAGGTTTGGGGAACGGGCGGGCCAATCCATAGCATAAATGCCTTTATCTTGCAGGAACTGCTGACATGCTCCAGCCACATGAGGTCTAGCATTGTCTTGCATTGGGATGAACCCAAGGTCAACTGCACCTGCAAATGGTCTCACAAGGGGTCCGAGGATCTCATCTCAGTACTTAATGGTAGTGTGGCTACCTCTTGCGTGCGCACAGTGGATGGAGCAAGACATGATGTCCCACATGTGCTTAGTTGGATTCAGGTTTGGGGAACAGGTGGGCCAGTCCATAGCATCAATGGCTTCATCTTGCAGGAACTGCTGACACACTCCCAAGGTCTGCTGCACCAGCATATGGTGTCACATGGCGTCTGAGGATCTCTTCTCGGTACCTAAAGGTAGTGTAGCTACCTCTGGCGTGCACATGAAGGGCTGTGCGGCCCTGCAAAGAAATGCCATCCCACACTATTATTGACCCGCTGACAAACCAGTCATTCTGGGGGATGTTGCACATGTGCGATTGTCTTGTTTTAACAGTATTTAAAAATGGTGCTTCCTGTGTTGTCGTTTCTATTCTTGCGCATAAGTAACGATTCTCTGTAAACCAATAAACGTTTAGCAGTGAGTCCAAACTTAAACAAACCTTATCATCTTCATGAATAGCCAAAAAGCCAAGAAGACAAGCATAACCTGCTGTGTGTCATGTTGTTTACAAGGGCGTCCAAAAAAGCTTGAGTGATTTCACTCTCTCCAATGAGCTTGCAATCGCTTGCTGTGTGTCTAGGTCTGTTGCGATAGTCAATGTATTGACTGATCGCGCGATATACAAAAATGAGGGCGGTTAATTTTTGGAGTTACGATATATTCAGGGCCGGTGCGTCCATAGAGGTTACCTAGAATAGTGAGGGTGGCATCTGCGACCTCACTTTCATCCATGACACCCCTCTCCCTTTCATTTACGACACCGCCAACTTTCACTTCGCGGCACTTCCGTTTTCACTTTCGGGTTGTGGGCAGCGTGATCGTTGTTTGTCTAGAGCGCCAGTTCAGCTTGCTATGTATTGATATAGAATAGATATATTGTCTATTTTATAAAGAAATTTAAGATGATGATGATTAGGCTACATAATATAACAAGCTAACTTTTTTGTTGAACACACTGCATTCTGCTTTCTGTGGAAGACCGGGCTTATGCAGCATCTCCATGCACGCAAACAGAGAGGATAGTGGAGGTGAAGACAAGACGCAAACTCACTGACTCGTGTTTAGAAACTACAGTCAGTTAGGATAAACAAGTCGAGATGGACTTGGTTTCAAAGCCACGGTCTTCAGCTCTGGTGTGCAAACATTTTTACTTTAAGGCGAATGAGAAAGGAGAGTCCGCTAACGTGAATAAGCCAATATGTTGAATTAGTTTCAGAACAGTGGCAACGAAAAAAGGCAACAAAACTTATCGGAAATCACACCTTAAACATAACCACCCAACCATGGTAACAACAATCGCAATTGGTACTGCAGAGGGGTCTTCCAGACAGTTAACTGTAACAGATGTATTTACCTGCCAGCAGGGCCGAAGCAAGCTGAAATGGCGCTCTAGGCGAACAGCGATCACGCTGACTTAAACACGAAAGTGAAAAAGAAAGTGATCAGTTTGCCGATGTAAGTGAGGACTCGGAAAGAGGGGGAGTGGGTGTCGCGAATGAAAGTGAGGACCAGGGGGTTCGCAGCAGCCGCCCTCACTATTTTTCCACCCTAGGTGGGCGCCTAGGTCGCCTCTATGGACGCGTCTGCCCCGCCTGCCAGTGTAAATATAAACGTGACAGCACGAAATGGCACACACTCTCAGACTGGTACCGTTATATGGCTATAAAGATGTAGCCTTTAAACCAACCTGATCTCACGAGAAAACGTAAGTGTTTTATGTTTTGCCAGTTTCGTAAGAGTTTAAGTCATACGAAATTTGTACGATTTTAAAAATGAGGCGTGGCACCTAACCCCACCGCTAAACCCAATCGTCATTGGGGGATGAGCAAGTCGTACTAAATTGTAAGAATTAGATCGTACAAATTCATACGAATTGGCCACTAAAGCAAAAAGTTACAAATTGCCGTGAGATTGTGTTGGTTAAACACTTAAAATAGCATCATTTACAAAAAATATGCCGCAAACATTTAACAGTCTTGTTTTAGAATCTGACTGATGATTAAAAAAGGCGGCTGAGATGCATTAAAAGTCTACATTTGTTTACATCTACTATTTATTAATACGTATTTGTTTTAAGATATTTTTTCATGTTTCAATTTCAAACCTAAATATTCTAAATATTACTAAAGATAAAATATTCTTTGTAACGGTGTACCTGAATGTTTACACTATTATGTTCTATTATTAATGGATATAAGTTATAAAGTAGCAATAATGTTGTTTAACGCAATTAATTTGGGTGCAATATATCGCCCAGCAAAAAAATAGATATCGTGACAGCCCTATGTGCGTCTATATTTAAAATAACATGAGAGGCTCTAACTGAAGCTTATCATTCTCAAATAAATCATACAAAAAAACAAGCATAAAATCAAATTCAATGATAGAACATCCTTGATCACTGTCAGCTTCTCCGTCAAATGATGTCACTTTCAAATCATAGCTTTAAATGTGTATTGCACGCATTGTATGTTAAATTTAATGCAAATGTGACAGGACTGACAGAAACACGGGGACAACAGTTAATTTATTTGTGTTATATATTTGTAGAATTTATGAGGGATTGATTTTTAAGGTGCCTAATATATAAGTAGTAATAAGACTTTTTCGTGTTCATTAGCAAATGTTTTGGCTTGTCAGAATTATTTTAATTAGCCGCGTTGGAAAAAAAAACCGCCTTTGCGACATCCGTCCACCTCAACGTGATGACGTCAGCCATTACGCGTTCTGTCAACGTCGAGTCTTCTGGGCTGAGGAAAAAAATCTTCTGAGGTGAGGCGTTGTTTACAAAACAACATGACACATTTACACCGATTATAAAGCAACAATCTGCGAACGTCCTTCTGCGTTGAGTACGTCTGTGTGTCTGCTGACCAAAACAACACTGCAGGCAGCGAGTAGCGTTAGTTCTGTGAGGAAAATATGAGTGTTTTTCCATGAAAGTGCGTTTCGTTTTACGTTTTGAGTTATAAAATTGCGTCTGTGATCCGTGAATAGGAATTTATTTACTATATGAATGAAGTTTGACACTGAAAATCTTACATTTGTAGTTTGTGGTGGTTTTAATGGTTTGTCATTTTACATGCCACATATATGTAGCAATCTAATTTCTGTATTAAGCTTATGTTAAACATATATATATATATATATATATATATATATATATATATATATATATATATATATATATATATATATATATATACACACACATGGATATTTTAAGATAATCTTGCAATCATTGAGTATAAAATGAGCTGATCTGCTGTTCATCCTGAATGGCTGTTTAATGAGTGTTTATAGTGTGATTATAGTCATCATTTCATAGTATGATATAGGCTTATCAAAGTTATCAGAGCTGCTGAAATTCTCCTAATTTCATGCCAAAAGCTCCTCTTTGTTTATCACATTAGTTCCTTCAGATCTACATTATCATGATGATTTACTTCCTTCATAAATCAGTGTAAATGAATCAGATTTCTCTGTTTGTTCTCCTGAAGCTCTGCCGCCATCAGTGAAAGACAAAGACAGAGTTTATTGAAGGACAGTGAGAAGATGAGTGATCCAGAACCCTGCAGAATTAAACAGGAAGACACTGAAGAACTAATAGGTTTGTGTTTATTCATTACTCTTCAATAATGAGGCTGAACAGCAGTGAGGTTGTTATTCTATAAGCACTTAATCAGTTTTACTTATATTTGTTATCAATAACAATAAAAAATGTAGGGGTGTAATGGATCACGGTTGATCCGTGAATCATACGGATCACAACCCATGGTTTGGAACACACATGGTACATTTTTCTACTTGCAGATTAATCCTAAATTTGCAACGATCACAGAGAGATTGCATCAAGTGTCATTGAAATCATATGTTTGAAAACATTTAGGCTTTTCTCGTAAAATATAATGATGACGGAAGAAGTTGTGGTGGGTTATTGAGGATGTGGTGGGTTTCTTAGGTTATTAAAGGTGTTTTCTGTCACTATTTGTTTAGCATGCTATAATGCGTTAAGTGGAAGCTGCACAATTAATCAGTAAAAAATTAAGATCTCAACACTCACGAAACATAAATTATAAATGATGGTGATTTGCATGTTTAATAATCCTTCGTATCGCTGCATTTAATTCTGTTTCTGAAAAATGCAAAAGTTAAGAAAGAATAACACAAAGACTGAGAGAACAGTTTTAGTTTAGATAAAACTACTGATGTTTATGGTAAACATTAAAATTACTGTAATATACATTTAATGATGCTCAAAAATGAAAGTTGTAGGCAGTAATTACATTATTTAACCAATATGTGGCGACAACCAGCCATCAAAAATATGCCACTGAATAATTCTTCAAAAGTGATCATCTAGCAATAAAACGTGATGTTTTATGAGTGAATAACTGAATCATTTATTGAAAATGAGACTTAATGTAAATAAATATGGGTTGTACAAATTATAATAAAATATTATAATTTAGCGTCATCACCAACAATAGCAGTAACTGGATTTTTCACAGAACTGAATATTTGACAGTTTATTTTTATTCAACTGATTATTTCTTAATTTTATTTTATTTCTTAATTTTTTAAATTACTTTATATATATATATATATATATATATATATATATATATATATATATATATATATATATATATATATATATATATATCACAGTTGAAGTCAGAATTATTAGCCCCCCTGTATTATTAGCGCCCCTGTTTATTTTTTTCCCAATTTCTGTTTAATGGAGGGAAGATTGTTTCAGCACATTTCTAAGCATAATAATTTTTAAAACTTATTTCTTAAAACTGATTTATTTTATCTTTGCTATGATGACAGTAAATAATATTTTACTTGATATTTTTCAAGACACTTCTATACAGCTTAAAGTGACATTTAAAGGCCTAACTAGGTTAATTAGGTTAACTAGGCAGGTAAGGTTAAACAGGCAAGTTGTTGTATAATGATGGTTTGTTCTGTAGATTATTGGGAAAAAAATAGCTTAAAGGGGGTAATAATTTTGTCGCAAAAATGTTTTTTAAAAAATTTAAAACTGCTTTTTTTCTAGCCGAAATAAAACAAGTAAGACTTTCTCCAGAAGAAAAAATATTATCAGACATACCGTGAAAATTTCCTTGCTCTGTTAAAAATCATTTGGGAAATATAAAAAAAAAATAAAAAGGGGGCTAATAATTCTGACTTCAACTGTATACACACACACACACACAGAACAAGAACAAACATTAGCTCGTACTTTAGACAAACAAAAGACAATATAAAAAAAACAACAAGGAAAAGAGACAAAATAAACACAAAGAAAAAAAAGCACATCATAGTCACAAAACATACAATCAAAACTGGTGAAGGTGTATAGCTTAAACCTCAGAGGGGTCACTGGATTGCTCTTGAGATGTTGATTTGTCAAATATTTCAAGAAATTGACCCCAAGTAGCCAAAAATTTTCTTGTGGAGCTAGTCAGTAAAAATCTGAGTCTCTCCATCTGAATAACAGACATCAGAAATCAAGTTCTGGAATGAGGGGGGTAACGGTGATTTCCAATTATTAAGCAATAGTCTTTTAGCCACCCCAATGCCATGCATTAAAGACGCTTGCATGGTTTGAGGGAGAGAAGATGTGTTTTGTGAAAGTCCAAAGATAGCAAGCTCGGCATCTGCCAGAAAAAGTGTATTGTAAGCCTTGGAGTACCAGTCAAATATGTTGGTCTAGAATTTGTTCAGTAGGGGACAGAGCCAAAAGGCATGAGCCACCGTGTCCTCAGCTATCTTGCATCTATCGCACATTGGCGAGACCGTAGGAAAGATTTTATGGAGCTTGGCTTTAGTGTAGTGTAGACGATGTATGACCTTGATATCTTCAATTCTTTTTGTCAAAATTACAGGTTTTAGGTTCAGTTTGGTAAAAACCAAAAGTGTCTTGCAGTGCTGTTTGTATAATAAATGGAAAACAAATTACATTTGTCATCTCCCCTTTTTGGCTGATCCAAAAAATGGTCTGATCCATGACTAAAAAAACCATAACGTGATCCGAACCATGAAATTTGTGATTCGTTACATCACTACTTACCTCCCTTGCTATAGTGTAATACACATGCACAGGTGGAACAAGTTTGCTAGATGGTGTAATGTCTTGTCATGGGAGTAATATTTAGCCTCCGCTGCTCTTATGCTTTGCTCGACGGAAGCCATTGAAATGAATGGGTTTCATAGTGCAGCACTTTCTGCGTCTGGTGTGAAAGCTGCTACTTATTATAATTGAAAATGTTTGCACTGTTGAGTGCTGCTTGAGCCTCATCTGCTGTTATCAAACTGATAAAATATAACCTCTTAAACTGAACTGATTTACTCTTCAGATGTGATGGTGAAGGAGGAGAGGGAAGAACTGAGCGAAGATGAGGAGAAACATCAGGTCAAAAGTGAAAGTGAAACTCAATCAGAGACTGAAAACAGTATTTTAATGAAAGAAACAGCCGCAAAAGATTTGACCTGCACTCTGTGTGGAAAGAGTTTGGGGCGCAAATATGATCTCAAGCGTCACATGAGGATCCACACTGGAGAGAAACCTTACAAGTGTTCCCACTGCGAGAAGAGGTTCAATCATTCAGGATACCTCAAAATACACGAGAGGACTCACACCGGAGAGAAACCGTTTCACTGCACTGCTTGTGGAAAGAGTTACACACACTCATCTTCTCTACAGACACACACTAAAAACGTTCACAGTAAGTAAAAGATCTACATGTCGGTACAGATCAAAGTCACCCTCATCAGCTTGAAAGCAACTCAATCTCACATGACCATTTGGGCTTCTTTATAAACTCAAGTTATCTATTTTATATGCACAATAGAGGAAGTATTGCGCACTTTCTACATCGTAAAATATCAAACTTTGTCAATAGCAAGCTTAGGTGTGCAAGCTTGTCATCTTTCAGCAAAGTTCTCCATTTATACATTGAAATAGGCCATTCATGCGTAATGTACAGATCTGTAGTCCAAAACAATTGGGAGAAGGATGGGGGTAAGTGGTTAGCACTGCTGCCTCACAGCAAGAAGGTCCCTGGTTCAAACCTCAGCTGGGTCAGTTGGCATTTCTGTGCGAGTTTGTATGTTCTCCCAGGGTTTCCTCCGGGTGCTCTGGTTTGCCCAAACACATGCGTTATAGGGGAATTGATGAACTAAATTGGCCACAGTGTATGAGTGTGTGAGTTAGTGTGTATGGGTGTTTCCCAATACTGGGTTGCAGCTCAAAGGGCATCCGCTGTGTAAAACATATGCTGGAAAAGTTGGTGGTTCATCCCGCTGTGGCGACCCCTGATAAATGAGGGACTGAGTCAAAGGAAAATTAATAAAAGTTTGGCACGGATACATTAAAACTTGAACATGAGTTGAACTGAGATTCAGATCAGAGCATCATTCTGCAGTTCACACTAGAATTGCTTCAGTTCGTATCAAGGTTTTAGGGCAGGGGTCACCAATCTCGGTCCTGGAGGGCTGGTGTCCCTGCAGGGTTTAGCTCCAACTTGCCTCAACACCTGCCTGGATGTTTCAAGTATACCTAGTTAGACCTTGATTAGCTTTTTCAGGTGTGTTTGATTAGGGTTGGAGCTAAATTCTGCAGGACCTCCAGGAACAAGTTTGGGGATCCCTGTTTTAGGGTCCCGATGTTTGGCACAGTTCAAAACATGATATGTTCAGTACAAAAACAGTACGCCATGGGTCTCAAACTCAATTCCTGGAGGGCCGCAGCTCTGCTCCAACCCTAATCAAACAGCTGATCCGACTAATCAATTGTTGTAAAGATTCTGAACACCTCGATTAGTTGCATCGCCTGTTAGATTATGGTCGGAGCAAAATGTGCAGTTTGAGAGACATGCAGTATACTGTCAAATAAGATAAAGAAAAAATGGATGTACAAGCAAAAGCACACATGAATACAGTAACTTTAGACATCATGTGATGCCTAATTGGTTGACATCGCCCAACCCTAGGTTGTACCGAACAGTTCGATATTGTTTGCAGTTTTGTGGCATCTCTTGCTTGCGCACATTTTTTTGTTGGAAATCCAAGTCAAATCTTTAGCCCTGCTAGAGCGCCTCCTGCTGTTTACAAACCTTTAAAAACTGGCCTCCTTAAATGAACTTTTTACTTCATTTTCAGATCTGATTGTGGTGGAGGAGAGTGATGACGTGAGTGAAGATGAGGAGAAACATCATAATAAAAGTGATGAAAAAACTCGATCAGAGATTGAGGATAGTATTTTATTGAAAGGTTTGACCTGCACTCAGTGTGGAAAGAGTTTTTGGCACAAATACCATCTCAAGCTTCACATGAGGATCCACACTGGAGAGAAACCTTACAAGTGTCCACACTGCGACAAGAGATTCAATTTTTCAGGAAACCTGAAAACACACTTGAGGACTCACACCGGAGAGAAACCGTATCACTGCACTGCTTGTGGGAAGAGTTTCTCAGATTCATCTACTCTACGAAGACACACAAAAAACTATCACAGTAAGTAGCAGATATTATCTAAAGATAAAGGTTGTGTTATTTATGATAACTGTAAGGTTGATAACACATCTGTTACACATCTTTTGCATCTAATTCATTATTTCAAATGCACCAACATGGAGATGAAGTATTGATGTTTTGTTTGTCTTGTTGCAGGCTAGGCCTCTCACGATATCTATATAAAGAGTTTCGTTGCAAAACAAGATATATATTCATTTTGAGAAATGTTGGTTATTTGACATAATTATTTAAGACATCAACAGTCAAGTTCATTTACAATTTGTGTACATTAAACTATTACTTGAGCTCAGTGAAGGCCAGGAACACAATATTCTTCAAATCCAGGATATTTTTTATTTAATTGATGTCCCTAAATAGTTCATAAATATGTCAAAAACCATGCCAAAATGCAACATATTTATATTAACATTAGCCCCTTTCACACATACAGACCTTTCCGGAAAATTACCGGCAATTTTCCAGAAAAGGTTGTATGTGTGAACAGGTCCTTTTTGAAATACCGGTAAATTCGTTCCGGCTATTTTCCGGAAAAAGAAGTTGTAACATTACCGGCAATTTGCCGGAATGCTGCGCTGTGTGAATGCAGAAGGAAGATTGCCGGAAATAGCGCGTCCACGTCTAGAACGTGCTGACGTGAGACGTCTGCTTTAGCCAATCAGAACAGTCAGACGCATTCACGTGCGCGCGGTTTATGAGAATAAAAGCCTTTGAATATTTTTCCAGACACCTTTAGCTGCTAGATGTTAGTCAGATCACGTTTATATGTTCCTTCTTAATGCTAACTGTGTAAATAATTATCGATAAAATGTTTATGATAATCTGTTGTTTGTTTACCTTCAAGCTCTGCGTGTGCCCATGAGCGCCCATAGCGCCAGCACACACACATAATGAACATCTCGACATGCGAAAGTGTTTCTCTATACGTTTTTATTAGAGTTGTTCACAATATTGATCATCCAAAGAGTTTTTAATGCAGTCAAATATTTACAAACGCAAGCGCAGCCGTTTAGAGGTCATTTCTGGTTAATGATGTCAGAATTTACCGGCATTTTGGGATGGATGTGTGAATGCTCTTTTCCGGAAAAATTCCGTTACGTCCTCGCCTGTGTGAACAGCGCTTTTTTGAATATACCGGTAAAGTCGTTCTGGAAATTTTCCGGATATTTACCGGTATCACTGTGTGAAAGGGGCTAATGTGAAGCATCTTAAATTGGTTAAAAAAAACTATACATCAGAAATATATGGAATAGTATATACAAAGATTGACTAATAATAAAATTCTGAGTTCGATTTAGCCTGAATATACACAACAAAACATAATTTTTAATTTAATTTTTTTTTTTTTGCAAATTTATCCACCTTAGGCTTTATTCTACTACTGTAATACCATTAAGGAAAGCTGGTGATTCAATGTTTTGTTCGATAAGTGAGATTAGGTTAGTTAAATAAATGACTTATAGCTTGTTACAGAAAAAGTAAAGGCCGGCTCCTGTATACTGCTGCTGAAAACCAAACCTGTATGATCAGCACGGGCGGAGCCGCAGTGTCACAGTTCTTGTCTCAGGGTGCTTTCACACCTGTGAATCGATTCAGTTGTTCCGAAACAGAGATTACAAATGTTACATTGTTGCTCTTTGCTCTTGGAGCGGTTCACTTTCACACTGCAAAGTTTCTAATCGGACCAAAAGAGCTAAAACAAGTCACGTGTGAGTAAACTCTCCTCACATTGGTCAGAGTGTCAGGGTTTATTCTGCAGAGTCCCACTCAGCTGTCAGGAGAGGTGGTGGTTTGGTGGTGTTTGACACGGTGCGCGTGACAAGTCTGAATAGTGAGGAGAGATGCGGTGGGGAGGTGGTGAGAAGGGTGCGTGACGTATTTGAGGACCAGGAGGGAGATGCGATATTACCGGGAGATCATCACTCGTTTGCGGGCATCCGGGACACTTCCAAACTTCCCGCCCTACTCATAATTCTCTCTTCATATAGCCGTATGCCTATTATATATCCATAAACCACAGTGGCATAACCGTGCTCGGATCGTTTGCTTTCTCACTGCAATCGATCCGCTCCAGAGTTTCACATATGCCAAACGAACCACGCTAACTGGGCAAACGAGACAGGTTCCGAAACAAATGTGTAGGTGTGAAAGCACCCTCAATTGCACCGTGTCTGCGACACAAGCTCGCCTCGCCCTGTCATACTGAATGAATTATTTCACTGTAATAATAATAATAATAATAATAATAACAGCTTATTTATTTGGTTGTTGTGAAAAAGCAAAACCGTTTATTTTTCTCCATAACAACCTGTGCTTTTTATGTTTCCCTAATAATAAATCAACAACAACAAGAATTAATGTGAGGTTTTAGGCTATAAATATTAGGTGCAAGCGCATAAATAAATCTTCAGATAGGCTACATGTAAGTAATTATTTTAAAAATAAACTTACAAAGGACATTTCGAAATGTTGCCTTGCAGACAGGTGTCTTGTGATGGGGAGGAGCGCAGGAAAAAAGGCGCACCCTGGCCTTCCTCTTAATTGACATCAGCGGAGACTCGTTCTCTGCTGTGTTGTGACTACAATATTTAAGGTTTTGTTTTCAAAGAAAATGTCGATGATGTCCATGCTTAATCAATGATCGACTAAAAGAGTCATTTAACCAATAATCAATTGTTTACTAATCGTTTGCATCCCTACTTCACATTTCTCATAAAATGTAATGTTTTCTTCCTTTAATTTTTAGACCTGATGATTAAAAAGGAGGAAAGTGTCCATTCCAAGGAGAAGCCACACTCGTGCTCTTTGTGTGGGAAGAGTTTTAAACAGCAGTCGCATCTGAGACGACACCAGATGGTCCACACCGATGAGAAGCCGCACAAATGTGATCAATGCGGCAAAGTGTTTCAGAGGAATTCAGACCTGAAGAACCATCTCAGAGTTCATGCAGACGAGAAGCCGTACACGTGTTCTTGGTGTGGAAAGTTCTTTTCCTATCAGTCGCACTTGAGGCAGCACCAGATGATTCACACCGGAGAGAAACCGTATAAGTGTTCGCACTGCGACAAGAGATTCAGCAAGCTGAATAACCTGAAATCACATCAGAGGATCCACACTGGAGAGAAGCCGTATACTTGTGCTCAGTGTGGGAAGAGTTTCAGACACTCATCATCTATTAATCAACACCTGCTGATCCACAGCAGAGAGAAAACACACAATCTGATCATTACAGCCATTCATTTATGAGGGCTTCAGATCTGAAGGTCCATCTTAGGCTCCATTTACACTAATGTGTTTTAGTTTGAAAACGCATGAGTTTTGCTATTGTTACACCATCCGTCCACACTACGCCGGAGTTTTCGAGCGCTGAAAACGGAGCGTTTTGAAAACCCTGAAGAGGCCGTTTTCATTCTAAAGCGCTGCTGCTCCGTCTCAGTGTGGATGGGGGAAAACGGAGACATCTGAAAACGGAGGCGGTGCTGCAGTCATTCGCCTCTCTGATTGGGGGTTTTCCCCCAATATTAAGTACCCTGCACACAGTTAAGACCTGCATCCTCTCCTTGTAAGTTCAGAATTTGCAAGTTTGATATGGAAAACACTCCTGAGGACGCGGGTAAATCTTCAAAGGGAACAGTGTACTTTATAACCTTATTCACATCATCCTGGCTACATTGTTTTAATATATCTTAATAATAAAATGAAAACATGATATTATGAGCTGCTATTTTCATTTTGATATTAAGAACTTAACCGACAGCAGAAATGTCGAGGCAAATGTTAACAAAATTGTTATATTTTGTCGTCAATTTTCAAAGTAACAAATAAGTTTTTTTTGCCAATCAACTAATAAAAGATGTTCTGTTTCATCTTTATATCTGTACATTTAGAGAGCAACAAATTATTATGGTATATTTGTAAAATATTTAAATTAGTTTCTTTACAGCCATGCTTTCCTCCAGTTAACTCAATTAATATGAAATTTCAAGAAAATTTCCTTCTTGGAATAACTTCATTTTTTACTAAAGACTTTGTTATTGCCTTTATATAATATAATTTTGCTTATCATTTATTATCAATATATAATTAGATTCCTTTTGTTCTATTTTGTAATAGGTAAAGTAGCTGCGGATTAAATGAAAAAATCCATTATAATCTATTAAAAAAAAATTTCCATTATCGTAAAAAATTCTTTACCTTTTGTAGAAAAGTTGACAAGAATCAGTTTAAAAAAAGGAATAAAGATTAATCATATATATCACTTGAATATATTAATCCGCGCTCCAAACATTTCTCAACAAAAACATAACGTCTTTCCTTTTAATAATTCGTTATAATGCTGTGAGTTTTATTTTTTTTTTTTTTATTGTAACATTTTAACAATACAACAAGAAATATATATATATATATATATATATATATATATATATATATATATATATATATATATATATATATATATATATATATATATACACATATACATGCCAGGGGGTAAGCATAAATCAAATACAAATATACATATGTAAAAATCAAATAAATACATTGTAGAGTTCACAAAGTTTTAAAGTGCGAAGGGCTTTCTTATTTAGAGAGTCTCTGATACTACTAATATATTAGCATAATTCCGTCATCAACACCTTAAAGTTGGGTTTCTTATTGGTAAATTTACATTTATGAATGTAAAATTTTGTTAGCAAAATGATTAAATTAATTAAATAAAAACAATTTTCCTCTTGAATAGGGTACATAGAAATGCCAAGTACATGCTCCCATAACAATGATAGAGGTTTAGAACACTGTAATTTGTTATTAATACATTTTTGCACCTCACTCCATAAGTTTACTGAGTATGCGCAATGGCAAAGTAAGTGTAACGCAGTCTCCTCATATTCATTACAAAAAAATACAATTTATATCAATCCCATTTTTTAATTTTTGTGAATAATGTTTTGCTGGATAAAATCTGTGGAGAAGTTAAGATATTTCTTTAATTTTATTTCTAACATTGTATTTCTGTGGTAACAGCCACACTTTTTTCCAGCAAATCAGTTGATCCTTTAATAAAGACATCCAATAAGATTGAATATAAGAAATGCTGTGAGTTTTAACCGACCTCCGTTGCTCCCGCCTCGCCGGGATGACGTCAGCACTGACGCGTTCATTCCGCGTCGAGTTTTCAGAGCTGAGGTGAGTCGTTGACGCTTTTTCTCGTGTTTACACAACAATAAAACACACTTTACAGTTTATTAAAGCGACAATCTGCGACTAGTTTCTGCATTGAGTTCACCTCTATCTGTGTGTCTGCTGACCAAAACAATACAGCAGGCGGAGAGGAGCTCTGAGAGGACAATGAATGGGTATTTTGACGGCTACAGTTAAATGAAGTGTACATATTTAACTTTTGGAGTAATCTGTGAATATAATACGAATTTATTGAGTATATGAATGAAGTTTGACACTGATAACTTAAATTATTAATTTTTGGTGCTCATATGATTTGACAAATTATGATTTGTCAGACTCTTTACACACCTCATATGTGTATTAGCAATCTAATTTCTGTAGTGGCATGGATACTTGATAGGTTTTTAGACGTTAAATAGACTTCTGTACAAACAAATTGGTAAACTAGAGTAATTAGGGTATCCTGAAAACAGTCATTAAACATATTGAGGTAAAGTTGGCACATTATTCGCACATTTGTTCAGTGACAACTTGTGACCAATGACTGTAAAAAATATGGACGACGCGACAGCCCTTTTTCCCATTGAACGCCTTGAGGGCAAAACGCCTGCTTGACGGGCACAAACTGTCGCAAAAGACTGCTGAAATTGGAGCCAGACATGCGCAGAAGGACTGTCTGATGGAGCCAGAGGAGGAGCCGCGAAAATGAGCAGAGTCGAGCTTCCAACCAAACGGTTTATGCAAAATCAACTACGCCCCCCGAACTTCTCAGCATGCGTTTGCTGTCATATCAACACAAATGGATGTAATAACGTTAACAAATATGAGGGTTTTATATATTCAATCGCGCCAGCTCCGGGCCACAGCGCATAACTTACTCGCGGCGTCACGGGCTGATTCCGGCTCGCATGCGGCAGCGCCGGCTCGCTCGGCCGCAGCATCTGGCTCGATTCACTCGGACTGGAATCGGGCAGTGAGTCCAGGCATCCGGAGTAGGTTCAGCAGAGGTAACATTAGTCAGTCTGAGCTCTAAGAGATAAGTCTCCGGCAGGCGAGAATCTAGCCGGAACTGTGTTTTGCTATCTGGGTGGCTAGGCGTGTATCAGCAAACTAATAAAGCCCGAAAAAAGCCCTGAACTTAGCGAATAAACAGTGTTCCACCAGGATCATGTATGTCAGAAACTATAGTTTACTGCTGAACTCATTTTGTCATGGTAAAATAACACAGAAATCGAATAATAACATTTCAGTCTACTTCAGTCTCCTGCCGAAGCTCAGACGCGCTGCTTTGAGAAACTGTCAATCACAGCTATCAATCACGATGACACGCCCAGCATTAAATTACTGCTAAAAACAAACTGTTTACAAAAATGAAGATCTGCACCTATTTCAGCACAATAACCAGTGCCTTAATCGACCAGAACTATCTTTCGGGACATTTTATTGCAAGTGTAATATTTTTTTTTATTTGGGCTCAAGTCTCCTTCATTAACACGGAGGAGGCGGGCTTTATGACTTGTACTGCAGCCAGCCCCCAGGGGGCGATCTAACGGCCGAAACCTTCACTCAAACGTAGGCTTGCGGCACACTTGCTTGTGACACTGTCTTTAATGTTTACCATGGTACTATGAATGTTCGGTCTAAACTAGCATGTAGGAATGACTTCAAAACAACATTAGCACTATTCAATTGACTGTACACAATGCTGTACTTTGATAGTCATTGGCTGATAATATGATTTCTCTCTTTTTTAGAAAATACTATTATGGAGAATGTGTGAATATAAAACCAAATTTACCTCAATGTATAAAATGAGCTGATCCTGAATGGCTGTTTAATGTGTTTATATTCTGAGGCTCAACAATAATATCAGAGCTGCTGAAATCCTCTTTGTTTCATGTCAACAGTTCCTCTTTATTATATTTCATATGTTTTCAAATTTACAAATTGCCACATTAACTATCATAATAATTGCATGAGTGAATCAGATTTCTCTGTTTATTCTTCTGAAGCTCTGCCGCTTTTTTATTGAAGGACAGTGAGAAGATGAGTGATCCAGAACCCTGCAGAATTAAACAGGAAGACACTGAAGAACTAATAGGTTTGTGTTTATTCATTACGCTTCAATAATGAGGCTAAACAGCAGTGAAGCCAAATGTGCCTAGATGTAGGCTTTGAAAATAGTTGGAGCATTTTTTGCTTACATGCACACACATCTCATCCTGCCTGAGTATGCTACTCAGATATCCGAGGAACTAGTTAACTACATAGAAATGCCCTGTCGGTACATGATTTGAGCAGACTTTGTTTTTCTATTGAGCCTGGGCGGTTCTTGCATAGATAAGTATACATGTTCATGAGCGAAATATTGAGCTGTTTCAAACTGTTATGGTGGCGAGCTAGTCAGTATGTGCTCTGCAGCACAATTGTGGGCAGTGTGGTGGAGCATAGCTGATATTTTCTCTGCATTTTAGAAGGATAATTTTCTGCGGCAGATAATTCGGTGCATTCTTTTAATCAATGGTCTCAAACTCAATTCCTGGAGGGCCGCAGCTCTGCATAGTTTAGCTCCAACTCACACCTGCTTAATAGTGTCTAGTAGTCTTGAACACCTTCATTAGTTGCATCAGCTGTGTTTGATTAGGGTTGGAGCAAAACAGCAGAGTTGCGGCTCTCCAGGAGTTGAGTTTGAGACCTATGCTTATATTGAACTAATCACAATCATTTAGAACAGGGCTGCTCAATCCTGTTCCTGGAGATCTACCTTCCTGCAAAACACAACTCTCACCCTGATCAAACACACCTGAACCAGTTACTTAGGACCTGAATAGCACTTGATAATTACAGGCAGGTGTGTTTGATATGGGTAGAAACGGAAATCTGCAGGAAGGTAGATCTCCAGGAACAGGATTGAGCACCCCTGATTTAGAAGTTCACTCTTGTTTGATGTTTAAAATGAAAGTGAAAGTGTTATTTGTATTATTATGGCCTAGCTCTCATATGAAACGCAATGAATTCTTCTTTAAAGCCAGAGAAAGAAAAATGTTTTGCTGAAAGAGCCACAAAATTACCAACACCCTGAGCCAGTGAACAGCACCATTAGTGTGTGTAGGCTAAAAAATGTGTGAGAATTTTGGCAGATATGATACACATAAGCGATGCATCATTTCCTGAGTGTAAATTCGACTCTAGTCTCCTACGCTATAAATTACTTAGCTGTAAATGATATGTAGCAGGGCTTGATTTATATTAAGGGTGGGAGAAGAAATCCATTGACCACGATATCGTGATGATTTAAAAATCGATTGGTGTATTTCAAACTCGATTTACATTAAATTATGTAGTTTTTCTTTAGACGTGGAGAGTAGACGCTACCACTTTTATGCCACCAGAGGTCAACATGAATTTGTTGACGGTATCAACTTTAGATGATGCTGTATCCATTTTAAACTAGCGTAAGAAAGCGAAACCATGGTGGAGGCAGAGGATTTAACTTCTTTACATTGTATTTGTATATTTATTTTTGGGTAGTGCAATTTGCTAATCATTATTATGATTTGATTTCGATTAATTAGTTCACACATCTATTTTAAATCGGAAATGCTTCCAGTGTAGAGCATTAACTGCTATTAACAAGTGATACAAACTGTTAAAAACTAGCCTCCTAATATGAACTTAATTTTCAGATGTGATGGTGAAGGAGGAGAGTGAAGAACTGAGCGAAGATGAGGAGAAACATGTCAAGAGGGAAGAAAAAACTCAATCAAAGACTGAACGTAGTGTTTCAGTGAAAAGAAAAGCTGTGAAAAGTTTCACCTGCACTCAGTGTGGAAGGAGTTTCTTGCGTAGAAACGCTCTCAAGCTTCACATGAGGATCCACACTGGAGAGAAACCTTTCAAGTGTTCACACTGCGACAAGATATTTAGACATTCTGGAAACCTGAAAACACACGTGAGGATTCACACTGGAGAGAAACCGTATCACTGCACCGCTTGTGGGAAGAGTTTCACACAATCATCTTCTCTACGAAAACACAGAAAAAACAATCACAGTAAGTAGATCATCTAAAGATCCAGACCTTATAAACCGTCTAACCAGTTCAACAATAAATTAATCAAATAAAACATAACTAGCTAGACTATTCATGTGTACTAATAAGCTGTATTAGTACAAATACAAAAGTCCACAATATCCAAAGTATGAAGAAAATCCGCCAGTAGATGGCGACAAGTCTTAATAAGTGCGTCATTGAGCCTCAGAGATCAGTTCCTGAGTGTTTTACATAATTTGCTGACAACATACTGCAAAAACACACAGTCAAAATGATTAATTTGTTTGGTTTCTAGTTAGTTAACAGGTTTATTGGCATTAAATGTCTTTTCTGAGGTGAAAGTAGTGACTTAATTTAAACGCCGAACACTAAGAATTATTTTAGAAGGCATTTAAATTTGTAATACAGCTTTTTTCATCATACCCTAAAGTTTTGTATTTTGCAGATTGATTGGTATTTATTCAGAGTTCAAAAGTTCATGGTAAACCTGGAAAAGTCATGGAATTGTGACAAGGCGTTTTACTGGGCTAAAAAAGTTTTGGAAAAACAGATCATAGAAAGTCATGGAAATTAGTTTAGCAAATATCTGTATACTTGAAGTAGGGCTGCGCAATATTGGAAAAATCTGACATTACTATATTTTGTATTTCCTTGGTATCTCCCCCCCCCCCCCTAATTATTAACCCCCCTGTTTATTTTTTACCCCAATTTCTGTTTAACGGAGAGCAGATTTCCTCAACACATTTCTAAACATATTAGTTTTAATAACTTGTTTCTTATAACTGATTTATTTTATCTTTGCCATGATGACAGTAAATAATATTTGACAAAATATTTTTTAAGACACTTCTATACAGCTTAAAGTGACATTTAAAGGCTTCACTAGGTTAATTAGGTTAACTAGGCAGGTGAGGGTAATTAGGCAAGTTATTGTATAACGATGGTTTGTTCTGTAGACCATCCTAAAATAAAGTAAATAGCTTAAAGGGGCTAATAATTTTTACCTTAAAATGGTTTTTAAAAAATTTAAAACTGCTTTTAATTTAGCCGAAATAAAACAAATAAGACTTTCTCCAGAAGAAAAAAATATTATCAGACATACTGTGAACATTTCCTTGCTCTGTTAAACATCATTTGGGAAATATTTAAAGGAGAAATAAAAAATAATAATAATCAAAAGAAGGGCTAATAATTCTGACTTTAACTATATGTATTGCGATGTGAATACAATTTTACCAGATGATTTAACAGCTTTATTTGGATTGATTGGCGGGATTTTGTAGAGGGAGTGAATCTCAAATAATATACAACAATTAAATGACAACCATAGACAAATATAATATAGTAAAGACAAAAGTTAGTTCTAGTTTTCAGGTATTTATTATTCTATACTGAAACGATATATTGTGCAGCCCTAACTTGAATACAGGTTGTCCAAAAACTTGCTCACATTGTTAGTGCTGTGTAAGCAATGTTAAAATCAATTTTACATAAGGATAAAAACAAAATTAAATGAAATATAGATTGTGTGTTTTACGATATGCTGTAATAAATTTGATCGTCTTTGTTCTTATTATTTACCATGTATATGTAGACATTACATCAATCAAAAGGTCATAAAAATTTACTTGAAAGTTCTGGAAAACTCTTGGAAAAGTCATGGTGCAACAAGGAGTCTGATACGGAGGGATCCATTTGCAGTATATTTAATAGACACAGTTCAAACACAATCATACAATACGCACTCGCGTGCAAACTCACATCAACTGTATTCAATATGGGTCGAAGGGCTGGCGGCTGACAGTCACAGAGTAAAAGAACAGGCATGGGTCAGTGGCAGGCGGCGTGGTTCAGAGTCTAGATCACAGGCGTGGATCAAGGGCAGGCGGCGTGGTTAAGAGTCCAGATACAATCAAGGGTTAGGGCAGGCAGAAGGCAACTCAGAGTCAGTAACAGTCCAGGATAATACACGGTAGATCAGGCAAGGGAATACCGCTCAGAGATGTTAGCTGTGGCAGAACAAGACTTCGCTCTGAACTGGTGTGTGAGAGTGGCTTATATTAGGGAGCGTGGGTCGTTAGCGGGATTAGTCTCAGGTGTGTGCGCCTATCAGTTTAAGTGGATGATGTACTGCTAAAAGTCCGGTGATGGTGGCCTCTGCTGGCCAGCGAGGGAAATGACTGGGACCGAGTCAGTGACGCATGGAATTTAAGTTGTAAAAATGTGTATGAACCCTGTTCATTACTTTTTTTCTGCAACAAAACTGACAGAATTTAAAGGCAGAATTGCCCACACAATATTAGAATTTAAATGCCCTTAACAGATGAGAACTGATAACGTGGACCATATTTAAATAAATACTAAAATAACTTTACATTTAAAAGTCGTTTTTACACTGTCAAGTGTTGAGCAGGCACAAAAGAAGGCATGAAGTTAAAAAACAGCCTGTTAAAGTGTAACTTATTTACTTGATTTACAGATGTGATGGAGGACAGTGAAGAACTGAGCAAAGATAAAGAGAAAAATCAGGTCAAAAGTGAAGAAATAACTCAACCAAAAACTGAACATGGTCTTTTAATGAAAAGAACAGCTGTAAAATATTTGACCTGCACTCAGTGTGGAAAGAGTTTCAAGCACAAGTACAATCTCAATATTCACATGAGGATCCACACTGGAGAGAAACCGTACAAGTGTCCGCACTGCGACAAGAGATTCTATCATTCAGGGCACCTGAAAACACACGAGAGGATTCACACTGGAGAGAAACCGTATCGCTGCGCTGATTGTGGGAAGAGTTTCTCAGATCCATCATCTCTACGAACGCACACAACTAACTATCACAGTAAGTAGATCATCTAAAGATCCAGCCCTTACAGGTTGTATTATTAGCTGATGACACGTTTAAAGGGTGTTATCAACTTTACGTTTAATATTGTCCTTTGCAAAATCAAGTTCATTATTTCAAGTCAAATTTCAGACTCTTGTGATGATGGATTTGCCAGGCGAGCCCAATTTAAGAAAAACTACTTTAGAAGCACGTTCCACATTAGCCACAGGTTTGTTGGAATATCTAGCCAATTCCATGCATGTTCAATAAGAAAAGGTCTGGAGAGGGTTTTCTTCAATGCCAAAAATATTAGTAATTTATTAGATACAAATGAATAATTGGATGACAGAGCTCTGGGTTACGTTACCCCACTGCAATACAAGAATTACATTCAAGAGGTTCACAACTAACATACATTTCCTGACTCCAGCATATATACACAACTGATATTAACAGGTGGAGTTCTGGTTTAACGTCATTTGTCAGTAATTGTTCAGTCCTCCATTGGCCGCACCTTAGACATACTTCCTCTTTTTCTACGAATTCTCTGCACAACAAAAAAAGCATACAACTTTCTGTGTTCTGTGTTCAGTTTTAACACCTCTCTTCAGACAGGAAGTTTCTGCAGAGCTGAATTTAATTTTGGACCCGCATCTATCTACTTCTGCAAAAATGCTAATTAGTATGCACAGCACTCACACACAACAGTAGAAGTTCAGTTAATATATGACCCTTACATGACCAATACAAATAATTTTGTTTGAGTAAAAGAAAAAGAGACAAAAATAATAATAACAAAACATTCCTATTTTCCAACAGGTTTCAAGCTATATGGGAAAAAGAAAGGATCTTTCTGCAGCCGAAAAGTGTCAAATTGTGCAATGCCTTGGACATTTCACTAAAACATAAGAGTGATTGTCATACTGTGAAGAGATTTGTGGCTAATTTAGAGCACAGATGGGAGTAAATATAGTTTAGAATAAGAAAATTCAAGAGTTCACACTTAGCTGATAATCGATTATAAAGCTTGTTTGTCCTGGGAAAGAGCCTTGAGCTCAAAAGATCTTCGAGCCCACGGCTCCCTCTCGTTGCAGGGCGAGAGGAGAGTTTGAGCTTAGGTAGATCTCGAAACTCCCCTGCTGTAGAAGCTAATGAACAGATAGGGATTGCTATGAAGAGATAAATACTTACTAGGAGCATGTCTATGGTTCCGATTTGGATTAGTCAATTGACTTAAGGCTGATTTATACTTCTGCGTCAAACGCCGGCGTATGCTACGGCGCTGACGCATAGCCCTTCGCCGTGGCCATCGCCGTCACTGACATGCACCTCTCAAAAAAATGTAACTACACGTCGCAACGACGCGTAGCGTAAGCTCTGTGAGAGCCACGCGAATGGCGCAAGCGATTGTTTACAAGTGTGGAGTACCGTGAAGGAGCTCCGGATGGAAAGTTTTGTTTTGTGTTTACCTCATAGTTAAAGTTGTTGCACGTCCGCCGGTTCCTGCTTCAAAATGAGCGAGTTTGAGCCACTTGTACATCCCGGAAGTGTTCAGTAAAAGCAAAAAAGCATCGAAGAAACTCGACACAGAGGAACATTTACACCTCACTGCCAACTAGCGTTTCGGAAGTGTTAATGCAGACCAACAGAGACAGCGCGCAGAAGTATAAATGCACAGCCATGCGCGTTGCATGCGCCGTGGGTTACGCCGGTGACCTGACGCAGAAGTATAAACCAGGCTTTAGTTTGCATGTTTTTGGACGGTGGGATGAAACCAGGGGAAACCCATACAAGCATGGGGAGAATGTGTAAACTCCCCACAGAAACGTATGCTGGCTTGGTAAGGACTAGAACCAGTGACGTTCTTGCTGTGAGGCAACAGTGCTAACCACTGGGCCGCCGTGCCACCCATCTAGGAAAGGAGGTGGAGTAGGGGTGGAAGGGGGGATTCTTCAAAACGAAGATGACTGTGGTATGGAACTTAGGTGATTTATAGTGACTTAGGAATCGTCTGATTGGTGAATAATGAATTGGCTAATGCAGGACCAGCTGTGTTCAATCATAATCATGTGATCCTCTCGAAATTAGTTTATAAAAACTTCACTAACTGACCATCAACCATAGAAAGTGACAAATTTGCATCTGTATTTCACATTTTTCTCTTAAAATGTAAAATTTTTTCTTTACTTAATTTTCAGACTTGACGATTAAGGAGCCACATTCCTGCTCTTTGTGTGGAAAGAGTTTTAAAAAGCGGTCACATTTAAGGCAACATCGGATGATCCACACTGGAGAGAAACCACACACATGCACTCAGTGTGGGAAGAGTTTCAGACAACCATCAAACCTTGTTCAACACATGACGCTCCACACTGGAAAGAAACCGCACAAATGTGATCATTGTGGCAAGGCATTTTTGAGACCTTCACAGCTGAAGACCCATCTTAGAATTCATACAAAGGAGAAGCCTTACTCGTGTTCTGAGTGTGGAAAGAGTTTTACATATAAACAAAGTTTATGTCTACATCTGCAGATCCACAGTGGCGTGAGAGAGTTTGTGTGCTTTGAGTGTGAGAGGACTTTTATTAAAGCTGGAGACTTGAAACGACACGAGAGGATTCACACCGGAGAGAAGCCTTACAAGTGTTCACACTGCGACAAGAGATTTGGTTTGCCTGAATGCCTGAAAAGACATGAGAGGATTCACACTGGAGAGAAACCGTTCACATGTACTGAGTGTGGGAGAAGTTTCATACAGTTATCACACCTTCATCAACACAGGCTCATCCACACTGGAGAGAAACCACATAGATGTGATCAATGCAGCAAAACATTTTCGAGGGCTTCAGAGCTGAAGAGCCATCTTAGAGTTCATACAAAGGAGAGGTTGCATGTGCTTTCATAGGGTGCTTTCACACCTACACTTTTGTTTCGGAACGTGTCTCGTTTGCCCAGTTAGCGCGGTTTGTTTGGCATATGTGAACAGGGCAATCGCGCTCTGTTCCGCGCCAAAGTAATCGCTCCGAGATCGCTTGAATGAGGTGGTCTCGGCTCGATTGAAACGAACTCTGAAGCGGTTCGATTGCAGTGAGAAAGCGATACGATCCGAGCGCGGTTATATCACAGAGTTTTATGTATATGTAATAGGCTTACGGCTATATGAAGAGAGAATTATGAGTATGGCGGGAAGTTTCACGAGTCTCCGGATGCCCGTAAACGAGTGATGATCTCCCGGTAATCTCGCATCTCCCTCCCGGTCCTCAAATAGGCATCGTCGCGCACCCTTCTCACCCCTCCCCACCGCATCTCTCTGCTCAGACACGTCGCGCACGCACCCTGTCGATCACCACCAAACCACCACCTCTCCTGACAGCTTATCGGGATGCTGCAAAATAAACCCTGACACTCTGACCAATGTAAGGAGAGTTTACTCACACGTGACTTGTTTTAGCTCTTTTAGTCCAATTATAAACTTTGCAGTGTGAAAGTGAACCGCTCCAAGACCAAAGAGCAACAATCTAACAATTGTAATCTCTGTTTCAGAACAACTGAATCGATTCACAGGTGTGAAAGCAACCATAGTTGGTAAAGAGTTTTACACACCACATTAAAATGAACGTTCCTGAAAATTCCTCTCTGTATTCACAAACATTAGATTTGATTGTTAAATGTGTGTATGTTAATTCATTCCTCCATTGTCTGCCACTTATCCAAGGCTGGATCACAGGAGCGGCAGTCTCAGGAGAGAACCCCAGAATTCGCTCTCCACAGACACTTCCTCTAGCTACTCTGGGGAATCCCAAAGCCTTTCCTGGCAAGTAGAGATACATAGTCCCTCCCTGGGTCTTTCCCTGGTAGGTTTCCAGGAGAAGCATATGCCTGAGCCGAGTTTTTCTGGGTTTGACCAAGCTCCTCACCCTATCTCTAAGGGTGCACCTTGTCATTCAGGAAGAGAAGCTCATATCAGCCACATTTATGCAAGATCTTGTACTTTCAGTTGTGAACCAAAGGTATTTATTGACCACATTGTTGCTGCCACTGCACCAATCAGCCTGCTAATTGCATCCCTCCCTCGCTCTTGAGCAAAACCCCAAAATATTTGAACTCCCCCACCTGGGGCATAGACTCTCTTCCAACCTGGATTGGGCAAGCCACTAGTTTGCAATTGAGCACCTTGACCACGTTGAGTTTTAGGTGCTTATTCTCATCCCTGCCATCTCACCTTCTGCAGCAAACCGTACCATTGCATGTTGAATGACCAAGTCCAATGAAGACAACATCATCTGAAAATAGCAGAGATGAAATCCAGACCAGAACCTTATTTATTACTGGCAATGCAACCCAAACTCCTGCTTTTTTCATACAGGGACCAGACAGCCTTTAACAGAGCGTCTCTGACCCAAGGCTCCCAGATCACACCCCATTCACATGGGGCTTTCAGCAGTCAACGCTTGACAGAGGGCGTGTCTGAAGTTGGGGCTGACACGATCGTCATAGCAACGTCAGCCAATGAAATTAGTCAGCAATAGGCCACTGTCTGAGCTGGTGTATTTGCATACAGCGATCTGATTGGCTGATGCTTCCATCGGCGCTTGAAAAGTTGAGCAAGTATCAACTTTTGCAGCGAGCAATGCCTCTGAAACGGCGCAGACGGATCCACAATGCAGATCTGCAGTGCCTGACGTCACTAATTCAAAGTGAATGGGAAGCGTTAAAACTGACGTCCCATGTGAATGGGGCATCACACCCCACAGAATGCCATGATGGACACTGTTGAATGCCTTCTCCAAGTCCCAAAAACATGTGTGTAGTTGTGGCTAGTTAGGCATACTCCCATGAACCCTTGCAGTTCAGACTAAATCTGCAATTTCTTCTGAATCTGAGGTCCAGATATTGGCTGGATTCTCCTCTCCTGCAGTGTGATTTCCCTAAGGTTTGAACACACCCTCCGGTCCCTCTTTTCTAAAATGAGAATCACCACCCGAGTTGCCCAGACTAAAGGTACTGTGTCCAGTGATGTTGTGGAGTTGTTTCAGCCAAGACAGCCTTTCAACATCCAGCAACCTGAGGTTCAAAGGATGTATCTCGTCCATCCCTGCTGTTTTGCCACTGCTCACGGCATCCCCAGTCTCTGCTTCCTCAAAGATAGGCATGTCAGTGAGTTTGTAGAGATCCTCAAAGTATTCCGTCTACCGTCCGACGATATCCCCGGTTGAGGTCAGCAGCACACCACCTCCACTATAAACTCGTAGTCAACATTTAAAGTGGATCATCACCTTTTATCCAAGTTGTCCTAAGACAATTGAACGGCACCTATTCTTGTCCTAGGACAGTTTCGAAAACATTTTTTGGCTCACTTCGAATGTTGACTATGTTGTTGTAGAACTGCTTACTTTTCCTGGGGTGTCAGACAGTTTGCAGAATCCCTTAGAGGCAAAACTAGTTAGATTGACAAATTGTTGAATCTTCTTCCATGGTCTCCCCAAATTCTTCCCAAGCTCAAGATTTTGCTTTCGCAACCACCCGGGCTGCAGCACACTTGGCCTGGCAGTAAGCATCAGCTGCATTGGGAGTCACACAAGCCAACAAGACCTGGTAGAACTTCTTCTTCAGCTTGACAGCATCCCTTACTTTCAGTGTCCACCCCAGGTGGGGCTTTAGCCCATCAGAAACTTGCTCAGCCCCTGAATAATTCCTAATGATTGCCTCACACTTGCCTTCATTGATGATTAAACATAAAGTGCATAATAAACAATTTGAACCCAGTATTTAAGTTATTTTGCAGTACGCAGTTAGAGTAAGTAAAGTCATTATCATTGAGGACTTATACCTGTGCTGGGGCTGATGTTGGCAGATAAAACAGCTCTCTTGAGTTGGCGATCACTCTCTTGTCCTCCATTTATTTTGTTGTCTTATTTGTTTTTGAAATCTAGTCCTACTTTAATAATATATTTATAAGTTATTAACCGTGTCTTCTTTGTCGTGACTTGCAAGTCAGCTGTGACAAACTTTATAGGACAGACCGGTTAACAATATTTCCACAGTGCAAATTAGTGTTTGTTGTTATCAACAGCTTTCACGATGGAGCACTTTTTTTAACATCGAGTAAAACGCAGAATTTCAGACAAAGCAGAATAGCTCAGTAATATCACAACAGTTTTAATAAGTTCAGTTTGGAGAGAACTGCAATCACACAGGAGGAACAGTCAGCTTTCACTGGTGTGACTGAGTAACAGAGGTAATACATGTGTGGAAAACAGAAACAGTCCTCACTTTATTTACTTTCTGTGTGTGTTCATAAATTGTAGGAGCTTGTAAACATCTTGCAATGGTAGTAGGCATATGAGAAGTTTAATACACCTGAAAAATGTAAACAGGCCCTTTAAAAGCTTTTTTAATATGCACATTAAAAAACTGAAACTGTAAATTGAAATGGATTTAGCACCCCTTTAGTGTTACCCTCCTTTAACGCCTTGTGCTCTATTTTGACGATTTTATAAATTAATTGTAGAAAAGCTGAATTAAAATCAAGTGTAGAGTCGAATCGAGATTGCGATCTTTTTCCAATTAATCATCAAGCCCTAATAGTATGGATTATCATCACTTGTGTTTTAGCATAGACAAATTGTGCCTGTTCAAGAAAGAGAGAGTTTTTTTTAAGGAAAACAAAGATTTATTTTCTTTGTTATTTCGTCACCTTGGAGTTATAAGGTTCTGTCTGCGTTCTGAATGATTTTGAGATATCGAGCTTCAAAGTTTTTGCATTCAAAATTGCAAGCAGTATGTGTGTAACATTTGTTTTTTTAAATAAAAAGTCTTAAAATATAAACAACTTATAAAAAACATACGATAATGTAATTAAGTTGTCAATTAATAAGAATATGTCAATAATTAAATTGAGAAAAATGTCAGATAGACCAATAATTCCAAGGTGACGATTTCTAAAACTGTATACCACTACGTGATATGATACATTTTTCCCATTATTTTGATCAAGTATTTATTTTTTTAAATATTTCTTTTTATTAATGATCTTTTAATACTTTAAGCATTTATTTAATGATGATAGTCAGTAGTATTAGGAAAACATCGTTATATACCAGGGATGTCTGTCAGCCATAAAGGATTACATGTACTTTTCCATTTTCTGCAAATTTTACAGTGCCAGCATTTTTTTCACATCACACATGATTGTGTGTCAGATTTGGCAATCGTTTTTTTTTTTTTTTTGACAATCCTCCGTTGCGTCCGCCTCGTCGTGATGACGTCAGCGCTGACGCGTTTATTTAGCGTCAAGTCTTAAGAGCTGAGGTGAGTCTTTGACGCTTTTTCTTGTGTTTACACAACAATAAAACACACTTTACAGTTTATTAAAGCGACAATCTGCGACTAGTTTCTGCATTGAGTTCACCTCTATCTGTGTGTCTGCTGACCAAAACAATACAGCAGGCGGAGAGCAGCTCCGAGAGGACAATAGTGTTTGTTGGTCTTAGCAGTCTAATTTCAAAAATAAAAACTAGGATCTAGGACTATAGATTTCTGTTTAAAAAAGAAACGTTAGTTGGTAAACTAGAGTACTTTTATCCTGCAAGCTCTCTATAAAATTAGCTTGTCTTCTGCTAATCCTAAATGGCTGTTTAACTAGTGTTTATAGTCTGAGGCTCATCAATATGATCAGAGCTGCTGAAATCCTCTTTATTTCATGTCAACAGTTCTTGCTTTGTTTTCATCTCATTTGTTATAATGATGCTTGCAGGTCTACAAATTGTCACAATAGCGTTATTGTAATCATGACCAATCTTAAATTAAGCAGATTTTTTTTATATATTGCAGCTCGTCCTCCTTCAGTTCAGCTGTAAATACTGGAATATTCCCATCAGTTTACAAGTGAAGACGAGCATCAGACCATCAGGAAGAAGAGAAATCTGCAAAGACAGAGTTTATTGAAGGACAGTGAGAAGATGAGTGATCCAGAACCCTGCAGAATTAAACAGGAAGAGACTGAAGAACTAATAGGTTTGTGTTTATTCATTAATAAGATCTCTATCAGTTTGTTCTTTTTCAGTTTAAAAATAAATTTGTTTTAAAAAGTAATCTCTCTAAGTAATTTGACTTGATTTAAACATATCAGGATACAACTTGTTTAGAGTGAACCCCTGACTTGAGAGCTTGATTTGTCTAAACTGTGGCTTTAGGTTTGATGGTAAAGCAGGGCTTGAAATTAACTTTTTTACTTGGTAGCACCGGTGCTCCCAACTTCAAATATTTAGGAGCAACAAAAAATTTTAGGAGCACCAGAAAAAATTTAGGAGCACCCACCAAAAATGAATGAGCACCGCTGCAAATAGTTTTTTAAGGGATTTATTGTATTTTAAAACAACATCAATAGGACTGACAAAAACCAGAAACAACTATCTAACTAATGCTGCGAAGACATTGATATTTGTGTGCAATAATTCCAAAATGAATGTCTAATAATTAGGCCACAGAATATTAGTGATGATGAAAATGACAATAATAGTAACAATGAATTCCATTTCTCATTATGATACTGCCTTGAATGTGCATGAATGTAGGTTATCTGCTATAAAAAGTCTGTTCCTTTATGAAAAATAATTGTATAGTTTGCATCAAACAAAAATGAAGCATTGCAGTAAGAAATATTGATTTTGTGCTGCTGTTTTTATATGCATGTCAATTTAATAAATAATATTTCTGCTACAAAACAAACAAAAGATTATAATAAATAATTCAATTCAATGATGAAAGCTGCAAAGCAGTCATCAGTAAATAAATAAAAAAATAATATACACCTCAAACAAGAATAGACAAAAGAAAGAAAGTAAGTCTCACTTCTATCACTCTTTAAAAGTTTTGGTTTCAGTTTGTGTCAATTTAAAGGTTCAGTCTGAGCTGATCTTCATGTTTCTGTGTTTGTGGAAAAGCTGGCGAGTCAGCCGACCCAATTTATGAGCAGGCAGAGCAGGATTCTTGCGCTAACCATCGGCAAAATACCGGTCTTTGTTATGAGCCACAGTTTCAGTGTAAACTTAGTAAAGGCGAGCTCCTTTGGCGATGATATGTACAGTATTAGATTTGACTTTTAGCGGACATTTGCGCTGCATGGAGATTCGGGCACCTTCTCCAAGAAGCGTGCTCGATTGATCTCAGCTGGCGGATCATTATTCACCACGTGACGTGTCATGATCGCTCTCATCTGCGCCTCAACTTTAGGTGGGGTTGGCAAACCTGTGTGCTTTAAGTTTTCACTCTTCAGCTGTTTGTATTTCCCGTGGTCATAAAAGCTCCTTCCCTGTCATCTGACAGCGGAATACCTTGAGTGAATGACAGCTAATATGAACCAATATAGTGGCAGAGAAGAGCGATTCAGCACGTTTTTACAAAAAATCAAAACAGGTCGCACTACAACTATTATCTGCAGTCGCACTAATGCGCCCAAAAATATAATGAGGTCGCATAGATTAATTTTCGGGCACATATGCGACCAAAATGGTCGTAATTTCGAGCCCTGTAAAGGCCTAAGACTTGCTCGGACTTGACCATGTGTGTCTTGTTTCCACCTCTGCTTTAAATTACCTGACTGTGAGTGATGTGTGTGTGAAACCACAAACTGCAGCAGTGGTTCTCTAGCCTCTTAAAATCTAACTTATTTACTTAATTTTAGATGTGAAGCAGGAGAGTGAAGAACTGAGTGAAGATGAGGAGAAACATCAGGTCAAGAGTGTAGAAGAAACTCAATCAGAGACTGAACAAAGTATTTTAATGGTAAGAACAGCGGTTAAAGATTTGACCTGCACTCAGTGTGGAAAGACTTTCAAGCGTAAAAACACTCTGAATCATCACATGATGATCCACACTGGAGAGAAACCGTACAAGTGTTCACACTGCGACAAGAGATTCAGATATTCAGGACAACTGAAAAAACATGAGAGGATCCACACTGGAGAGAAACCGTACAAGTGTTCACACTGCGACAAGAGATTCAACGATTCAGGACGCCTGAAAACACACAAGATGCTGCACACTGGAGAGAAACCTTACAAGTGTTCACACTGCGACAAGAGATTTCGGGATTTAGAAAACCTCAAAATACATGAGAGGATTCACACTGGAGAGAAACCGTATCACTGCACTGATTGCGGGATGAGTTTCAGACATGTATCTTCTCTAAGAACACACACAGAAATCTTTCACAGTAAGTAAAAGATCCAGCCCTGCTAGATTTCATGTTTTTCTGTACCTTTGGAGTGTGACGAGCTGTTTGTGTTTATATGAGATCCGTAAAGTCTCAAAGACTAATATCTAGTTTCCACTCAGCAGTACGGGTCACCCTGAACATAGTTTTTCAGCCGAACACGTTACATTTTTTGCAAAGTCTAGTTCATCCTTTTAAATGTAGAAATACAGAAATAAATAGAGGTAGTGATGCGAGTCCTGTTTTGATTTTCATTCATTCATTTTCTTCTCGGCTTAGTCCCTTTATTAATCCGGGGTTGCCACAGCGGAGTGAACCACCAACTTATCCAGCAAGTTTTTACGCAGCGGATGCCCTTCCAGCCGTAACCCATCTCTGGGAAACATCTACACACACACTTACACACTACGGACAATCTAGCCTACCCAATTTACCTGTACCGCATGTCTTTGGACTGTGGGGGAAACCGGAGCACCCGGAGGAAACCCACGCAAAGGCAGGGAGAACATGCAAACTCCACACAGAAACGGCAACTGAGCCAAGGTTCGAACCAGCGACCTTCTTGCTGTGAGGCGACCTACCTACCTACTGCGCCACTGCTTCGCCCTGTTTTGATTTTGAACAACAATAAAGGACACAGCAGATCCTGTTTTTCTTCTTGGCTTGTGGCTGTTTGTTATGTGGCGTTCACACTAGACGTGGCTTGCACAAATAGATTGTGCGTCATTATATGCATGAGTTTACTTGCTTTATTTGCGCGTCAAACTTACTTTGTGGAGTTTCACAAACTAACTTATGGCTCGTTTCCACTGACTGGTACAGTACGGTTCGGGTCGGTAGGGGTCACCTTTATTAGGCTTGCGTTTCCACTAGCAAGGGTACCCTTTTAGTGGGCGTGTTGAATGACAAAGTTTTAGTCGACGTCATGCTCGCTCGAGAAAATGTCTACAATAAAGCGGCACAAGTCGCTCACATATTATATAAAAAGCACTTCTCACAAAATAGATGCTTTACACACATAAATACTTGCGTATAAATGTTTATTACTAACTTTTCTATGAACATGAGTTGATTATAACTGCAGATCAATGACGGTGCGAAATAGCCTACTGTAACGTCTGTAATTATATTAAATAAATAAATAAATGAACATATATGAACACATACAGCCCCTTACAGTCCCCGATATGTTACCAACTACAGAAGAACTACACAAAGCAGACATTTCGTCCTTAATTAGGTCCAAAACAACACAAAGTATAGCCTACAGTCAGTGCAAACCTCTCATCTGTGTCTGCAATCTTCAGCAGCACATGAAGCCTCTGTTAGAGAGTCATTCCATCATTCCCAGTTCATATTAGTGATGATGATAAAAATTAAAACAAGGCAGTTTGTTCACATTTGCTGAAGAAATAACGTGCTCATTGGCTTTCCTTTTTTTTCCGTGGTCCACTCTCGCGTTTGTCCTTTTCTTTCTGAATGTGTCACTCTCGCGTTTGTCAGCTTCTCACAGGATCGGGTTTCCAAAGCTTGTCAATAATCATAATAATAATCAAGTTATTATTATCAGCTCAAAGTTCGTTATTTCAGATATAGACGCGCGGCGAGCGCAAGTAATCTCTCGCTGTGTATTTCAAACATGGCGGGTCCTTTGTTTACATTCTGGCTTGTTGCGTAAGCGAATGACGTATCTCTGTAAACCAATAGCGTTCAGCTGCGTGTCTAGCTCCGCCTTTTGGTACCCTTTCTTGTGTTTGGGCCCCTTTCGAAAAGAGTGCTAAAAAAGTGGTACATTACGCCTTTTGACAGTGGAAACGGCCATAAAAGTGTACCACACCGAACCGTACCGTACCACTCAGTGGAAACGGGCCATAAGAGAGGAGCATGTGATATGATTGATCACGCCTGGTCTCACATCTGTAATCCTTAGTAAGCCAATCGGATCATTTCAAACTCACTATAAATAATCTGACAAATATTAGTTCCTCATCTTCGGTTTTTGATGAATCCCCCCATCCACCCCATCTCCACCTTTCCTCCTTTACCAGGGGAAGCTCTCGAGAACTGCCTGATCTTGTACGCCCTCACATGCTCATTGACCTAGGCTCAATTATCTCCAAGCTCAGGGTTCTCTTCCGGGACAGCATGCCAAACCTGCTATTATTATCAAGCAAAATCTAAGTGTGAACTCTTGAAACAATAGATGCGTATTCGTGTCATGGGAGGGGCGTCTGAATTTTTCCAGTTTGAAAATCTGAACACCGGACCTTGGCGCTGCGTTAAACAATCAGGAGCTTGCTCTTGTGGGGGCGTGATTATGACGTATCTCCTGTTGTTGGTGTCCCGGGGGCTCAGTCAGAAGCACAGCTGAAAGCCTTCGTCATCCAGGTATAGTTTCTAGAGGATAACTTATAAGCTCACAAAGCTGCTGCACCTCTGAAATGATCTAGTGGACTCAGACACTGCTCCAAACGTATCAACGCTGATTTTCAGCATTCATAAAGCACATAAACACTGTTATTTTCTCAATAAAATCCATGTTAGCCATTTAGCAATGAAGGTACAGTCACCGGGCTGATAGAAGCCCTGCCCATGATGGAAATCCGGGTCTGTTCTGAAGTGATTTTGACGTGCAAATAAAGCGGATTTTGACGCGTGAATGAAGTAGATTTTGACACGCGAATGAAGCGGATTTTGAAGTGTGAATGAAGCGGATGTTGAAGTGTGAATGAAGCGGATGTTGAAGTGTGAATGAAGCGGATTTTGACGCGCGAATGAAGCGATTAACTCAAAATGTTTACATGCCTATTTATCCATGCGTTCCGCATCTGGTGTGAACACATCATAATTGCTGTATTAAGTGTTAGCGCTAAACTCAGATTAGGAATATGGATTATCTAGATACCTCCAGTTATCTTTAAGGGTTTTAACAGCTGAAGAACAGTAGAAGAACCTAGATGTAATTAAAGGTCTAAAAAGCCTCAAACCCTGACTCTATGCTTTAACCCCTACAAATATAGTGTTGTTAGCATAATCTGACAAGTAAATGCTTTCAGTTGTTACTGTTTCAGCTCTGCTTGAGCTGAGACCAGTGTGTTATTGTCCACACAGTGGGGTTTAATGAGTCTCCCACACGTAATGTCAAGAGACCAGCTCGAAAAGTGGGAAAAACATCATCAAATAATATAAATAACCGTTGATTAAGATGCTCATTGACAATTCCTCTGTCACTGATTAATCATTTGCAATCCTATTTCACATTTCTCTTCTGTTCTTAATTTTCAGACCCGATGGTGAAGCTGGAGGAAAGTGTCAATAGTCAACATTCATGCTCCGAGTGTGGAAAGAGTTTTGCACATCATTCATTTTTAAAAACACATCAGAAGATCCACAGTGCTGTGAGAGAGTTTGTGTGCTTTGTGTGTAGAAGGACTTTTATTAGAGCTAGAGGCTTGAAACGACACCTGGTAATTCACACTGGAGAGAAACCGTACAAGTGTTCACACTGCGACAAGACATTTGGTTGGCCGGAAAACTTGAAAAAACATGAGAGGACTCACACTGGAGAGAAACCGTACAAGTGTTCGTACTGCGACAAGACATTCGGTTGGTCGGAAAACATAAAAAAGCATGAGATGACCCACACTGGAGAGAAACCGTACACTTGTACTCAGTGCGGGAAGAGTTTCACACAATCAACATCCCTTAAGAAACACATGAAGATCCACACTGGAGAGAAAACCAGCTAGGTATTATCAAAAGATGCAAATTAGATTCAGGTGCAAAACTAGTAAACATTTGTAAATAAAGCAGCGTTTCCATCAGCAACGGACTGCGACAAAAGTTCTGCCCTGGCACTGTAGCCACACCAGCCACTATTACCACAGACACAGCCCCACCCATGGACACGCACATTCACTACTTACATTTGTGTACAGATGATGAATATAGGCAGTACTATATCATGTGTAACAGATATTTAAACATTTAATGTATGTGACTGGAACAAAAACAACACATTTATAACTAATTTATACATACTAAAAAAAAATCTGTGAATCTTTTAGAGTCTGTGTGCCATCCCTTTATACCAGGGGTGACCAAACTTGTTCCTGGAGGGACGGCGTCCTGCAGATTTTAGCTCCAACCCTAATCAAACACACCTGAACAAGCTAATCAAGGTCTTACTAGGTATACTTGAAACACCCATGCAGTTGTGTTAAGGCAAGTTGGAGCTAACCCTGCAGGGAGACCAGCCCTCCAGGACCGAGATTGGTGACCCCTGCTTAATACCTTCTAATGCCCTCTATAGAAAGTCTAAAATTACTATAGAAATGGACCACTTGTTTAATTAAATGTCAAATTCTAGGGACATTTCTACCAAAACAAACATTTGTCATGTCCTGTCACGTTCGATTTCTTGAAACCATTCTTGTATACCTGTCAACATTGGGATGTGAAAATAAGGGATATGCCCACCATAATAAGGGACCCCCCCCTTCCTTAAAAAAAAGCCCCAAATTACTAAATATGTTCACTTGGAGCTGTTTCGTTGTAAATAAACAGTTAAATGGTCAGTAATATTTTTTAAATTATTATTTGTGTAGAGTTACTGAAGTTTGCCCTGCGCGCTTGCGTTTTTTTTTAGGAATTTCTTTGGTTTGGTGCGTCTATCTTGTCAATGCTATTATTAAAAAAAAAGGTAATGATTCGCAATCAAGTAATTGCTTTGTACTGTTTTTATTTTTTCTTTCTCTTACATTTTACGGGTGATTAAAAGACACAGACGTTTTGGACCAAAGCCTTCCTCAGTTTGTCACACTGAGGAAGGCTTTGTGCTGAAACGTCTGTGTCTTTTAATTTCACAATTTTGTTAATAATATAAAAAGATTAATAATTTAGAATATTAAGAAAAAAAAAAAATATATATATGTAATTATAGAATATTAAGAATATATATATATATATATATATATATATATATATATTTATTTATGTATGTAAGTAAAGCTTCTGTTTTGTTGTTAGTTAAAACCAAACAAAACATTTTTTTCATTGTATGGTAAATGTCTTTTTCCGCATCCTCAATTACAAAAAGAGAAACATCTTTCCAAAGCAAATGGGAATAACTGCATTGCCAAAATAAGTTAATTGTTTTTTAGCGTCCTTTTTTTATAGCTTTAAAACATAATATAAAGTAATAATTCAGATATATGCTATATCCAGGAACATTACAATAATTACAACAACAACCAGAAATGATACTGAAGCAAAAACATTTTTAAAAAAAAAAGTATTACAAAATACTTGTATACATATAAACAAAAATAATAACTTTGGATACAATCATCGACTGCAGCGGGGGATCAAAATTCCTTCATGAAATCTAACATTAAATCAATCTTTTTGTTTTTAATTTGCATTAGAGACTTTTTTTAATTTTCCATTTCTAATAAAAAGATATTGCATTTTGGTATACATTTCGCAAATTGTAGTTTATGTATAAAATATTTACCTTGTAAAATGTAGAAGTTAACAACATACTCAAATGTTCTTTTTGTGTGTGGAAAAAAGTGCAAATGACATCTTTTAAAGAGAGCCTGTAATTAACAATTCTTTGCCCAAATAACACGACACTAACATCATTCCAAAATCTAAGAGAGACATCACAGTTATAGAAAAGACGAGATCAGTCTGTTTTTTAGCGTCCTCCGTTGTTCCCGCCTCGCCGTGATGACGTCAGCACCGACGCGTTCATGCAGCGTCGAGTCTTCAGAGCTGAGGTGAGTCGTTGACGCTTTTTCTCGTGTTTACACAACAATAAAACACACTTTACAGCTTATTAAAGCGACAATCTGCGACTAGTTTCTGCATTGAGTTCACCTCTATCTGTGTGTCTGCTGACCAGAACAATACAGCAGGCAGAGAGCAGCTCCGAGAGGTGTGTAGGAGTGTTTTTCCACTGTTTGTTATGTCGCAAAGTATGATATGAGGAGGGAAAGAATGGGAATCTACTGAAATAAGGGTTTGAAGCACGACATGGTCATAAATTTGTGTGTTTCTCGTTGGTGTTAGCAATCTAATTAAATTTCTGTACTGGACTGAAAGCGTACTAATTTTAAACCAAATAAATTGCTATGGAAAAACAGTTGGTAAACTACAGTAATGTTCTGTATTTCATGTCAATAGTTTGTGTTTTACCTCAGTTATGCTGATGCCTTCAGATATACGAATTAGCATATTGTTTCATTATGATTTATTTCATGAATTAGTGTAAATTAATCTGACTGTTCTCATTTTTATTAAGAAGCTCGTCCTCCTTCAGTTCAGCTGTGAATACTGGAGTATCCCCATCAGTCTACAGGTGAAGACGAGCATCAGACCATCAGGAAGAAGAGAAATCTGCAAAGACAGAGTTTATTGAAGGACAGTGAGAAGATGAGTGATCCAGAACCCTGCAGAATTAAACAGGAAGACACTGAAGAACTAATAGGTTTGTGTTTATTCATTACTCTTCAATAATGAGGCTGAACAGCAGTGAGGTTGTAAAGCTTTAAGCTCTCTATCGGTTTCACTTTTACCTTTTATTTTATATTGTTAACAATGTTTGTTTTAAAAATGCACAAATCCTGATTTTTCCTTTATGAGTAATTTTGTCATTAAACACTGTACCAGCAGTCAGGTGTACAAACTGAACCTAATCGTGCATGTAGTTTGTCCCCCGCAGTAAAGGCGATTAATCCTCCTCCTGACTGCTTTACTGGGCTGTTGAGTTCTAACATTTCAACTGTAATGAACTGAATGGCTGAAGAAGATATGATTGTTTTGGAGATTGAACGAGGAGAAAAACCCTTTACTGTTATTGAATTTAATAAAAAAAAACTGGATTATAAATGTTCTATTATATTAATATAGCAAAAATGCATACAAATAATTACAGATATAATAAGATACATAAGTTAATCTCAGTTTAAGAATAAATATGTGTTAAATAAAGAAATCTCTTTAAGTAATAAGACTTAATCTAAAGCTTATCAGGGCCCGACTTTACTTGTTTAGAGTGAACAGCTGATCAATGAGACTTTCTTGATTTGTCTGAACTGTGACTTTAGAATTGATGGAGAAAGACTTGAGATTTATTAAATATTTTTTGAGACTTGAGGTAAATTAAATTACCAGACTGTGAATGATGAAACCACAATCTGCAGCAGGGGTTGACTAACCTATTAAAATCTAACTTCATTTTCAGATGTGAAGGAGGAGAGTGAAGATGAGGAGAAACATCAGGTCAAGAGTGAAGAAGAAACTCAATCAGAGCCTGAACAAAGTATTTTAGTGGAAAGAACAGAAGTTAAAGGTTCGACCTGCACTCAGTGTGGAAAGAGTTTCAGGGACAAACACATTCTCAAGCATCACATGATGGTCCACACTGGAGAGAGACCTTACAAGTGTTCACACTGCGACAAGAGATTCAGATATTTAGGACACATGAAATTACACGAGAGGATTCACACTGAAGAGAAACCTTACAAGTGTTCGCACTGCGACAAGAGATTCCGACAATCAGGACTAATGAAATCACACGAGAGGATTCACACCGGTGAGAAACCACACAAGTGTTCACACTGCGACAAGAGATTCCGACATTTAAGACACCTGAAATCACATGAGAGGATTCACACTGGAGAGAAACCGTATCACTGCGCTGACTGTGGGATGAGTTTCAGACATAAAGCTTCTCTAAAAATACACACACGAAACTTTCACAGTAAGTAAAAGATCCAGCCCTTCTAGATCGAATTATTTAGGATAATGGTGGAGTTGATGACACATTTAAAGGGATCTTATAATGCGATTTGACATTTTACTTTGGAGTGTGACGAGGTACTTGTGTTCATATAAGATCTTAGGGGTGAGACAAAATATCAATACGCAGATACATCGTGATTTTCCAGCTGCGTGTAATGGTGGCAGTGTACAATTCAATAGAAGTCATTAATTTGTGTAAACAATGAAGAAAAATATATATTTGCCGAGGCGGGATCTGAACCCGCGTCTCTGTGGGTCGGAGCTCTGCGACAAATTGTATTAAGGATTTCTGCACTTCACAAATCAATTAACATGCAAGATTAATGTAACGAACTGTTCGGGCACCAATGAGGATTGAAACCTGTCAAAAAAAAAAATGTGTATTTGATTATGCACCATTACCCCATACCTGTCAACATTGGGATGTGAAAATAAGGGTCCCCCCCTGTTTAATAAACAGTTAAATGGTCAGTAATGTTTTATTTTATTTGCAAAAAAAAATAAAAAAATAGTATACATCAACAGCGGCGAAGCAGTGGCGCAGTAAGTAGTGCTGTCGCCTCACAGCAAGAAGGTCGCTGGTTCGAGCCTCCGCTCAGTTGGTGTTTCTGGGCTCTATTTTGACGGTCCATGCGCAGAGCGCAAAACGCTTTCAGGGTGTCTCAGAACGCATTTTTGCTATTTTAAGGACGGAAAAATTGGCTTTGCGCCATGGCGCATGGTCTTAAAGGGTTGAGTTTATTTTCTTAATGAGTTATAGGTGTGTTTTGAGTATAAACCAATTAGTCTCATCTCCCATTACCCTTAAGAGCCAGCTGCCTCGCGCCATAAGCGCATTGCTATTTACAGGACGTAAAGTAAGTCTAAGTGGAAAAATGAGAGAATGAGAGATAATGGATCACTTTCACTTTCGCTCTTGGATAGGGAAACCTTTACACACAGACATCAATTAGTCTATAAATAAATAATTTTGTTTGTTAAGCACAAATATTAGTTTCAAAACTATTTCTAAATTCAGTTCTTATTTCCAGCAAACAAATAAATGAACAATATTAACAAAGTGTGTTCAAAAACCTGAGTTATATCCTAAAACACATGCTGTGCCACATATGGTCTAAAACCTGACAGGTGGACAAATCTAAGCTTGTTTTTAATAAAACAAATATAAATATGGATATAATAAATAATACTGCTAATAATAATAACATTACACAAAAGCAAATTGTTATGAATGAACTGAAAAAGCCTCCCGAGATGAAGAAGACATAAAAGCAGTGATTTTTCATATTTATGAAGGCTAGAAAATAATATGTTTTGTAATATTTTAATCCTTTATATTTATATTCTATATCTATTCTTATTATATCCTATATATATCCTTAATATTTACATTTTTTCATATGTAAAGATATTTGTCTATTGCTCTCTTGTGTGTATTAAGCAGTGTGTAAGCGAGGTGCAACTCTACGCTGGAGTTTAGACCGGGTTAGTTTTGGTCTGATGAAAAATCTATTATAGTTTCTCAAAATAGAGACGCGCCAGCGGTCCGCCTCAGAACGCCTTCCTTTTTAGACCAGAACGCCTATGGGCGCACAAATGAGCGCTAATGCATTTGCTATTTAAACAGCGTAGCGCAACGCCTCAAAACCACTCTTGCGCCAAGCTGAAACTACCAAGAGACTATTGCGCCACATTGCGCCGGGTGTATGATAGGGCCCTATGTGTGGAGTTTGCATGTTCTCCCTGTGTTCGTGTGGGTTTCTTCCGGGTGCTCCGGTTTCCCCCACAGTCCAAAGACATGCGGTACAGGTGAATTGGGTAGGCTAAATTGTCCGTAGTGTATGAGTGTGTGTGTGGATATTTCCCAGAGATGGGTTGCAGCTGAAAGGCCGTTGCGTAAAAACTTCTTGGTGGTTCATTACGCTGTGGCTACCCCGGATAAAATAAAGGGACTAAGCTGACAAGAAAATGAATGAATGAATGAATGAATACATCAGCAGCAGATACGTTAGCTAACAGTTCAGCTTTTTAAAATTAATAGCCATTATAATGAAGTAGAATCAAGTTATTAAATCTCATTAGCCGTTTCTTCATTGTATAACTTACACATTCTGATTAAAGAGCAACGAATACATCTCTTATTCATTTAGAGTTTCCATTTGATTATTTTAAATGACAGGTGTCACTTTAAAAAATGCACACATCTAACATTATAATGAAAGCATTCGACTGCTTTTTTAACTTCTTATGCTCATTTAAGATTAAATTAGTTGTGTTTAAAAAAATAAATAGATATTTTTTACAAACTATTTCATTCCGCATACATTTATATTACATAAAGACATTAACAGAACGCAGACATATTATTTGGGGGGCCTTGAGTTTATTCAGCCACCACAGACCTTGGGACAGTCTTGTAGATGATATTTTGAAAACCTTGGCTGACAATATTAGAAAAGGAAAATTGTTAAAATTGGATCATTTTCTTGTGATATATTGTTAATAAACCTAAAAACCTGTGTTTCCTACCTCTATAAGATCTGTAAAGTCTCAAAGACTAATGTTTTGTTTACATTGAGTAGTTCAGTCCGGTTTGGTACGGGTCACTTGTCAAAAAACTCCAAAAGAGGGAATAACATAATAGTAGGGGTGTAACGATACACTCAGCTCACGATACGATGTGTATCACGATATAATGTTCACGATTCGATATGTATCACGATATTTGGAATAAAAATTGAAAATTAAACTGAGATGCAAATTTTACCAAGTAAACTATTTTTTATGTATTTCTTTTGTTTCAACTTGTTAAACTGAACCTTCTTTTAGAAAATAAATTAAACAGGCCTGTCTCTGGAAAATAAAACAATTAAAAAACTTCTTAAAAATATTATTGAAATGACAGAGACAAAATTAAGGAACAATTTAAGTAAAGGTGCAAAAAAAATAAGCTTTCTATTCAATTGAATTTAACAGTAAGAGCTTAAGGCTTTGCTTGGTCACTTGCGTTTTTTGTGTGTGCAAAAAAAAAATCCACATTTCCAGGTATTTAATTAATATTTAATTAAATTCATTTAGAGATATCTCTAATTACAATTGTGACTAGTCAAAACTCATTTAGAGATATCTGCAAATATTTTTCAATGGAAGTCAATGGAGGAATATGACTAGTCATAATATATTTGCAGATATCTCCAATCTGATTTCGTACTAGTACAATTGTAATTGCAGATATCTCTAATTGTCATTCTGACTAGTCGAATTATAATTATGACTAGTCAAAATATAATTAGAGATATCTCTAAATATATTTATGGATAGTCAGAACAAAGGTTTAAATGCTAAAACGGCTTGCCATACGTGCGCGTCTATCAAAGTCTGCCCTCTGTAGTAACAGCTCACGGTCAGCTCACGTCTTGTGTGATTTTGCGGCGGGAACATTATATGAAGACAGAATGATATTTTAGGGTGAATTGTACCTTATAAATACAGTATGTGACTCTTTCAACACCATTAGAAGCTATCCCTGTGGCTGTGCAAAGTATGTAAATCACTGTGAAGACTTTAAAACTTAGGATGTTTGACCCAGTATGCGTGACAAAAAGCGAACGAGTCTAAAGCAATGACTGTACAACCCAAATGTTGCCAGACGTCTGATTTTGAGAGGATGGGCCATCCTCTATTTCAGCTCCACTCATCTTGGTCTGCTAACATTACTGCTGCTGCAATCTGAACTCACGTGCGACAGCAGGTGGAACGTAGCTCACGTGCAAACAGCTCAACTGATAAGAGAAAACGGACGTCATATCGTAATCAAATCGTCATAACGCAAAAATGCATATTGTGACATTTTTGCATCGCAATAAATCGTACAACGATAAATCGTTACACCCCTACATAATAGAATGACTTAATTGATTAAAATGGCTATTGCCAATTAATCTGTCTCTGATCAATCATTTGCATCCTCTATTTCACATTTCTCGTGTTAACTGTACCTTTTCTTTCTTAATTTTCAGACCCGGTGGTGAAGCACAAGGAGATCAGTGTCAATTATGAACATTCATGCTATTTGTGTGGAAAGAGTTTCATGGATCAATCAAGTTTATGGAAACATCAGAGGACTCACACTGGAGAGAAACCGTACACGTGTACTCAGTGTGGGAAGAGTGTTGGAAAACTATCACACCTTAATCAGCACATGAAGATCCACACTGGAGAGAGACCGCACACATGTGATCAGTGCGGCAGATCGTTTTTTAGACCTTCAGATCTGAAGAAACATCTTATGCTTCATACAAACCAGAAGCCTCATTCCTGCTCTGAGTGTGGAAAGAGTTTCGCGCATCATTCATATTTAAAAAAACATCAGAAGATGCACAGTAGCGTGCGAGAGTTTGTGTTTGTGTGCTTTGAGTGTGAGAAGAGTTTTGTTACACCTGGAAGCTTGAGACGACACCAGATTACTCACACTGGAGAGAAACCGTACACATGCACTCAGTGCGGGAAGAGTTTCACTCAATCGTCAACCCTTAAGAAACACATGAAGATCCACACTGGAGAGTAAACTAGCTCTGCTTCCATCCAAAGATGCAAACAAAAGCGATTCGCAAACTGGAATATCGCATAAAACAGTGCTCCCCAGCCTTTTTATCAGCAGTGACCGGGACAACGCTTGACAATTTTACCGCGGACCAGGGGGTGCGGTGGCTCGTAGGTTGCTAGGCGATCATCGACCGTTTACTCAGAGGATGACAAGCTGACAAAACATTGCTGCAGCTCTGATACAAGTTGTATTTATGGAGAAAATAACAAAGCACTGCAGTGTTTGGGTGATAATTAGTCTACCTTAATATGTATATTCCATACAATGTATGAAGCTTATTGGTTAGATCTTGACATGTGAGACGAGATGCACTCATGGGATTTATTTAAATGGGTGCGTCTGGAAGGTGCGAGTGTGCTACTACACTTGCGCACGCAAGCCACACACATCTATTGAAATAATGAACCTGCACGAAATACGCGCTATGCGAACGACTCCTCAAAGGCTGCCGTCATTTGCGATCTCCAACTGTTGATCTTCTTGCAAAGACATGCTGGATTCACCTGATTTGTCGACAAATGGGTTGCGGAACCATTCCTTGGCAGTTTGTGAGTCCTTCACTGGGCCTTTTCCCCTTAGCAAAGAATCTTTCCTGAGTTAAATGTGGGCGTTCAAATGACCAAGATGTAGTTGAGAGAATATGGTCATTTTTCAAAATAAGAAATCGTGCATTCATTCGTTTACTTTTCGGCTTAGTCCATTTATCATCCTGGAGTCGCCACTGCTGAATGAATTAACTTATCCAGCTTATGTTCTACGCAGCGGATGCCCTTCCAGCTGCAACCCATCACTGGAAAACATCCATACACTCTCATTCACACACATACACTACGGACAATTAAGCCAACCCAGTTCCCCCTATAGCGCATGTATTTGGACTTGTGGGGGGAACCGGAGCACCTGCAAACATGGGGAGAACATGCAAACTCCACCCAGAAATGCCAACTGACCCAGCCAAGGCTCGAACCAGCAACCTTCTTGCTGTGAAGCGACAGCGCTACCCACTTTGCCACCGCATCACCCCTAAAAGATCGTTCAGACTCAGATCATTAATAAAACAGAAATAATAAATGATTTCTAGTGCCGCCAGGAACCCATTGATCCTGGTGTGACCCGGTGGTTGAGGACCACTGGCATAATACATTTGTGAATAAAGCAGGGTTTGCATCCAATGAGTCAAGCAGAACTAAATTGTCACGTCATGATAAACTAGCAGCAAATATCAGACAGAAAAATGTAGTTTTGTGCGGTGGGAGGAGCCAATGTGGGCTGTTTTTCTTCTATAATTAATTGCGGATCAGAAGATGAAACACAATGAATGCAATGTGGTGGCTTTTGGGAGCGTGAGATGCTCAAGCAGTTCTTGAGGTAATACTAAAATAATAATAATAATACTGAACCACTGTGATGACAGACTTTGGCTGAGGCATTTTAGAAAGTCCAAAGCAACATTTCAGATGTTTTACAATGTGGTTTGTCCATTAATGCATCCAATCACACACATTTTAATCATCTCATTGTTGGGGAACGTACAGTATTAATCCAAAAATCACCGATGTGTCAGATGAAGAAGAACCAGAGTCAAAGTTTACTGAAGATAGCTTGCAGTTTCATCAGTAGAAGCCAGCTTCAACACTCAGTTCATAGCCTCCTGTGCTTACAATCTCAAAACAACAGCAATTATACTCTCACAGAACATTATAACGGCAATAAGGGCCAAGTGGGAAGAGTTTTGCTGCAGACAAGCGGAAAGTTTGTGTGTAAAACTCTTAAGCAGGTTACGGATGAAGAAACATCGTCTAAAACTTTGACAGCAGCTTCATTGTGGGATTTAGATCAGCCTAAAGATGGAGTTCCTCACCAAACAACATGATCTGAAGCTTTTATTATTAGAGACATTTGATTAGTCATTTTGCTTCAATTTATATAATTATGCAAATTATCAAAATGCAAAGCTTATGTTTTATATCATGTTGAATTATGCATATTAATCACCTGTAATTGTTCATGTTTATTCATTAGAGGTTTTTCAACATGAGGCTACAGTTTTAAGATAAAAACTAATATTTATTAAACTTAATCCTTATGATTTTTGAAACTGGATACCAACAGTGATATATTATTTCATTATTATGACCTAGCATACATGTTTAAATGTTACTTTTTATTAGCCATCTTTCAATATTTTGTTAAAACTGTTTATTTCCTAAAATTTAGTAGTTACTTCAGGAAAAGATCATTTAATTTTACACTGTCATGTCTGTCAGATGAATGATCACAAATGTTTCAAATTTAGCTACTTTTAAAGTGCCAAATAAACAGTATTTTACCTCACGATTAAGGTTTTTGTCCTCATTATCAAATGTTTTGGCTTCTCAACAGTTGATTTGGCGCGTTTGTTTACGTTCCTCCGTTGCTTCCTCGCCGTGATGACGTCAACACTGACGCGGTCATTCAGCGTCGAGTCTTCAGAGCTGAGGTGAGTCTTTCACGCTTTTCCTTCGTGTTTAAACAACAATAAAATACGCAGCGTCCTACCTCGAGTACTTAAACTACGCCCTAAAAGTATGTACTTTTTTGTGAAGGAAAATATCTACTTTCGAGTGTGTAACAAAAGAGTACGCTAGCTTTGAAAAGCTACTTCCTCTTTTACAGATCGCTGTTGCTTATAAGCCCTGTCAGCCACATTTCTGTCATGTTTAATTTAATATCTTATTTGAGAAGCAGCAGCAGGTTAATCTCCCATTTACGAGTCTTTCATGGAGAGAAATCTCCTCATGTCTTTGGATAATTCTGCATGCAGACGTTAATGTCCAAACACGTCTTTAGATAACTTCAGTATTGTTGTTGCAGATGAAATATAACAGAAAGTTTAATTCTAAATGAATGTAGATTTAAATATTTTCCAGTGGGCTAGATATTAATGAACAATCATACAAACATCTTTACCGAAGCCTCTCTACTTCCTCTACTTCTCTCTCTATGGTTGGTCTCGCGCGTCCACCATGTTTGTAGTTTATTTACACTTTTCAACCGCGTTTGTAGTTCTAATCTAATTCACGCCCAACGCACAATATACTGTCGGCAATATCAGCGCTTAGAGTAAGGACTGTTCTACACTCAAAATTTTTAGCTGAAACTAGTAAACCATCCAGGAACATTTGGCATGCTCTTTTCCAATATGGTACTAGGGATGCACAAAATGATTTCTTTGGAACCGATCCAATCCCGATACTACTTATGACCCTAATCATAACACAAACAGGTCTGTTAAATAAAGTATTAATACAATTATAATAAGGCTAAATAATTTTCTGTTAATGACAATCCATATTGTGCCTGTCAGTTTCACTTTCATTCATTTGATTTAATCAACTACTTTGACCACAAAGAGCCAGGCTTTAAAAACTATTCACAGCACTAAGAGTATTCCCTTCAAAATGATGAACCCAGTCGGAAGGATGAGAGAACAGAAACTTTTAATATTACAGAATAATTTTACGCACATTGTTGCGCACATAGTGTCTGCGCAGCCAGTGCGTGAATGAAGCACTTGATGCATCACTAACACACACTGCGGTATCTGCAAACACTTTCATTCCAAAACAGCAGCAAAAAAGGCCGGAAATCAGTGCGTTGAGCATCTGTCTTGTGTATTATTAAGACTTTGCTAAATCAAAATTTTCAGGTAGGCCAACTTGAAGAGCAAGATCGGATTTGGATCAGTACCAGCTGGCCGACACCTGATCCAGCAAAAATATGCGGTATCGAACCAATGTCCAATACAAATATTGGGATCGGTGCATCCCTATATGACACATACTAATTCTATTTTCAAATACTATTTAGGATGGATAGTTTATGAAATGGGACGCAGCAACTGTTGGAAAATAGGAATAATTTTTTTATTATTTTTGTTTCTTTTTCTTTTCAATAAACAATTATTTGTATTGGTCATGTAAGGGTCATATATTAACTGAACTTCTACTGTTGTGTGTGAGTGCTGTGCGTACTAATTAGCATTTTTGCAGAAGTAGATAGATGCGGGTCCAAAATTAAATTCAGCTCTGCAGAAACTTCCTGTCTGAAGAGAGGTGTTAAAACTGAACACAGAGCACAGAAAGTTGTATGCTTTTTTGTTGTGCAGAGAATTCGTAAAAAAAGAGGAAGTATGTCTAAGGTGCGGCCAATGGAGAACTGAACAATTACTGACAAATGAGGTTAAACCAGAACTCCACCTGTTAATATCAGTTGTGTATATATGCTGGAGTCAGGAAATGTATATTAGTTGCGAACCTCTTAGATGTAACTCTTGTATTGCATTGGGGTAACGTAACCCAGAGCTCTGTCATCTATTTATTCATTTGTATCTAATAAATTACAAAATTTTTTGCCATTAAAAAAACCCTCTACTGACCTTTTCTTATTGAACATGCATGGATTTGGCTATATATTCAAACAATAGTATGTGAAATGGGACGCAGCAACTCTTGTTGGAATATCTTCCTCAATTTCATGCGTGTTTAATAAGAAAAGGTCAGTAGAGGGTTTTTTTCAATGCCAAAAAATATTAGTAATTTATTAGATACAAATGAATAATTGAATGACAGAGTTCTGGGTTACGTTACCCCAATGCAACACAACAATTACATTCAAGAGGTTCACAACTCGCTTACATTTCCTGACTCCAGCATCCAACACACAACTGATATTAACAGGTGGAGTTTTGGTGTAACGTCACTTATCAGTCATTCTGCAGTCCCTTGGCTCTTGTAACCAAGACATACTTCCTCTTTCTGCAACCCTTCTCTGCATACCAGAACTGAACAATTATGTGCATCCTCAATATATTTCACAACTTCTACAAGCCTCATGACAACTTGTGACATGTCTAGACTTTGTGTTAAACAAAGGCCCCCACACTTATTCTTATTCTGCTTTTTCCACTTGTCAGCATGTTCCTTTTAAAAGTATGCAGCACAGTAAAAAAGAGGAAGTGTGTCAGGTCAAGATGTGTTCTAATACAATAGGAAAGGTTGATTAATCTGTTGCTAGCCTAAACATTTTTCTAATAAAAAAATAAAGACACAAAAGTAATAAAAATAAATTCCTTTTTTCCAACACTCTTTACATCAATGGTCTCAAACTCAATTCCTGGAGGGCCGCAGCTCTGCATAGTTTAGCTCCAACCACTTCCAACTCGCACCTGCTTAATAGTCTCTAGTAGTCTTGAACGCCTTCATTAGTTGGATCAGCTGTGTTTGATTAGGGTTGAAGAAAGACTGCAGAGCTGCGGCCCTCCAGGAATTGAGTTTGAGACGTGTGCTTTACAGTTTATTAAAGCGACAATCTGCGACTAGTTTCTGCATTGAGTTCACCTCTATCTGTGTGTCTGCTGACCAAAACTATACAGCAGGCAGAGAGGAGCTCTGAGAGGACGATACGTGTAGGAATTTATTCCACGTTTGTGTTTGTTATATGGCAATTGGCAAAGTATTATGTGAGAAGGGTAAGAATGGGTTTTGTTGGAATATCAAGCCAATTCCATGCATGTTCAATAAGAAAAGGTCTGGAGAGGGTTTTCTTCCATGCCAAAAATATTAGTAATTTATTAGATACAAATGAATAATTGGATGACAGAGTGACAGAGCTCTGGGTTACATTACCCCAATGCAACACAAGAATTACATTCAAGAGGTTCACAACTAACATACATTTCCTGACTCCAGCATATATACACAACTGATATTAACAGGTGGAGTTCTGGTTTAACGTCATTTGTCAGTAATTGTTCAGTCCTCCATTGGCCGCACCTTAGACATACTTCCTGTTTTTCTACGAATTCTCTGCACAACAAAAAAAAGCATACAACTTTCTGTGCTCTGTGTTCAGTTTTAACACCTCTCTTCAGACAGGAAGTTTCTGCAGAGCTGAATTTAATTTTGGACCCGCATCTATCTACTTCTGCAAGAATGCTAATTAGTATGCACAGCACTCACACACAACAGTAGAAGTTCAGTTAATATATGACCCTTACATGACCAATACAAATAATTGTTTGATTAAAAGAAAAACAGACAAAAATAATAAAAAATGATTCCTATTTTACAACAGTTTGTAGCACAAAATATTCATAAATTTGTGTATATCATTGGTGTTAGCGCTCTAATTTCTGTACAAATTGGCACATTGTTTAATAATGATGTTTCATAATTAAGCTGATTGTTTTCTTTATTATTTTGCAGCTCGTCCTCCTTCAGTTCAGCTGTAAATACTGGAATATTCCCATCAGTCTACAAGTGAAGACGAACATCAGACCATCAGGAAGAAGAGAAATCTGCAAAGACAAAGATGAGTGATCCAGAACCCTGCAAAATTAAACAGGAAGAGACTGAACAATTAATAGGTTTGTGTTTATTTGTTAGGGGCCAATCACATGAATGCACTTTTTGTGTTGAGAGCCGCCTTTTTAAAATGATTTACAAACGGCCGCAGACATTTTACACGCTGCTCATGCGCCCTGCGTGCCTTGCTTTTTAACTGCCTGCTGCGCCTTGTGTTTTTGCCCTTGCGCAATGTGCGCTCACAGTTGAAAAAAGTCAACTCTGAGCGGAAAAATCACGTTATGTCACTCGTGTCTTTTTCATTCTCTAATCAAATGAAACCAGAGCAAAGAGAATAGATCAGGGGTGGCCAACCCTGTTCCTGAAGAGCCACCTTCCTGCAGATTTCAGTTGCTACCCATATCAAACACACCTGAACTAATTAATTAGGACCTGAACACCACATGATAATTACAGGCAGGTGTGTTTGATATGGGTTGCAACTGAAATCTGCATGAACAGGGTTGGCCACCCCTGGCCCTTGCATAGAATGACCAAAAGGAAAGTGAAAGTGAAAGTGATCGGCTGTCCATTGGATCTTATGGCTGTTGCGATGGCAAGCAGCTGCTTTGTTTTTTATTTATTTATTTAAAAAGCACATTAAAGCTGGGATGCAACTTGAAAGATGACAATACAGCACTTATTATCACAATCATCAGCACTTTTAATAGTTTATTTTACAGACTTATTATATGCTGTTGTTCTATTGAACTTTCATTTCAAAATGGCCGCCGCGCCATCTAGTGGCTGTTTCCCAAATCGCACTAGAGTGTCACCTCTTGGTGATTCTATGCTCTTTGACCAGCGGTGGGGTTTTCGTTGAGGCACCTGCAGTGTTTGTGTTGTCAAGACAACAACAGAGACTTTTGAAGATGGAAGAGAAACTCGCGGTTTGCTGTTTTGAGTTATACAGAGCTGTAGGGCTTCACAAATCTTGAATATCACAATATTATTAAATTCATTCATTCATTTTTGTTTTCTACTTAGTCCCTTTATTAATCTGGGGTCCCCACAGTGGAATGAACCGCCAACTTTACCGGCATATGTTTTACGCAGTGGATGCCCTTTCAGCTGCAACCCATTATTAGGAAACACCAATACACACTCATTCACACACATACACTACGGACAATTTTAGCTTACCCAATTCACCTGTACCACATGTCTTTTTACTGTGGGGGAAACCCATGCGAACAGGGGGAGAACATGCAAACTCCATACAGAAACGCCCAGAAACGGCTGACCCAGCCGAGGCTCAAACTAGCAACCTTTCTGCTGTGAGACCACAGCATTACCTACTGCGTTGCGTCACCCAGATATTATTAAATATTAAAGTTTATATTAATATCAACAGCAACACTCGCACAATACCGAGCTGATTCATTAGTTGCCTAGAGACATAAAATTGCTTGCTTGTCAGCAAAAAAGTCAGTGAGGGGCTGTTTATGGAACGTGAAAGCGTGTTTGGTGTGATCGACCCCTTACTCTTCACTAATGAAGCAGGCAGGTTGTAAAGCTTTAAGCTCTACATCTGTTTTCGTTCTTTTTCATATTACCCTTTTATATTGTTTACATTTTTTTTTTATTTAAAATGGCATTGCGTCCACAATTGAATTTGAAAACAAAGATCAGATAATCAGTGCTCATTTTCAAGTGTTTGTGTGGACTAACATTTCATGTGGAAGCTGAATAGCAGCACGCTTATGCCGCATGATAGTAGGCTAACATAGAGATGCTGATGCAATCACTCCATCATTCATCAGTCGTGTGAAGATGCAGGACGAAAATGAACGAGGAGAAAATGCCTTCACTGTTCCTAAATTGAATTAAACAGACTTAAATAGACATGTTTGACTGGATATCCTAACATTTTAAGTCACACAATTACTTTTTCTTTCAGATTTTAATGTAGCAGATATGCAAATAATTAATTGCGTTATTATTAAAATACATACGTTAATTTTTTAAGTTTAGAAATTAATTTGTATTAAAAGTAATCACTTTAAGTAATGCCTAGTTCAGACTGCGCGATTTTAGCCCCTATTTTGGCTAGTCGACAGGTTTTGAGAAATCGCCGACAAATGCCTGAAATCACAGGCAAATCGCTGCTCGTGCACGTAATGACAATCACACAGTATGAACTATCAAAGACGCTGAGATCTGAGAGAATCGCAGATGAGTCGCCGATGCCTGTGAGATATTTGGTGTGCTGAATATCTGGAGCTGACGGCGATTCAAATCATGCCGTGTGAGTTTTGACTGAAAATAACATCAGCGATCGCCTACAGCTAATGAGAGAGCAGCATTCACTTGTGTGTGCGTGTGTGTATACCTGCTGCAGGCCAGCGGGAGGCTGGGGGAGAAGTTAACAGCGCTCTTTTTCAGTTTATTTGGACCCACGAAAATGGAGGAAAAACTAGTGGAGGTTTGACAGGACTCAGGAGCACCCGTGTCTATTTGACGTTTCATTCAGAAAGAAATTAGTTTATTATCAACTTAAGTTGAGAAGAAATGGCTAATTCCCTTTAAACACAGGTGAACAAATATGCACATTTTCTTCCCCATTAAAGGCTTCTTTCTCATTATGTAGTCAATAACAAAAGATATACGACGTGTTTTTGGCTGTGAGACGTAGTTTGGACGAAGTTGTCTGTGATTCTTCCTATAGTAAAGTCATGCAATGTGAAAGCCCCTGTCGCCGATACATTTTGCAGTGTAAACAAAGCAGCGACGAAACGCTGGCCCAGATAGTCAAGCAGTGTGAAAACATCTGTGACACGACTACTTGGAAAATCATGCAGTCTGAACTCGGCATAATTCGACTTGACCTAAAGCTTGTCAGGACTTGACTTGACTTGTTTAGAGTAAACCCCTGACTTGATTTGGACTTGATTTGTCTGAACTGTGACCTGAGACTTGCTCGGACTTGACCATGTGTCACTTTTCCCCATCTCTGCTATAAATTACCAAACTGTGAGTGATGTGTGAAACTGCAGCAGGGGTTGACTAACCTCTTAAAATTTTACTTGTTTACCTAATTTTCAGATGTGATGGTAAAGGAGGAGAGTGAAGAACTGAGTGAAGATGAGGAGAAACATCATGTCAAGAGTGAAGAAGAAACTCAATCAGAGACTGAACATAGTATGTTAGCGGAAAGAACAGCAGTTACAGGTTTGACCTGCACTCAGTGTGGAAAGAGTTTCAAGAGTAAAAAATCTCTGAATAATCACATGAGGATCCACACTGAAAAGAAATCCAGTAATTCAGGAAACCTGAAAACACACGAAAGGTCTCACACTGTAGAGAAACCTTACAAGTGTTCAATCTGCGGCAAGAGTTTCAGTCGTTCAGGACGCTTTAAAATACACGAGAGGACTCACACTGGAGAGAAACCGTACAAGTGTTCACACTGTGAGAAGAGATTCAGTAATCCAGGAAACCTGAAATTACACGAGAATATTCACTCTGCAGAGAAACCGTACACGTGTTCACACTGCGGCAAGAGTTTCAGCCGTTCAGGACGCTTTAAAATACACAAGATGATCCACACTGGAGAGAAACCGTACAAGTGTTCACACTGCGAGAAGAGATTCAGTAATCCAGGAAACCTGAAATTGCACGAGAATATTCACTCTGCAGAGAAACCGTATCGCTGCACTGAATGTGGGAAGAGTTCACGACATTTATCTTCTCTACGAAGACACACAAAAAAATTTCACAGTAAGTGAACGTCCCAGCTCTTCTTGGTCATGTTATTTAGGGTAATTATGTGGTTGATGACACGCGTTTAAAGGAGTCGTATTATTTGATTTGATGTTTTCCTTTGTCTTTGGAGTGTGACTAATGTCTTGTTTTTACTGAGCAGTTCATTGTTGAGAGCTTTATTGCCAGGTATGTTCACACATATAAGTAATTTGTTTTGGTGACAGAGCTTCTACAGTGCAACAGAATGACAGAGACAAGTAATATATTTTAAAAACAGAAGTAGTGAATGCACATATACAAATAGAGAAGTGTATGTAGAGCTATATACAATGTTATATGTGCAGCTGTTATGTGCAAATTGGCATGTAAAGTGCGTTTTTAAATAAGTGTATATGTGTATAGCAAGTAGTTATCATTGTTTTACAAATACTATCATCAAGTGTTAATGGGATGGATTGCCTAAGGCAAGAACTGTTTCTGTGTTGGGCTGTTCTGCTGTGTAGTGTTCGTAAGCGTCGACCAGAAGGTAAAAGTTCACAGAGTGCTGGGTGTGAGGAGTCCAAAGTGATTTTGGCAGCCCTACTGCTCGCTCTGGATAAGTACAGTTCTTAGAGAGTAGTACCAATGGTTTGCTCAGCAGTCCGAACTATTCGATATAGTCTTCGAAGGTCGGATTTGGTAGCTAAGCTAACTCAGACAGTTGGTGATGTGCACAGGGCTGATTCAATGATGGAGGTGTAAAGCTGTTTCAGCAGCTCCTTTGAAAGGTTGAACTTCCTCAGCTGATGAAAGAAAGTACAGCATTTGTTGAGCCTTTTTTGACAATGGAGTCAATGTGAGAGTCCCACTTCAGGTCCTGAGAGATGGTGGTGCCCAGGAACCTGAATGATTCCATTCTGTGTCGGACTGTTCTGGTGCGCAGTGCTCTGTAGCGTCGACCTGAAGGTAAAAGTTCACAGAGCGCTGGGTATGAGGAGTCCTGAGTGATTTTGGCAGCCCTTCTACTCGCTCTGGATAAGTACAGTTCTTGGGGAGTAGGGAGGGTTGTACCAGTGATTCACTCAGCAGTACGAACTGTTTAACATAGTCTTTGGAGGTCAGATTTGGTAGCTGAGCAAAACCAGACAGTTATTGACGTGCACAGGGCTGATTCAATGATGGAGGTAAAGAACTGTTTCAGTTGCTCCTTTGGAAGGTTGACAAAGGAATTACAGCCTTTGTTTAGCTTTTTTTGTCAATGGAGTCAATGTGAGTGTCTGACTTCAGGTCCTAAGAGATAACCTGAATAGAACCTGAATGACTCTTTTCAGGGCCGGGCTGTTCTGGCGCGCAAGGCTTTGTAGCGTCGACCTGAAATTAAAAGTTCACAGAGTGCTGGATGTGAGGCATCCAGAGTGATTTTGGCAGCCTTTCTTCTCGGTCTGTATAAGTACAGTTCTTGGAGAGTAGAGAGAGTAGTACCAGTCATTTGCTCAGCAGTCCAAACTATTTGACGTAGTCTTCGGAAGTCGGATTTGGTAGCTGAGCTAAACCAGACAGTTATTGACGTGCACAGGGCTGATTCAATGATGGAGGTGTAGAACTGTTTCAGCAGCTCCTTTGGAAGGTTGACCTTCCTCAGCTGACAAAAGAAGTACAGCATTTGTTGAGCTTTTTTGACAACGGAGTCAATGTGAGTGTCCGACTCAAGGTCCTGAGAGATGGTGGTGCCCAGCAACCTGAATGACTTCATTCTATGTCTGGCTGTTCTGGTGCGCAGTACTCTGTAGCATTGACCTGAAGGTAAAAGTTCACAGAGCGCTGGGTATGAGGAGTCCTGAGTGATTTTGGCAGCCCTTCTGCTCGCTCTGGATAAGTACAGTTCTTGGGGAGTAGGGAGGGTTGTACCAGTCATTTGCTCAGCATTACGAACTATTCGACCTAGTCTTCGGAGGTCGGATTTAGAAGCTGAGCTAAACCAGACAGTTAGTGACGTGCACAGGACTGATTCAATGATGGGAGGTGTTGAACAGTTTCAGTTGCTCCTTTTGAAGGGTGACGAAGGAATTACAGCCTTTGTTGAGCTTTTTTGACAATGGAGAGTCCCACTTTAGGTCCTGAGAGATGGTGGTGCCTAGGAACCTTAATGACTCTACAATGCTGACCATGATGGTCAGTGGGGGACAGCAAGGGCGTTTCTCCTGAAGTCCACTATCATCTCCGCTGTTTTGAGTGTGTTCAGCTTCAGGTTGTTGTGATTGCACCGGACAGCCAGCTCCTCAACCTCCTGTCTGTAGGCAGACTTGTCATCGTCCTGAATGAGGCAGATAAATGTGGTGTCGTCTGCAAACTTCAGGTGCTTGACAGAGGTGAAGTGCAGTCATCCGTATACAGGGTGTGTTTTTGTCCACACAGTGGGGTTTAAAGCGTCTCCCACATGTGATGTCAAGAGACCGACTCGGAAAGTGGGAATAACTTCATAAAATAATTGACCATTGATTAAATGCTGATTGACAATTGATCTGTCACTGAATAAGCATATGCAATCCTATATCACATTTCTCTTTTCTGTACTTAATTTTCAGGCCCAATGGTGAAGAAGGAGGAAAGTGTCACTTGTCAATATCTGTGCTCTTTGTGCGGAAAGATTTTTACGCAACAATCCAGTTTAAACACACATCAGCGGACGCACACTGGAGAGAGACCGTACACATGTACTCACTGTGGGAAGAGTTTCACACAATCAGCAAACCTTCACAGGCACCTGAGAATCCACACTGGAGAGAGACCACACAAATGTAATAAGTGCGGCAAATCATTTTTGAGTTCTTCAGGTCTGATAAGACATCTTGGAGTTCATACATATGGGAAGCCTTATTCGTGTTAGTGCAGAAAGAGTTTTATTAAACCTGGAAGCTTGAAATGACCCCAGGTCATTCACACTAGTGAGAAGCCATACAAGTATGTAAGCCTAAAAAACACAAAAGGACTCACACTGGAGAGAAAACCAGCCCTGTTTTATCCAAAGATGCAAATTAGATTCATGTGCGAAACTGGAACGTCGCATAAAACATTTATGAATAAAGCAGCGTTTCCATCCAACGAGTCAAAGAGAACGAAATGGTACTCCCTGATAAACTGGAGCAAATATCAGACAGAAAATGTAGATTTATGCAGCAACTCAAAGAGTTCTGGAGGTAATAATAATACAATGATGACAGACTTTGGCTGAGGCGTTTTAGAAAGACCAAAACAACATTTCAGATGTTTTACAATGTGGTTTGTCCATTAATGCGTCCAATCACACACATTTATCATCACATGATCTGTTCAAACTAAATCACATTACATCTCTTTGATGCGCATGCTGGAGTTTAATCTGTAATTGTGTTTCCGTCGCAGTTTATGATTCGTTGATTCACATCAGCTTATAGATGGAGTTCCTCATCTGAAGCTTTTATTATTGTAGACCTTTCAGTCATTTTGCTTCATGTTGTGATTATGTTATTATGCAAATTATCAAAATGCAACGCTTATGTTTTTATATCATGCTGAATTATGCATATTCATCACCTGTGATTGCTCAATTTAATTCATTAGAGGTTTTTCAGCATGTTCAGTTTGTGTCTGTTCAGGAAAGAGAAACTTCACAGTTTTAAGATAAAAACGAAGATTTATTGAACTTGTTTTGTGTGATTTCTGAAACTGGATACCAGCGATGAATATATGTTCATTATTTTATTGTTATTAGCTTAAAGTAGACATTTTTAAATGTTACTTTTTTATTAATCATCTTTTAATAGTGTGTTAATAACGTTTGTTTATAGTAAGTTAGTTGGAAGCAAGCTGAACTGACGCTCAAACCGAAAGTGAAAGTGACCGCCCTATGGGCTCTGACTTCAGGAAAAAAAGATCATTTTGTTACACTGGTATATCTGTCAGCATGAAGGATCACGTAAGCAGTCTTACACCTCACTCATGATTAAGATTTTCGTCCTGATTAGCAAATGTTTTGGCTTTTCAATAGTTAATTTGGCGCGTTTGTATACGATCCTCCTTTGCGCCCGCCTCGCCGTGATGACGTCAGCACTGACGCGTTCATTCAGCGTCGAGTCTTCAGAGCTGAGGTGAGTCGTGCGCGCTGTTTCCTCGTGTTTAAACAACAATAAACACGCGCAGCGTCTCAATCGCGTGCGCATACTGCGCCCTAAAAGTATGTACTTTTTTGTGATGGAAAATATATACTTTCGAGTGTGTAACAGAAGAGTACGCAAGCTTTGAAACGCTACTTCCTCGTTTACAGATCGCCGTGTTGCTTACTTATAAGCCCTGTCAGTCATCGACATTTCTGTCATATTTAATTTCATATCTTATTTGAGAAGCAGCAGCAGATTAATCTCCCATCCACGAGTCTTTCATGCAGAGAAATCACTTGTCTTTGGATAATTCTGCATTCAGACGTTAATGTCCAAACACGTCTTCATATTTCAGTATTGTTGTTGAAGATGAAATATAACTCAGAAAACGTGATTTAAATGTTTTCCAGTGGCCTTCCATGCATGTTCAATAAAAGGTCAGGAGAGTTTTTTCTTCAACCTTTTACATATAAGCAATTTGTTGGATACAAATGAATATTTGATTTACAGAATTCTGTTATCCTCAATGCAATGCAAGAGGTACATTCAGGAGTTGCGCAACAACTTTCATTTCCTGACCTCGACTTATATAGGCAGCTGAAATTAACAGGTGGAGCTTAGTGGAATTCGTCACATGTCAATCATTCTCCAGTCCTCCATTGGCTGCAGCCCATACATACGCCCTCTCTTTCTACAAGTTCTCTGCACAACATTAAAAAGTCTAAGCCCTTCTCAACTGCACATATTCTGTGTTAAATATACTGCTGACAGGAAGTTTCTAGCTGCTTAGCTCAAGTCAATTTTTAGACAATCAGGCCTGTTCATCTCTATCTACTTCTGCAAAAATGCTGATTAGTATGCAGAGCATCCCACACACAACAGTAGAAGTTCAGTCAATATGTCTTTAAATGACCAATACAAATAATTGTTTATTGAAAAGAAAAAGAGACAAAGATAATAAAATATATATTCCTTTTCCCCAACAATATGTCCACCTGTCATGTTTTGGACCATATAGGGCACAGGATGTGTGTTTGGATATAACTCGGTTTTTTGACCACACTTCGTTATTATTGTTCTTTTATTCGTTTGCTGGAAATTACAACTGAATTTAGAAATAGTTTTGAAACGAATATTTGCGCTTAATAAACAAAATTAAATATGTAGGGTAATAAATGCCTGTGCGTACAACACCGTTTCCTGGTCTATGAAAAAGAGAAAGTGAAAGTAAAGGGTGATTGGAGAAGGCTCATTCTTTATCCTCTTATTGCAGATGCTCTGTTTAACTGTTTTCTTGCTAGTGAAGCGTTCAGTTTTTACACTTACAAAGTCGCCATGTAAATAGCAAATGTGCCATGGAGTGACGCAACTGGCTCTTAAAGGGAATGGGAGATGAGACTCTGATTGGTTTTTCACACCTATAACTCATTAAGAGAATAAGCTCAACCCTGTTAGACCATGCGCTACCGTGCATAGAGTATTTTTCCATCCTTAAAACAGCAAAAGTGGATTCGGATATGCCCTTAATGCTTTTGCACCCTGTGCTTTAGACTTTGCGCCTAGATCGTTAAAATAGAGCCCCTACACTTAAAATGTTTACTGGTAATAGTAAACCATCCATGAACCTTTGGCATACTTTTTCAACATACTACAATTTGGGACATGCTAATTCAATTTTCAAATACTATTTAAGACGGATAGTATGCAAATTGGGACACGGCACTTTACAGTTTATTAAAGTGACAATCTGCGACTAGTTTCTGCATTGAGTAAACCTCTATCTGTGTGTCTGCTGACCAAAACAATACAGCAGGCGGTGAGGAGCTCTGAGAGGAAAACTGCGTAAGATTGAGTCCCACGTTTGTGTTTGTTATATTGCAAAGTATGATATGAGAAGGGTAAGAATGGGAATCTACCAAAATATGAGTTTGTAGCACAACATAGTTCTAACCATATAGATTGCTATGCAGAAAAACTGTTTATATGCTACAGTAATCTCTTTATTTCATGTCAATAGTTTCTGTTTATACCTAAGTTATGCTGATGCCTTCAGATCTGAAAATTGGCACATTGATTTATTATGATTTATTTCATCAATGAGTGAAAATTAAGCTGATTTTTCTCTTTATTATTTAGAAGCTCGTCCTCCATTTCAGCTGTAAATACTGGATTAATCCCATTAGTCTACAAGTGAAGACGAGCATCAGACCATCAGGAAGAAGAGAAATCTGCAAAGACAGAGTTTATTGAAGGACAGTGAGAAGATGAGTGATCCAGAACCCTGCAGAATTAAACAGGAAGAGACTGAAAAACTAATAGGTTTGTGTTTATTCATTACTCTTCAATAATGAGGCTGCACAGCAGTGAGGTTGTAAAGCTTTAAGCTCTTCATCAGTTTTCGTTACTCATATTTCATATTGACAATTTTTTTTATTAAAAATTCGCAGCACGCTTATGCTGCATGATAGTAGGCTAACGTGGAGATGCCGATGCCATCAATCCATAATTTTCAGTCATACGAGAATGCAAGATGAAAATGCCTTCACTGTTCCTAAACTGAATTAAAAAGATTTGAATAGACATGCTCGACTGGATATCCTAATTTTAAGTGACACAATTTTTGTTGTTATTATTATTATTATTTTTTCGGGGTTTTCAACTTTTTTGGCCAGGACAGTGGAGAGTATTGACAGGAAAGTGTGGGGAGCAGAGAGAGGAGAAGGATCGGGATAGGACAGCGAGACTGGAATTGTGAGCAGCGGAGTGCATGTGTCGACGCACTAACCACTACACCACTGACACCGACACAATTTTTCTTTCAGATTTTATGTAGCAGATTTGCATAAGATTATTGCGATATTAATAAGATACATAAGCTCATCTTTTCCGTTTAAAAATGTATATGTATAAAAAAGTAATCACTTTAAGTAATGTGACCTGATCTAAAGCATAACTTGACTTGTTTAGAGTGAACCCCTGACTTGACAAGAGCTTGATTTGTCTGAACTGTGACTTAAACCTGGTTTATACTTCCGCGTCAAGTGACCGGCGTAACCCACGACGCATGCAACGCTCTGCTGTGCATTTATACTTCTGCGCGCTGTCTCTGTTGGTCTGCATTAAAGGGCACCTATGGTAAAAAATCTACTTTTCAAGCTGTTTGGACAGATCTGTGTGTTGGTATAGTGTATAGACCGTCATACTGGGGTGATATGAACACACCCAGTCCTTTTTTTTCAATTTAACTACAAAAAAAGGGTCGGCCAATTGGAGCTGTTTTCAAATCGATCACACCATTACATAGGTGTGCGATCCCGCCGCCCACCGAATTGATTGACAGCTGCGCGCATTAACATGTTCCGGTAGTCGCGTGTATATGTCAACAAGACCAGGCAGACATACGCAAAGCAACCGGGAATAAAAGCTCTGTTCTGTTCGCTAGGATCAGCAATCATCATCACATGTGATTAAGAGTGAGTTTCACATGTTTAAAGTGTTTTAAAACAGAGTATGTGTGTAATTAATTACAGCGGTTTACTTCAGCTTTACTTCATCAGCACAGCCGCGTGTCAGAACAATTATAAAAGAAGACGCTTCAATCCCGGTTTGTGGAAGTTAAATCAGGTTTATTTTGTACATTAACATAACAGATATCCACACTTGAGGTTAGCCTTAACTAGGCTAAGCACTCTGTCTGTCTGCCTGCCTGCGTGTGTGTGTGTGTGTGTGTGTGTGTGTGTGTGTGTGTGTGTGTGTGTGTGTGTGTGTGTGTGTGTGTGTGTGTGTGTGTGTGTGTGTGTGTGTGTGTGCGCGCGCGCGCGCGTTAACTTTGTAACGATATTGTGTGTGACTCATCAATTCATGCTTAACAATACTGATTAGTAAAGGTTAGTTCTTACTGTAGTATCTCACAAACGCTACGTGAGACCTCCTTCCTTTAAGTCTGTCTGTTGTCTGACGCAGCTGAGGGAGGAGGCATGTAGAAACAGTAGGCGGGCAGAACTCGGCTTAAAGGTGCAGTACGACAAAACCACCCCCTGCTGGAAATCAGTATAAAACAGCATCTTGTAAAAGGTATAATGAAAAATCTGATGGGTATTTTGATCTGAAACTTTATATACACATTCTAGAGACGTAAAAGACTTATATTAAATCTGAAAAAAGGGGTAACCTAGGTGCCCTTTAACACTTCCGCAACGCTAGTTGGCAGTGAGGTGTAAATCCTCCTCTGTGTCGAGTTTCTTCGCTGCTGTTTTGCTATTCCTGAACATTTCCTGGATGTACAAGTGGCTCAAACTCGCTCATTTTGAGGCAGGAACCGGCTGACGTGCAACAACTTTAACTATGAGGTAAACACAAAACAAAACTTTCCATCAGGAGCTCCTTCACGGGACTCCACACTTGTAAACAATCGCTCCATTTGGCTCGCGTCCAGCTCGCGCTATTTGCGCGGCTCTTGTTCCCGCCCAGACTCGTCAGGGCTACCAAGCCGACCAATCACAGAGCTTGCGCTACGCGTCGTTGCGACACGTAGTTACAATTTTTGAGAGGTGCACATCAGCGACGCCAACGGCCACGGCGAAGGGCTATGCGTCAACGCCGTAGCATACGCCGGTGTTTGACGCAGAAGTATAAATCAGCCTTTACTCTGACTTGACCATGTGTCACTTTTCCCCACCTCTGCTACAAATGACCAAACTGTAAGTGATGTATGAAACCACAAACTACAGCAGGGGTTAAGTAGCCTCTTAAAATCTAACTTACTTACTTAATTTTCAGATGTGAAGGAGGAGAGTGAAGAACTGAGTGAAGATGAGGAGAAACATCAGGTCAAAAGTGAAGAAGAAACTCAATCAGAGACTGAACAAAGTATTTTAGTTGAAAGTACAGCAGTTAAAGGTTTGACCTGCACTCAGTGTGGAAAGAGTTTCAGGGACAAACACATTCTCAAGCATCACATGAGGATCCACACTGGAGAGAGACCTTACAAGTGTTCACACTGCGACAAGAGATTCCGACATTCAGGACACATGAAAACACACCAGAGGACTCACACTGGAGAGAAACCGTACACGTGTTCACACTGCGGCAAGAGTTTCAGTCATTCAGGACGCTTTAAAATACACAAGACGATCCACACTGGAGAGAAACCGTACAAGTGTTCATACTGTGAGGGCCTACTCACACTATGCCATCCGTACCGTGCCCAGGCCCGTTTCCCGGATCGTTTGAGAAGTGTGAGTGCGTTGAATCGGGCTCAAGCACGGTTCACTTGGCCGGCCCTGGCCCGGTTGGAAGAGGTGTGCCTGAGCGCGGTACGCTTGTGTGTGAGCGCGAAACGCGCCACAGCCCGAAACCGAAAGCGAGACGTGACTTTTAAGGGACTTTTTGATATGGATTTATTAATCATTCTTACTGTTCAGTGATCGCAAACTGCCGTAGTTTATTAAAGACGAGAACTCCTCACAGCACGCCAGCTGCGCGCCTTCAGCAGATCTCCTCATTCCTGCAGCACGAGAGCTTAATGATTGTTTATGAGCGCCAAAAGTGGCGGATCTGTTCGGTAAAATATCTGACTGTGTGTCCCCGCATCCCTAAGGACTGTTTGGCGAAATATTTGACTGCATGTCACTGCATAACAAACGACTGAAAGGATATAACTAGAGAAATCTTCACTGTGCTGCTAAATGAGAGCGTATGGCAAGCCGTTTTAACATTTAAACCTTGTTCTGACTATCCATAAATATATTTAGAGATATAATTATATATTTTGACAAGTCATTATTATAATTCGACTTGTCAGAATGACAATTAGAGATATCTGCAATTACAATTGTACTAGTACGAAATCAGATTGGAGATATCTGCAAATATATTATGACTAGTCATATTCCTCCATTGACTTCCATTGAAAAATATTTGCAGATATCTCTAACTGAGTTTTGACTCGTCAAAAATCCAATTCAAGATATCTACAACTGTAATTCGACTATTAGTAAATTAATTAGAGATATCTTCAAATATATTTGTAAATATCTCTAAATATTACGAATTAAAGACATCTCCAAATGTATGACTAGTAAAAACTCAGTTAGAGATATCTCTAATTACAATTGTGCCGAGTCAAAACTCATTTAGATATCTGCAAATATTTTTCAATGGAAGTCAATGGAGGAATATGACTAGTCATAATATATTTGCAGATATCTCCAATCTGATTTCGTACTAGTACATTTGCAATTGTAGATATCTCTAATTGTTATTCTGACTAGTCGAATTATAATTATGACTAGTCAAAATATAATTAGAGATATCTCTAAATATATTTATGGAGTCAGAACAAAGATTTAAATGCTAAAAAGGCTTGCCATAGAGAGCGCTTCTGAACAGCGCAGCAGCGATGACGTAAGCGTGCCGTGGCCCGGTATGGTGTGAGCGCGGGCCGTCGGGGGAGACGGGAGGGGGGACAAGCGTGCTTTGGCCCGGTTCGAGGCAACTGTACCTAGTGTGAGTACGGCCTGAGAAGAGATTCAATAACTCAGGACACCTGAAAACACACGAGAAGATTCACACTGGAGAGAAACCGTATTGCTGCAGTGATTGTGGGACGAGCTTCTCACAATCATCTTCTCTACGAAGACACACACAAAACTTTCACAGTAAGTAAAAGATCCAGCACTCCTAGGTCGACTCATTTAGGGGTAATTGTGTAGTTGATGACACACATTTAAAGGGGTTGTATGGATTTAGTAGGATTTTTTGCCTTTAGAGTGTGACGAGCTGTTTATGTAAGATCTGTAAAGTCTCGTTTTCCACTGAGTTGGTCTTAGCTGGTCAGGCTGGGAGATGACCAGCTAAAACTAGCCTAGCCAAGCTGGGAGTCCAGCAAAAATCAGCTATATCCAGCTTAAACCAGCCTGGTCAAGCTGGTTTTAGCTGGATTTTTCTGGTCATTTTTCAGCCTGACCAGCTAGGACCAGGCTGGAAACCAGCCTGGAAATGGCCAAAACCCCTTTAAAACCAGGCTGGTCAACCAAAACCAGCCAACCAGCCTAGGCTGGTTTAAGCTGGATTTTTCAGCAGGGTTGACATTAACTTTTTTGATCACCAGCTACTGTGGCTAGTAGATTTCCAACATTACTAGCCACTTGCCATTTTCACTAGCCACACCTTTCTTGTTGGGAAAATTTATTTGGCTTAAATTCGATGTTGATATGCTAAAATGACTTGATTTAGATGTTGTGTTGTGTCCACATGCCTTCTCATTCATTTAACATCTAGTGTGTATTGTGTATGAGCTTGCTCAGTGTGCATGAGCAAATGGGTTGTGTCACAGTGCAATCAGTTTTTATTTCATGACTTTTCAGGACTCAAAATTCAGGATTTACCCAATTTGTCTCTGACCACACCAAATAAGTATTTCTTAGCCACATTTTTTTTAATGTGTAAAAACAAGGAAATTATAGCTTTATATATGCACTTTTTAATACAACAAAACTTTTCTTAAAAAAAAAAACTTTATATTTAAAAAAAAATTATGGTCATGTATCTAAAATATGCACAGTAATCTGTCCTGGCTAAAGGTCTCAGATCACCAGTGAACTACACATAAACGGGGAGTAATCTCCCATTAAAGCAATGTTATTGTAAAAAATTAATCTGTCACTGATTAATCATCTGCCTATTTCACATTTCTCTTTTCTGTACTTAACTTTCAGACCCGATGGTGAAGCTGGAGGAAAGTGTCAATAGTCAACATTCATGCTCTGAGTGTGGAAAGAGTTTTACTCAACAGTCCAGTTTAAACAGACATCGGCGGACGCACACTGGAGAGAGACCGTACACATGTGCTCATTGTGGGAAGAGTTTCACAGAAACGGCAAACCTTAACAGGCACCTGAGAATCCACACTGGAGAGAGACCACACACATGTGATCAATGCGGCAAATCATTTTTGAGTTCTTCAGGTTTGAAGAGACATCTTGGAGTTCACACAAATGGGAAGCCTTATTCGTATTAGTGTGGAAAGAGTTTTATTAAACCCGGAAGCTTGAAGGAAACTGGGAAACTGTACAAGTGTTACCACTGGAGATTTTGTTGGTCAGTAAGCCTGAAAAAACAGGAGAGGATTCACACTGGAAAGAAATTGTACACACTTTTTTATTTTTTTTATGATTATTTTTTTCTCAACTTTGTTTTTATTGATTTTAATTATAATACAAAACTCAACAAACAGTACAGAATGTTAACTTATGATATTTCAGAGTCTACTTTCACACACCAACATTTGTTAAATTAAAATAACATTTAAAATAAATTATAACATAGAATAATATACAATACTTAAAAAATTTCTAAAATAAATAATAAAAAAATAAAATGCAAAAAAAAAAAATTATATATATATATATATATATATATATATATATATATATATATATATATATATATATATATATACCAAAATAAATAAAATAAAAATAAAAATAAAAAACTATTACATTGAATTTTAAATTACAGTCATCTTTCCAGAGAAAAGTGTACACACTTAGTGTGGGAAGAGTTTCACACAATCATCAAACCGTAATAGGTTTCTATCCAAAGATGCCAATTAGATTCATGTGCAAAACTGGAACATCACACAAAAAATTGTGAATAAATCAGCATTTCCATCCAATGAGTCAAAGAGAACTAAACCATCATGTGCTGATTAAACTAATTAGCATTATTATCGACAGCTATCATGATGCAGTGTTTCCTCTAGGATTTTTTCCAGCTGTGGTGGCAGACTCTGTTGGGCCTTTTAAACAGATCCACCATCTACCTGTGGCGTTATTTCATTGACAAATGATGACTGCAGTATTATAAGTCAAAATCTCATTCATGTAATACGAGCGAATCTCTGTCCTCGAGTGCAGACTTCCTCTGTTCGTGAACAAAACTTCTTGCGCGCCCTCAGATATACGCTGCTCAAGTGCAGATCTTCTTGTGCGCTCTCGAATAAACGCTGCTGAAGTGCGATTTAGTGCGTTTATGTAGTGAGTATGTCTCCAACATTTATTGGATTTGCTAGGAATATTTATGAATGTCTCCATTAAACCTACATAGTGACATTATTGCGTCCTGAATGAAAGTGAAACGGCTATAAATTCCAGCAAGATAAAGTCATTATATGCAGAGCCACAGACCTTTATCTATAAAGTGTAATTATGGAAACTGTGTTCATCATAACAGAAAGCTACGTCGTGTTTGCTGGCCTCTGTCAGTAAGTCAGTCAGCACGTCACTTTAAAGGGTTAAACAAATTACGCACAGCATTACTATGATTACAGAGAAGTTTGCGCTGTTATAATTCACTTACCTTTTAATTTGTTTTGGTGCGATTATAACCCGCTATTAAAAAACGGCTGAATGTTTTGAATGAGAAGCTGTAATGTAGCCGTGGCGGGATGAATTTTGGTGTGGCGCCCCGCCATGGAAGAATGAATGTAGCGGAAACCATGTGATGGAGCACTACTTAGCATCAAAGACTGAATTTCAGAATGCCGAACAGCTCACTAATAACGCAACAGTCTTCATCTGTTTAGTTTGTATTTTTTTCTGTGGTGTTTTCAGGGCCGGAGCAAGCTGAACTGCCGCTCAAGGCAGAGGTCGATCATGCCGCCCTCAACCCCAATGTGAAAACCAAAGTGACCGGTTATGAAAATGTAGTGAGTTGTCGCGGACCTCTTTTCCAGCGCATTATGTGCAGATATAACTGAGGACGCGCGGGTGCTGAGGGAGGGAGGAAGGTGTCGCGGACACTGCACTCTCTTTTCTGCCGCCCTATGCGCGGATATAACTGAGGACGCACGGGTGTCGCGGACCTCAATTCTACCACCCTATGTGTGGATATAACTGAGGACACGCGGGTGCTGATGGAGGTGTCGCTGATGCTGCCCTCTCTATTCAGTCATCTATGCGCGAATATATTTGAGGATGCGGGTGGCGAGGGAGGTGTCGCGGACATAACTGAGGACGCGGGTGGTAAGGAAGGTGTCGCAGATGCTGCCCTCTCTATGGACGTGCCGGCCCTGGGTGTTTTATGAATGAGGTCCAGTGGGAAGAGTTTTGGCCGCTCATCTAATCTACTCAGATGAGCAGAAAACAATTAGTTTGTGTGTAAAACTCTTATGCGGGTGACGGATGAAGAAACGTCATCTAAATCTTTGACAGCAGCTTATTGTGGGATTCAGATCAGCTTATAGATGGAGTTCCTCATCAAACAACATGATCTGAGGCTACTTAAGATGATATATGATCATCATTTCATTGTCATAACCTCCAATAATTTTTAAATATTACTTCTTATAAATCATCTTTCAATAGTTTGTACGTTTGTTTACTCAACTCAATCATAATACTGTTATTTCTGTCAACATGAAGGATCAAATTTGCTTTTTTATTATAAAGTGCCAAATAAACAATATTTCACCTCACTCGTGATTAAGATTTTTGTCCTCATTAACACATGTTTTGGCTTCACTGTAGTTGATTTGGCGCGTTTGTTTACAATCCTCCGCTGCTCCCGCCTCGCAGTGATGACGTCAGCACTGACGCGCTCATTCAGCGTCGAGTCTTCAGAGCTGAGGTGAGTCGTTGACGCTTTTTCTCGTGTTTACACAACAATAAAACACACTTTACAGTTTATTAAAGCGACAATCTGCGACTAGTTTCTGCATTGAGTTCACCTCTATCTGTGTGTCTGCTGACCAAAACAATACAGCAGGCGGAATGGAGCTCTGGGAGGAAAAAAATGTGTGAGAATTGTGTTATATCTCGAAGTATGATATGACAAGGGAAATTATGGGAATCCACTGAAATATGAGTTTTAAGTACAAAATATTAATAAATTTGTGTTGCTAGTTATTGTTAGCAATCTAATTTCTGTGTTGGAATGAAATCTCACTTGGAGTCTAAACTTGTAGATCGCTATGCAAAAACATTAGCCGGTAAACTAGAGTAATTAGTTTATCCTGCAAACTGATCTGCTGCAGTTTAATGAGACTTCATAGTCTGAGGCTCATCAATATTAACAGAGCTGCTGAAATCCTCTTTATTTCATGTCAGGAGTTCCTGTTTAACGTTATGTTAATTGTATTATTGTTTTAAGATCACATTAACTTTCATAATATTTTTTTTCATCAATTGGAGTAAATTAAACATAATTTGCTGTTTCCTCTTGCAGCTCATTCTCCTTGAGTTCAGCTGTAAATACTGGAGTATTCCCATCAGTCTACAAGTGAAGACGAGCATCAGACCATCAGGAAGAAGAGAAATCTGCAAAGACAGAGTTTATTGAAGGACAGTGAGAAGATGAGTGATCCAGAACCCTGCAGAATTAAACAGGAAGAGTCTGAAGAACTAATAGGTTTGTGTTTATTCATTATTAAGATCTCCATCAGGTTGTTCTTTTTCAGTTTAAAGTAATGTGACTTGATTTAAACATATCAGGACTCAACTTGTTTAGAGTGAACCCCTGACTTGATGAGAGCTTGATTTGTCTGAACTGTGGCTTTAGATTTGATGGTGAAAGACTTGACACTTGCTCGGACTTGACCATGTGTGTCTTGTCCCCTTTTCTGCAATAAAAGACCAGACAGTTAATGATGTGTGGAACCACAATCTGCAGCAGGGGTTGACTGGCCGCTTAAAATCTAACTTATTTACTTCATTTCCAGATGTGAAGGAGGAGAGTGAAGATGAGGAGAAACATCAGGTCAAAAGTGTAGAAAAAACTCCATCAGAGACTAAACAAAGTATTTTAGTGGGAAGTGCAGCTGTTAAAGGTTCGACCTGCACTCAGTGTGGAAAGAGTTTCAGGTATAAATATGATCTCAGTCGTCACATGAGGATCCACACTGGAGAGAAACCTTACCAGTGTTCACACTGCGACAAAAGATTCAGCGATTCAGGGTGCCTGAAATCACACGAGAGGATTCACTCTGGAGAGAAACCGTATCGCTGCACTGATTGTGGGAAGAGTTTCAGACATTTGTCTTCTCTAGGAAGACACGCACGAATCTTTCACAGTGAGTAAAAGATCCAGCCCTTCTAGATTTCATGTTTTCCTTTATCTTTGGAGTGTGACGAGCTGTTTATGTTTATCTAAGGTCTGTAAGATTTCTCGCTCACGTTTCGATTTACTAACAATGAAATGAACGTGAGAATGTGCGTTGGTCCGTGCTAACTTCATGCCTGGCGTACGTGCATTTCTTGTGTGTGTTTGTTTTATTTTCATCTGCGACTCCTAGAGGCAGTTGTGTTAAATTGCACACTACAAAGTATCTTTGGGGCGTGCAATGGCAGCTGTATGAGACGGGATCATCCGCATGTCTAGCAGGTATATAAGGTTTCCATACCATGCAGTTGACCAGCCAAATATTAAAGCGCAATTTGCAGCGATCGCCGATTTTCCAATGTAATCCGAGCGATCGACTGCACACACATTGCTATAAAGGCGCCATCTGAAGACGAATTTGCATATGTAAATCAGAAACATTTCCATTTAATAAATGTACAAATAATATGATGCTCAAATGCGCTTAACATAATACACACACTTATTAATGATTCCTACTTGTCTTCCTCGTGATGAAGAGAAGGCAAAATCTGCTATGTAGTGGGGGAAAAAGAAGATTGAGTTGTGTGGGATTCGCCGTACGCAGTGTGTCATACATCTGAATTTTCTACTGCGTACTCACATTTACAGCTTTGTCCGTACGCAATGTTTTAGTATGATTTCAGCGCAAGTCTTTGTACATGAGGCCCCAGGTCACTCTGATCAGCTTGTGTTTCCACTGCCAACAGCACCGTTACTTTGCAGTCGTGGTGTTTGCAAGAATATTCAACGTCATTCTCGACTGAAAGAAAGCTTTTAAGACGTTCACACATTGTATCATTTGTCAGCTGAAGTGGTGGCAGAAATTGATGGCTCTCTAATAGCTGTGATAAGTGTTGGGAATATGGATTATATAGATATGTAGTATAGTTCGTTGTTGTAGAGGGAAGAAGACAGGGGGTCCGTTCTTCGTACGTGGATTACTCAGTTAGCTGGATTTGGATATTGACGATTTGACACGATCCAGGATCTTTTCGTTCTTCAAAGCTGATCCGAGAGTTGTTGTCATGGCAACAGTTCTGCTAGCTCAAACCTGATCGGGAGCAGGTTCAATTCATATAAACAGGATTAGATCGGCTCAGTTCAAGCAAAGATGATACAGAAAGTATGTACCGAGTTCTGATATTTTCTTATAGTTAAAGTTATATACACTTGGGAAAATAGTAGATTTTAACTATATATATAAAGTTATAGTCATTAATAAAATAAATAAAGTTTTACATATTAATAAAATGTATGCAATCTGCACCCTCGAAATGAAAGTACAAAGACTGCCACCTGGTGGTGCAAAGAGAAAACTTATTGATATTAACTTTTTAGATCGCTTTAGTACAAATTGTGTATAATAGAAATGCACAATATGTGACTTTTTTTAAAAGCAATAATACATAGAACTAAACACATTGATTTGCATTGAAATACATGATGAATACTCTTGTCTTGACAAATGAAAGTGTAAAGCCTGCAGCTCACAACAAATGTGAAGTTATTGCGTGTCATATTTATCAAGCCGTTTACTGCTAATTTGATGTAATTTTGCTCACATGGATAATTGAATATTAATCAGATGATGTCATTACGCTGCTGTGCCGTCAGCCAATCGTTGCATTGCTGATCATGATTTCGAGGATCGATAGATCTGTCCTTAACAACACACGCCGCGATATCAGATCAGTTCATCCAGACATTCTAATCTGATTCACAAACTTGTTTGAAGAACCAAATAAGCGAGAGATCAGATATCAAGATTAAAAGATCCAGGATCTGCCAAATCATCTTAGATCATTTAAGCGAGGTACGAAGAACGGACCCAGGGTCGGCGATTCAGGTAAACAAACTGTTTTATTAATTTTATATGCCACCACACTTGTAGGTGTGTGTGTGTGTGTGTGTGTGTGTGTGTGTGTGTGTGTGTGTGTGTGTGTGTGTGTGTGTTTGTGTGTTTGTGTGTGTGTGTGTGTGTGTGTGTGTGTGTGTGTGTGTGTGTGTGTGTGTGCGTGCGTGTGCGTGCTCTCTTCTCTCGACTGCTCCTCTCGTTCCCCTTAAGAAGGGAGTCTCTCCGGCCCAATCACTAGAAAGACAGGTGTCATTTATCATTTCTGATTGACCTGCTGATTAGCCGCCGGGCTCCTAGCATGCTTTCTCCCCTTATTGGGTGTTCATCGCGCTTACCTCTCCACAGGATACCTCCAATTATTTACAGTGCTGGCCAGCTGAAGATTGCTGTGCCACCCTCGATGTAATTATAGGTCTAAAAGGCCTCAAACCCTGACTATCCTGCTGAAAAATCCAGCTTAAACCAGCCTAGGCTGGTTTAAGCTGGATTTTTCAGCAGGGTATATTCTCAAATCCATACAAATGTAGCATTGTTAGCATTAGCAATAATTGCCACAACACCTTTTGTTTAATTTTAAAGCTAACCTCCAGATTTCCTGATCATTCTCAGTGTTTTAGTGGAGATTATGGCAAGATGATTCTCTCAATGGTGTACCGCACATCTCTTTGGTGTTTAAAAAAATGAAGCCTGAGCTTCTTACTATTTCTTTTCTGACACCCAACAGTACAATAAATCATGGATCCTGCATTTCTGCTGTTTTTTAGCCGCCTCAATGCAGACGCAGCTGACAGTGATGCCAAAATGGCGTAAATGCTTTCAGTTGTTACTGTTTTGGCTCTGTTTGAGCTGAGACCGGTGTGTTATTGTATACACAAGAGGGTTTAATGCCTCTTCAACATGTAATGTCAAGGGACCGGCTCAAAAAGTGGGAAAAACATCATAAAATAATATAATTGACCATTAATTAAAATGCTCATTGACAATAATCTGATTAATCATCTGCATCCCTAATTCACATTTCTCTTTTCTGTACTTGATTTTCAGACCCGATGGTGAAGGAGGAGGAAGGTGCCAATGGTCAATATTCATGCTCTGAGTGTGGAAAGAATTTTACGCAACAATCCAGTTTAAACAGACATCAGAGGACTCACACTGGAGAGAAACCACACACATGTGATCACTGCGGCAGATCATATTTTAACCGTTCAGATTTGAAGGTCCATCTTGGAGTTCATACAAATGAGAACCCTTACTCCTGCTCTGAGTGTGGAAAGAGTTTTATTCTTCAGGTATATTTAAGAAAACATCAGAAGATTCACACCGGTGTGAGAGAGTTTGCGTGCTTTGAGTGTGGGAAGAGTTTTGTTTTACCCGGAGACTTGAAACGACACCAGAGGACTCACACTGGAGAGAAACCGTACACATGTACTCAGTGCGGGAAGAGTTTCACACAATCAGCAAACCGTAAGAAACACATGAAGATCCACACTGGAGGGAAAACCAGCTCTGTTTTATCCAAAGATGCAAATTAGATTCAGGTGCAAAACTGAAACATCACATAAAACATCTGTGAATAAAGCAGCGTTTCCATCCAACGAGACAAACAGAACTAAACCATCATGTCCTGATAAACTAGCAGCAGATATGAGACAGAAAAATGTAGTTATGTGCGATCGGAGAAGCAAATGTGAACCTTTATTATATTAAATTATTTGCGGATCAGAAGACGAAACGCAATGAACGCAATGTGTTAGCTGTTGGAGGCGGGAGATGCTTAATAGAGTTCTGGGGTCCGTTCTTCGTACCTCGCTTAAATGATCTAAGATTATTTGGCAGATCTTGGATCTGTTAATCTTGATAACTGATCTCTGGCTAATTTGGTTCTTCAAACAAGTTCGTGAATCAGATTAGAATGTCTGGATAAACTGATCTGAGATCGCTGCGTGTGTTGTGAAGGGCAGATGTATCGATCCTCGAAATCATGATCAGCAATGCAACGATTGGCTGACGGCACAGCAGCGTAATGACATCATCTGATTAATATTCAATTATCCATGTGAGCAAAATTACAACAAATTAGCAGTAAACGGTTTGTTAAATATGACACGCAATAACTTTCCACATATTTTGTGAGCTGCAGGCTTTACACTTTCATGTGTCAAGAGTATTCATCATGTATTTCAATGCAAATCAGTGTATTTAGTTCTACATTTAGAGAAGATTTTCTTTATTATAGTAGCCGTTTTTTAATCGGTGTAAAGAATAACTGGATGTTTACAAAAGCATTTTCATATTGGTAAAGGCATCTGCAACTTTTGTGAAGCATCAATCACTGGCATATTAACTATCAAAACATGTTTATGATTGCATAAATGTATTATTGCTTTAAAGAAAAGTCACATATTCTGCATTTCTATTATACACAATTTGTACTAAAGCGATCTAAAAAGTTCATATCAATAAGTTTTCTCTTTGCACCACCAGATGGCAGTCTTTATACTTCCATTTCGAGGGTGCAGATTGCATAAGTTTTATTAATATGTATAACTTTATTTTATTAATGACTATAACTTTATATATATAGTTAAAAAATGTGTACCATTTTCCCAACTGTATATAACTACTACTGTAAGAAAATATCAGAATTCGCAACATACTTTCTGTATTATCTTTGCTTGAACTGAGCCGATCTAATCCTGTTTATATGAATTGAACCTGCTCCCGATCAGGTTTGACCTAGCAGAACTGTTGCTATGACAACAACTCTCGGATCAGCTTTGAAGAACGAAACGATCCTGGATCGTGTCAAATTGTCAATATCCAAATCCAGCTAACTGAGTAATCCACGTACGAAGAACGAACCCCTGAAGGTAATAATATATTAATAATGAACCACTGTGATGACAGACTTTGGCTGAGGCCTTTTAGAAAGACCAAAACAACATTTCAGATGTTTTACAATAAGGTTTGTCCATTAATGCATCCCATCACACACATTTTAATCATCAGATCATCTGTTCAAACTAAATCACATTACATTTCTTTAATGCGCATGCTGGAGTTTAATCTCTAATTGTGTTTCCATCATAGTTTATGCCCATTTTTTCTTATCAGATCGAATGTTTATCCCACTCTACAGTAAGACTCCAACTGCATTTAATCCTGTTGCATTTTCCATCAAGCCTTTCTTTAATGCGATAATCCAAAATGCACATAGAAAACAGGAGAATGGAAACAGCTAAAGAACTTTACCTTTACACAAACATCCGATTTGATCATTGAATCTTCGTTACCAAATGTTCCAATTATTTCTAAATGAGGCATGTTCAGTCACAAAAAGCACAATAAACAATCTGCATTATAATATAGATACCAGTTGGGCAGACTTCTACAATGCAAATTAGCATTCATTATTATCGACGGCTATCATGATGGAGCATTATTTAACATCAAGTAAAAGACACTGCAGAACAGCTCACTAATAACACAACAGTCTTCATATGATAAGTTTGTATTTTTTTCTGTGGTGTTTTATGAATGAGGCCCAGTGGGAAGAGTTTTGGCCGCTCGTCTAATCTACTCAGACGAGCAGAAAACAATCAGTTTGTGTAAAACTCTTATGCAGGTTACGGATGAAGAAACGTCTTCTAAAGTTTTGACAACAGCTTCATTGTAGGATTCAGATCAGCTTATAGATGGAGTTCCTCACCAAATAACATGATTCTGAAGATTTTATTATTGTAGACATCTGTCATTTTGCTTTATGATATAATTTATATAATTATTCAAATTACAAAGCTGTGATTTCTAAAACTGCATACCAATGATGATATCCCTACTGAAAAAAAACAGCTTAAACCAGCCTAGGTTGATTGGCTGGTTTTAGCTGGCCGACCAGGCTGGTTTTAGAGGGGTTTTGGCCATTTCCAGGCTGGTTTCCAGCCATTTCCACCCTGGTCTTAGCTGGTCAGGCTGGAAAATGACAAGCTAAAACCAGCTTGACCAGCCTGGTTTAAGCTGGACATAGCTGGTTTTGGCTGGGCTCCCAACCTGGCTAGGCTGGTCAAGCTGGTCATTTTCCAGCCTGACCAGCTAAGACCAGGCTGGAATTGACTGGAAACCAGAATGGAAATGGCCAAAACCCCTCTAAAACCAGCCTGGTCGGCCAGCTAAAACCAACCAACTGGTATAAGCTGGATTTTTCAGCAGGGATATAATCATTATTATTGTTATTAGCATAAAGCAAACATTTTAAATGTTATTTTTTTATATTAATTATGTCAATGTTTTGTTAAAAACGTTTGTTTACTGAAAGTTAGTTGTTTCTACAGGAAAAGGTCGTTTTATTTTACACTGTTATGTCTGTCAGTCACGAAGGATCACGTTTGCTTTAAATTTTTACGTTTCAGATAAACAGTATTTCACCTCACTCGTGATTAAGATTGTTTACATTAGCAAATGTTTTGGCTTTTCAGTAGTTGATCTGGCGCGTTTTGTTTACGATCCTCCGTTGTTCCCGCCTCGCCGTGATGACGTCAGCACTGACGCCTTCATTCAGCGTCGAGTCTACAGAGCTGAGGTGAGTCGTTGACGCTTTTTCTCGTGTTTACACAACAATAAAACACACTTTACAGTTTATTAAAGCGACAATCTGCGACTAGTTTCTGCATTGAGTTCACCTCTATCTGTGTGTCTGCTGACCAAAACAATACAGCAGGCGGAGAGGAGCTCTGAGAGGACAATATGAGTGAATGTGTTTGTTGTATCGCAAAATATGATGTGAGGAGGGAAATTATGTGAATCTACTGAAATATGAGTTTGAAGTATAATATAATAATAAAAAGTATTTATAATTTTTAATAAATAAAATATAGATAAATTTGTGTTGCTAGTTAGTGTTAGCAATCTTATTTCTGTGTTGGATTGAGATCTAATTTGGAGTCTAAACTTAACTAAAACTTAAAACTTAAGCTAAACAGCCGGTAAACTAGAGTAATTAGTTTATCCTGCAAACACTTAATATAAATTAACCTGATCTGCTGCTGTTTAATGAGTGTTTATAGTCTGAGGCTCATCAATATTATCAGAGCTTCTTAAATCCTCCTTATTTCATGTCAACAGTTCCTGTTTTTACGTTATTAAAAATACTAATGTCTTAAAATCACATTAACTTTCATAATGGTTTATTTTATCAATCAGATTAAATTAAGCAGATATGTCTGTTTTTTTTTTTCATTTGCAGCTCATCCTCTTTCAGTTCAGCTGTAAATACTGGAAGATTGCCATCAGTCTACAAGTGAAGACGAGCATCAGGAAGAAGAGAAATCTGCAAAGACAGAGTTTATTGAAGGACAGTGAGAAGATGAGTGATCCAGAACCCTGCAGAATTAAACAGGAAGAGACTGAAGAACTAATAGGTTTGTGTTTATTCATTATTAAGATCTCCATCAGGTTGTTCTTTTTCAGTTTAAAAATAAATATGTGTTTTAAAAAGTCAGCTCTCTGAGCAATATGACTTGATTCAAACATATCAGAACTTGACCTGTTTAGAGTGAACTCCTGACTTGATGAGAGCTTGATTTGTCTGAACTGTGGAGTTAGATTTGATGGTGAATAACTTGAGACTTGCTCTGACTTGACCACGTGTGTCTTGTCCTCGTCTCTGTTAAAAATTACCAGACTGTGAATGATGATCCACAAACTACAGCAGGGGTTGCCTAGCCTCTCAAAATCTAACTTATTTACTTCATTTTCAGATGTGAAGGAGGAGAGTGAAGAACTGAGTGAAGATGAAGAGAAACATCAGGTCAAAAGTGAAGAAGAAACTCAATCAGAGCCTGAACAAAGTATTTTAGTGGAAAGAACAGCTGTTAAAGGTTCGACCTGCACTCAGTGTGGATACACTTTCAGGCATAAAAATGATCTCAGTCGTCACAAGAGGATCCACACTGGAGAGAAACCTTACAAGTGTTCACACTGCGACAAGAGATTCAGCGATTCAGGACGCCGGAAATCACACGAGAGGATTCACTCTGGAGAGCGACCATTTCACTGCACTGATTGTGGGAACAGTTTCAGACATAAATCTTCTCTGCGAAGACACACACAAATCTTTCACAGTAAGTAAAAGATCCAGCCCTTCTAGATTTGATATTTGTGCCTTGGAGTGTGACGAGCTGTTTATGTAAGTGTAATGAAGTTCATGGCCCTTTGGCCGCCAGAAAGAAGGAGGTGGAGAACCAACACAGTTTTTAAATGATTTATTAATAACAGTGACGGTGGTCTAAACCAAAACAAACTGAAAGCAAAAGTAAAATGCCCGGGCCCGGTCCTCTCTCGGCTTCCTCTGCCATCGTTCCTCCTTTTATGGTCCACAGCTCCTTCCGTGGGATCCGAGGCAGGTGCGCACCGCAGGTGTATCCACTTACGCGGTGGCCTCACTCCGTTCCCACGGCTCTCGGCCACGCCCCCTCGCCACAGTAAGATCTGTAAAGTCACAGAGACTAATGTCTCGTTTCCACTGAGCAGTTCATTTCAGTTCAGGTCACCCTGATCAGCTTGTGTTTCCACTGCCAACAGCTCCATCACTTAGCGGTTGTGGTGTTTGCAAAAATGTTCAACGTCATTCTCACATGAAGAAAGCTTTTCGGCCACTCATATATTGCATCGTTTGTGAGTTGAAATGGTTACAGAAATTGATGTCGCTCTAGTAGCTGTGTTAAGTGTTAGGAATTTGGATTATCCGGATACCTCCAATCATTTTAAGGGTTTGTTAGCTCGTTGTGCCACCCACGATGTAATTAAAGGTCTAAAAAGCCTCAAACCCTAAAGGCCCGTCCACATCGTGGCGCTTTTTGCTCGTGTTTTCTTTGTATGTTTAACACCTTGAGAGTAAATAAAAGCCAATGTGATCGTGCACACCCACACGCAGAACGCCAAGCATAAAAGCGTCATTTTTAAAGAAACGCCTCATGCTCTTTTTTTTTTTTTTTTTTTTTTTTTTTTTTTTTTTTGATGTGCCACGTAGGGTTGTAACGGTATGAATTTTTTACGGTATGATAATCGTAAAAAACAATACCACGGATTGACGGTTTCGCGGTATACGGTATTAAATAGTAATTCTCATAGCAAAGACCCTGAAAAGAATAAGAACACGTTTTCTGACTGAACAAAGGTTTTTCTATGGGGGAAAAAAATGCATTTATTTACTGACAATGTATTTGCTCAAAAGGTCTGGGAATGAACTAAACAGAAAAAAGTGTTACAAAATAACAGAACAGTGAAGCAAATTTGACTTTTTCCAAATGATATATTTTCAGTTACTATAAACAACACCACTTACAATAAACAAATAAAAAAAAATAAGAAAATAATAAATAATGTGTCAAAGTCCAAATAAACATGGTGCAAATCCTCAGTAAAAAATGGATATAAATATTTACTATACTATAAATAGTTACATAACGAAACTAGATTCAATATGGAACATCCTTAGGTTTTATGTGCCAGCATGGATATGGTTGTCTGTGGATATGGATTTGGATATGGTTGTCTGCAATGCAGACAAACAGCTGCACCTTCATTTGCGTCTTTTGAAAACAGCAAGAGCAGCAGTTCGTCTTTGCTGTGTCACTGTTTTGTCATGTTTCTGTGCTGCTGTGCATGCAAAAGTACTTAGTATGAGAATTATTTCATGCAAAACTTTTTTTTTGCGTTTTATTTAGCCGCGCATAAATGTATGCCTATCTCTCATTCCGTGTTGTTCAAAAAGCTTGGTCCACAAACAAAAGCGAAACCTATGCTTATTGGTTGTGATATAGCGAGTTTGAACCAATCTGGGCATGGAGGAGGGACAATGCATCAATGTATCGTGTCTGGTTTGTCCGGAGACACAGTGACGAGCGTTTCTTTGTCAAATCAGCGTTGTCAAATGTTGATGACGTAACCGCACTGATTCCGGAGCCTCTGAAAGTCTGCAAATGTTATGTGATACAGCACTGGAAAGCTGAGATTCTCTTCTTTATGCCAATCTTTGAATTGTATGAATGGGATCAGCGGATCAAAAGTTATTAAACATTTAAGAGCAATACTTATTTTTAGCCGCGGGCGGCTGTCTCGGTCTTTAAGGGTTAAAACCGTTGATATGCAATTGTTCATGGTATGATAATCGTGCACGTACAAATCGTGGTAAACCGTCATACCGGTATATTGTTACAACCCTAGCGCCACGCCAAAACCTTCTCCACCAATCAGATTGGCTCATTGTTAACATGAATGCTTGTAATATAATGTTGGTCTAGTTTTAATGGCAATACTACTTTTCAATAGATATCCACACAGGGAACAGTGTATTAGCGAGCACCACCATGTTCTATGGTAATTTAAAGAAGAAAAAGACAGAACTGGCTCTTCCTGCAGATGAAACTGAGGGTGAGATGAGTTTTAGTGACCATGAGAATGATGCAGACTGGACATTTGATAGAGAAAGTTCAGGTAGGTTAGCTCAGATGCAGATAAGACAGGCGTAGTATAGTATATAGTATAATATATATAAACAATGTTAGCTAGCAGCGTAACATTATTCTGATGCATCTGGATATACTAGACTTGTTATTTATTTGTTATAATATTTACTGAAGAAAATAGTTATATTTACTGTATGTTGTATATATGATAATACAATACTATAATTGATCTCAATGATATTCAGTAAAAAAGCTGTTGGAATATGAGTTGTGGTAAATTATGTATAAGGGGTCATTTTTAAGTTCTGTGGTAAAGCTCATAATGCTGCAACACCAATTAAATTATTTCAAACAAAAAAAAATTAATTATAAGTAAAATTTGAAATTTTTAGGTAGATCCACTGTTGGACGTTGTTGACATACGTCAACATATCATAAAGTAACTTTTTTTTTTTTATCATAATGCGTGCGGTAGGGGGTAATGTTTTGGCTCTGTTTGAGCTGAGACAGGTGTGTTATTGACCACACAGTGGGGTTTAATGCATCTCCCACATGTAATGTCAAGAGACCGACTCGAAAAGTGGGAAAAACATCATAAAATAAAATAATTGACCATTAATTAAAATGTTCCTTGACAATTAATCTGTCACTGATTAATCATCTGCATCCCTATCTCACATTTCTCTTTTCTGTACTTAATTTTCAGACCCGATGGTGGAGGGGATGAATAAAAATGTCCGTTGTCAATATTCCTGCTCTTTGTGTGGAAAGAGTTTTAGGCATCAAGCATGTTTCTGGAGACATAAGAAGATTCACACTGGAGAGAGACCGCACACATGTGCTCAGTGTGGGAAAAGTTTTGTACAATCATCATACCTTAAAAAACACCTGCAAATCCACACTGGAGTGAAACCACACGCATGTGATCAATGCAGCAAATCATTTTTTACCCGTTCAGATTTGAAGAAACATCTTGCACTTCATACGAACGAGAAGCCGTACTCCTGCTCTGAGTGTGGAAAGAGTTTTATTCTTCAGGCATATTTAAGAAAACATCAGAAGATTCACACCGGTGTGAGAGAGTTTGCATGCTTTGAGTGTGGGAGGGGTTTTATTATACCTGGAGACTTGAAACGACACCAGAGGACTCACACTGGAGAGAAACCTTACCAGTGTTCACAATGCGAAAAGAGATTCAGTCAGTTACATATCCTGAAAATACACCAGAGGACTCACACTGGAGAGAGACCGTACACATGTACTCAGTGCGGGAAGAGTTTCACACACTCATCAAACCTTAATACACACATGAAGATCCACACTGGAGGGAAAACCAGCCCTGTTTCTATCTAAAGATGCAAATTAGATTCATGTGCAAAAGTGAAACATCACATAAAACATCTGTGAATAAAGCAGCGTTTCCATCCAATGAGTCAAACAGAACTAAACCATCATGTCCTGATACACTAGCAGCAAATATCAGACAGAAAAATGTAGTTATGTGCGGACGGAGAAGCCAATGTGCACCTTTATTATATTAAATTACTTGCGGATCAGAAGACGAAATGCAATGAACGCAATGTGTTGGCTGTTGGAGATGCTCAAGAGAGTTCTGAAGGTAATACTATAATAATAATGAACCACTGTGATGACAGACTTTAGCTGAGGCGTTTTGGAAAGACCAAAACAACATTTCAGATGTTTTACAATGTGGTTTGTCATCTAAAACATCGTGCCAATAGTGTGACGCATTCATGTGTTCTGACCAGGGCTTAATTAACATAATTAAGCACATTATCAAAATGCAGAGCTCATGTTTTTATGTAAAATTTTCTTAAGCATATTTATCACCTGTAATTGTTCATTTTTATTCATTAGAGGTTTTTCAGCATGTTCAGTTTGTGTCTGTTCAGGAAAGAGAATCTTTACAGTTTTAAGATTAAAAACTGAGATTTATTGAACTTCGTTATTTCTAAAACTGGATAACAACTGTGATAAATGATCATTATTTCATTAACATTACCTTCTAGCAGACATGTATAAATACTAATTTTTATTAATCATCTTTTAATATTTTGTTAAAAAACGTTTGTTTACTGAAAGTGAGTTGTTAATTATGAAAAAGATGATTTTATTTTATAATCTTATTTCTGTCAGCCATGAAGGATCACGTTTGTTCTTCATTTAGCTACTTTTAAAGTGAAATAAACAGTATTTCGCCTTATGATTAAGATTTTTGTCCTCATTACTAGTAAATGTTTTGGCTTCTCAATAGTTGATTTGGAGCGTTTGTTTACGATCCTCTGTTGCGGCCGCCTCGCCGTAATGACGTCACTACTGACGCCTTCATTCAGCGTCGAGTCTTCAGAGCTGAGGTGAGTCGTTGACGCTTTTTCTCGTGTTTACACAACAATAAAACACATTTTACAGTTTATTAAAGCGACAATCTGCGACTAGTTTTTGCATTGAGTTCACCTCTATCTGTGTGTCTGCTGACCACAACAATACAGCAGGTAGAGAGGAGCTCTGAGATGTGTGTTGGAGTGTTCCCACTGTTTGTTATATCTCGAAGTATAATATGAGGAGAGAAATAATGGGACCCATATGAGTTTTTTGTAGCACAAAGTATTTACAAGTTTGTGTTTTGCTAGTTTGTGTTAGCGATATAATTTCTGTGTTTGAATAAACCTATGTTCTAACTATATAGATTGCTATGAAAAAAACTTGATAAATTCCTGGTATGTGGTATTTCATATCAATAGCTCTTGTTTTTACCTGAGTTATACCGATGACTTCAGATCTACACATTGGCACATAGCTTTATTATCATTTATTTCGTCAATCAGTGTAAACTAAGCAATTTTTTGTTTCCTATTTAGAAGCTCGTCCTTCTTCAGTTCAGCTGTAAATACTGGAGTATTTCCATCAGTCTACAAGTGAAGACGAGCATCAGACCATCAGGAAGAAGAGAAATCTGCAAAGACAGAGTTTATTGAAGGACAGTGAGAAGATGAGTGATCCAGAACCCTGCAGAATTAAACAGGAAGACACTGAAGAACTAATAGGTTTGTGTTTATTCATTACTCTTTAAAATTGAGGCCGAACAGTAAGATTGGGAATCTTTTAAGTCTGCATATATTTTGGTCAATTTTTATTATTATTTGGTTATGAAAAAAAATGTAAAACAAGCCTTTTTTTGTTTACGTTTTAAAATTCAAAAATTAAAATAGAAATATGAGGCGTCTTTCTTTTTTATGATTTTCATTTTGTATTTCAAATGACAAAAAAAATTATATCACCAGTAATATTGACTCATTTACGGTGATGAAATGTTGCCACACACAGACTACCACAGCAATTTATTTTGTTAAATTATGTTATAAAAAGGTATGTGATAACTGGATTTTGTTATGAGATAAATCTCATTAAAACAACATATTTCTTGTATAACAGCAGGTTATATACAGTTGATGTCAGAATTATTAGCCTCCTTTATTTATTTTTCTTTTTTAAATATTTCCCAACAGAGCAAGGAAATTTTCACAGTATGTCTGATAATAGTCTGATAATATTTTTTCTTCTGGATAAAGTCTTATTTGTGTTATTTCTCCTAGAATAAAAGCAGTTTTTAATTTTTTATGAACCATTTTAAGGTCTGTATTATTAGCCCCTTTAAGCGTTTTTTTATGTTCTACATAAAAAAAAAACATCGTTATACAATAACTTGCCTAATGACCCTAACCTGCCTAGTTACCCTAATTACCCTAGTTAAGCCTTTAAATGTCACTTTAAGCTGTATAGAAGTGTCTTGAAGTTTATCTAGTCAAATATTATTTACAGTCATCATGGCAAAGATAAAATAAATCAGTTATTAGAAACGAGTTATTAAAACTATTATGTTTAGAAATGTGTTGAAAATATCTCTCCATCTCTCCGCTAAACAGAAATTGGGGGAAAAATAAACAGGAGGGCTGATAAATCAGGGGGCTAAAAATTCGGACTCCAACTGTATGTTGTAGGGATAGTTTACAGTTTAACCCAAAGAATGAGCAGTCTGGTAGATGAAGAAGAGCCGGAGTCAGAGATTTAAATAAATAAATCAAGTTTACTGAAGACAGTTTGCAGTTTCATCCGCAGAAGCCAGCTTCAACACTCACAATGAGTTCCTAGGCCGCTCTGCTTACAATCACCAATCAATAACAATTATACTCTCACATAACGTCATTAACTGCGTCATACATATAGGTGTTCTAGCCTGATTGGTTAAAACACAGATAGACTAGGAACATTTCCACGTGAGGTTCGTGCGTACAATTCTGAACAATATCTAAACATAAACGTCAGACACCCTTTAGACTGATTAGAGCTGACTCCAGACCTGTGAAATGGATCAACAATCAAATACAACACACACACTTTAAGTATAATCTGTTTCTTATCCAAGGCTGAGTGTACTGTCAGCCGTCTTTATCAAAACTGGTTAAAAACTGGTATAATCTACATTCAGGCAGTTATATTCTTACTACACAAAGTCTATCTTGAATAAAAAGTAGAATCACTTTAAAAGATTTAACCGTAAAACTATAGCAAAATCACTTTAGACATTTTAGACAGTATTAACTCCTAGAAATAACAATAGAAACAGTTGTTTCCAGTCCTCAGTTCCACTCAAGATGTCCATGACCTCTGACCTAGTTTGCTGGCTCCTGAAAATAGGTATAAAGAGACAGGCAAATGCACTGAACATTCTTATATTAAGCAATGTGTTAACTTACTCATTAATTCAAATCAATTCACAGTTAAATACTGAGAAACAGGATGATGAAAAGGATAAACGTTGGTCCATGATGAGACGGACTGGAAAGCAGAAATCCGAATCCTTCAATGTATTCTGTGTTGGATGCTTTTATTTATACAGCGGCCCCATGGCATCAAAGAAGGAAGCAGAGAGTTTTCACTGATGCATGCACAGGGATTTATTTGTCCAAAAGCAATAATCCTCTTGAGACTGTATGAAACGCTGAATATGCTTCACTTATTTCTTGTCAACGTGTTGCCTATTGCACCGCAAAACTACGCAAAACCAAAAAAAAACAGTGTAAGCAATCATAAGAACGTGAAGCATAATATATTTATATTCACAATGTAAACCATATACATAGAGCATAACACGTATAAGAACGCAAAGCAAAGATCAATAATTACCACTAAAAGCACTAATATACAAACATACATCGCTCCGCTTTGCCATAAACGAGGAAACTAAATAACCTTTATCTTTTTTTATAACTAGAATCTGCTGTTCATAGCTGTGTCTCGAGCATGATGTAACAAAAGACAACCTGTGCACATTCTGACGCAAAACTACTAAGCCCAAAATCACTAAGCAACTTACAGGCTGTTGCCCTCTAGAGGTGGCTTAAAGATAGGTAGGAACCCCCCTAAGCAGGGCTGAGCCTGGTCAGTATCTGGATGGGAGACCTCATGAGAAAGCTAGGTTTCTGCAAGTGGTGCTCGCTGCAGAGCCATTTAAGGAGAGCTGAGCTCCAGCGAGGGGGAGCTTAAGCTTGAGCTCCACCTTTTTTGCACTTCTTCTACGAGTGATGTCACTGGGGGTAGGGTTAGGGGTGGGGTTGGTGTACGCATTAAAATAGCTTACAGGAGGCAGAACGAGAGCTCATGCTCCCCCTCGCTGGAGCTCAGCTCTGCTCAAATGGCTCTGCAGCGAGCACCCTCTCGGTTTCTGTGAGAAAAATGGTGTTAGTGAGGCCAGCAGGGGGCGCTCAACATGCCGTCTGTGTGGGTCCTAATGCCCCAGTATAGTGAAGGGGACACTATACTGCCAGTGAGCGCCATCTTTCACTGCAAAAAATGCTTTTCTTGTTTAGATTTTATGTCTTGTTTCTAGTCTAAATATCTAAAATTTCTTATATCAAGAAGAATTTTCTTGATGAGCAAAACATATTGTCTTGTTTTGAGAAATAATATGCCAATATTAAGTGTTAATATTAAGTTTATATTAAGTGAGTTTTTCCTTAAAATAAGCAAACCAATCTTGTTTTTTCTTTTGATGTAAGATTATTTTGCTTACCCCATTGGCAGATTATTTTGCTTGTTTTAAGGAAAAACTCTCTTAATATTGGCATATTATTTCTCAAAACAAGACTATTTGTTTTGCTTGTGTAGAAAATTCTTCTTGATTTAGGAATTTTTAGATATTTGGACTAGAAACAAGACAAAAAATCTAAGTAAGAAAAGCATTTTTTGCAGTGTTGGATGAGACGTTAAAGCGGGGTCCTGACTGTCTGTGGGCATTAGAAATCTCATGGCACTTCTCGTAAAGAGTAGAGGTGTAACCCAGTGTGCTGGCCAAATTCCCTCCATCAGCCCTTACCCATCATGGCCTCCCAATCATCTCCACCCACCAAATTGACTCTATTACCGCCTCTACATTCCATCTATAGCTGGTGTGAGGTGAGCGCACTGGCACCATTGTTTTGTGGTTGCTGTTGTATCATCCAAGTGGATGCTGCACACTGGTGGTGGAGTGTAGAGGACCCTCCCCCCCTCATGATTGTCAAGCACTTTGGGTGTATGGCCATACACAATAAATGCGCTAAATAAATAACCATTGCATTTGACTAAACTGTTTTACAGAGTGCTGATGAAAGACTTGCTTGGACTTGACCATGTGTGACTTTTCCTCCTCTCTGCTATTTATTACCAGATTGAATGTATCCACATCTTCAGCAGAGGCTGACTAGCCTTTTAAAATCTAACCTATTAACTTCATTTTCAGATGTGAAGGAGGAGAGTGAAGAACTGAGTGAAGATGTGGAGAAACATCAGGTCAAAAGTGAAGAAAAAACTCAATCAGAGACTGAACACTGTATTTTAATGGACAAAACAGCCATAAACGATTTGACCTGCACTCAGTGTGGAAAGAGTTTCAAGCGTAAAAACACTCTGAATCATCACATGATGATCCACACTGGAGAGAAACCCTACAAGTGTTCACACTGCGACAAGAGATTCAGGGATTTGGGAAACCTGAAAACACATGAGAGGATTCACACTGGAGAGGAACCGTATTGCTGCACTGATTGCGGGAAGAGTTTCAGACATTTATCTTCTCTACGAAGACACACACAAATCTTTCACAGTAAGTAAAAGATCCAGCCCTTCTAGCTCGTATTGTCCAGGACAGTGGTTCTCAAACTTTTTTCATCAAGTACCACCTCAGAAAAAAATGGTCTCTCCAAATACCACTATAATGAGCAGTGTTGAAATACAGTGGCGTAGTAGGCCCAGTAAAGCAGCTACAGCTATGCACAGTTCTAAAAGGTGGCAGATTAAATCCTATTATTAGGCCCACATGGAATCTGTGCGCGCAGAATTCCGCAGATTTTCCGCAGATTTCTGGAGATTTTTAGCCCATTATTAATTCTATTTATTTACTTCAATAAATGTGTAAATATGAATATTCAGTTTTTATTCAGTAATTTATTACTTTTTATTTAATATATTAAGATTTTAGATATGATACTCAGTTGGATACTCCCAAAATAATTCCACAGAAATCCGCAGATTTTTACCAAAATTCTCAGCAGAAATAGCAAAAAACATTAGCAGGTTCCTTCTGGCCCTGCCTATTATTAAGAATATTTATTATTGTCAGCCATTTGAAACATTATAAATAGTCTGAACATTAACACTGTAGTGTATTGTGCTTATATGTAAAAAAAAAAAAAAAAAAACCAACAAACTAAAAATGTCAACATTTAAAATTAAAATGTGCTTTTAAATGTTAAAAATGGTAGGTTAATGTTTGTAAAAATAAAAAGAAAAGTGCTGTAGTTAAATGTAAAGTATTAACATTTAGGCCCCGTTTATAGTAATGCGTTTTCATTTTAAAACGCATAAGTTTTGCTACGGTTACGCCATCCGTCCACACTACGCCGGAGTTCTCGAGCGCAGAAAACGGAGCGTTTTCATTCTGAAACGCTGCTGCTCCGTCCCAGTGTGGATGCGAAAAAACGGAGACGGAACTGCTGAGATTCGCTACCTGATTGGGGTCTTTGTGTCATTGCGTATCCTTCCCTTATTCGTCAAGCCCCTATCACATGACTATAACACATGGCTTTAACGCTACCGGAAAACAGTACTGTAAACAACAACATGGACACAGAAATGGGAGCGTTGTTTGCACTATTGTCTGTTTTAGGTGCCATTGTGCAGTTATTCATTTGTTACGTTTAGTAACAACTCAACCTCGTCGTCTGTCCACAAAAACACCTCTCTTGCTTTCTTTGCCATCGTGTTTAATGTCCAACCGGCGTCTGTTGACCAACAATAACCAAATGCGGAGTGAGACGCATGCTTCCTGTTTATACTAGAACACGCATGCCCAGAGTGCGCGAATGGTCACGTGATATACGTTTTTGGTGGCGTAGTGTGGACAGAAATATGTTCAGAAACACTAGGTGAAACGCTAGTGTGGACGCGGATCATTTTTGATCTAAAACACCGTTTTAAAACTAAAACACACTAGTGTAAACGGGGCCTTAGTAGCCAATTCATGAACACCTAGAAATGTTGCCTGGACCTCAGAAATGTAGGCTATATATATATATCCTATAATAAATATTATTATATGTCTTATTTATATATAAATCATTTTTGATCAATTTTGAAATATATGGAGCAAATACATATGACACATTAAATCTCCATGTACCACAAGAAGGAAGCCTGCGTACCACTAGTGGTACACGTACCACAGTTTGAGAACCACTGGTCTAGGATAAATTTGGAGTAGATAACATATTTAAAGGAGTCATATGATGTGATTTCAAGTTTTCTTTTGTCTGTGGAGTGTGACGAGCTGTTTATGTTTATATAAGATTTGTAAAGTTGCAAAGACTAAGGTCTCATTTCACTGAGCAGTTCAGTACGGTTTGGATCAGGTCACCCTGATCAGTTTGTGTTAGGGATGTAACAATATTGTAAATACCTTCATACCGCAATAGTAATTTTTTTCAATATTACCGTAGGCGCATGACTCAATAAAACTATATTTCTGATAAAAGTTTGCTCAGGCGAATGAAGCGAACGGGAGGTAGCGGGAACTACAATTCCCATCAGCCCAGGCGTGGCCATCATCCTTTGCAGTCTGTTGTCACTACAGATCCAGTAATGCGGAAATGGAGTGGGTTGATAGTAGCGGGGATGAAAAAGAGCTGGAAATGATCGAACCTAAATTTTAAATCGGATGTGTGGAAGCATTTCGGTTTTTTTCTAAAAAGATATGAAAAAGGAGAAAAGGTGACAGACAAAGAAAAAAACAGTATGCAGGCACTGCCAGACTGTGGTGAAATATAAGTCGGGGAATACGGCTAAAAACAGTCATGGGGACTGCAGAACACAGCACACTTGTTAGATTGATGCAGACATTGACTTGTACCGCAAAGAGACCTCTATCTCACTCATGGCTTGTCCTCTCAAGTGGTGGAAAGACAAAACCATTGCTGTTATCCTTGGCTAAATCATATCTCAATGTCCCAGAAACCTCAGTCCCAAATGAGAGGGTTTTCTGTTGCAGGGGACATGCCCAGAGATCCCAGCTTTTCCCAGATTATGGTTATATGGTAATTTTCCTCAAAAACCCATCTCTATTTAAGTGAGTGAGTGATTAAATGTTGAATGTGATGAGTTTTTCAACAATACTAAATTGAAACTTTATTTTTTTAATATGATTTAATAGTTTTTTGTTAATAAAATTGAAAAATTGAAGTTCCTGTTTTAAAACTTACAGATAGATGGCTGATTTGTATGTCATTGATATGTTCAGTGCTAAGGCAAATAAACACTTTTGGCATTTTTTTCGAGTCTTTTCATTAGTTTTGTTTTTCCTGTAAATTATTCAATAAATACCGTACCGTGCCTTTCATACCGAGGTATTACCGTACCGTGAAATTCTTATACCGTTACATCCCTAGTTTGTGTTTCCACTGCCAACAGCACATTTAGTCACACATTGCATCATTTGTTAGCTAAAGTGGTGGACAGTGACAGTGACGCCAAAATGGCGTAATCGCTTTCTGTTAGGGATGTAACGGTATTGTAAATACCGTCATACCGCAATATTAATTTTATTCGATATTATCGTAGTTGCATGACTCGGTAAAACTATAGGTCTTCTGAGAAAATTTGCTCAGGCGAATGAAGCGAACGGGAGGTACCGGAAACTACAATTCCCATCAGCCCAGGGGTGGCCATCATCCCTTGCGGTCTGTTGTCGCTACAGATCCAGAAATGCGGAAATGGAGTGTGCTGCTAGAAGCGGGGATGAAAAAGAGCTGGAAAACCCTAAAGCGGGTGTTGTCGCCGCGCGCGTACTGAATAGCGGTGTTGTCGCGCGAGTTCTTATCAGCTGTGTTGTCGCGCGAGTTCTGATCAGCTGTGTTGTCGCGCGCGTTCTGATCAGCTGTGTTGTCCCGCACTAACTGTAAAGCAAGATGGAGCGTGTGTCGCGTCGCGGGGGCACTTTTGATCATTTTGGAAGGGAACTTTCTATCCAAGACTAAAAAGGGCATGTGCACTGCACAGGTTGAGCCCTGTGTGTGCACGTGCCTGCAAGTTGGGGAATACGACTAATAATCAGTCATGGGGACTGCAGAAACACAGCACACTGTTCAGATTGATGCAGACATGAGATCTCTATCTCACTCATGGTTTGTCCTCTCAAGTGGGGGAAAGACAATGCACAACGTTACCCACTGCTGTCAACCTGGGCCAAGTCATATCTCTGTCCCAGAAACCTCAGTCCCAAATGAGAGGGTTTTTTCTGTTGCAGGGGACATTGTAAATGCCCAGAGATACCAGCTTTTACCAGATTATATTTATATGATAATTTTCCTTTAAACCCATCTCTATCTAAGTGAGTGAGTGATTAAATGTTGAATGTGATGAGTTTTCAACAATACTAAATTGAAACTTTATTTTTTTACATGGTTTAATATTTTTTTGTTATTAAAATTGAAGTTCCTGTTTCAAAGCTTACAGATAGATGACTAATTTGTATGTCATTGACACTTTTGGCACTTTTTTGGAGTATTTTCATAAGTTTTGTTTTTTCCTGTAAATGATTCAATAAATACCGTACCGTGACATTCATACCGAGGTATTACCGTACCGTGAAATTCTGATACCGTTACATCCCTACTTTCTGTTGTACTGTTTCAGCTCTGCTCAAGCTGAGATCGGTGTGTTGTTGTCCACACAGTAGGGTTTAATGCGTCTCCCACACGTAATGTCAAGAGACCGACTAGAAAAGTGTGAAAAACATTCTAAAATAATTGACCATTGATTACCATACTCATTGACAATTAATCTGTCACTGATGAATCATCTGCATCCCTATCTCACCTCTTTTAAAGTGTTTTAATTGTTTAACTTTTTTCTAAATTTTCAGACCCGATGGTGAAGAAGGAGGAAAGTGCCAGAGCTCAACATTTATGTTCTCTGTGTGGAAAGAGTTTTACGCAACAGTCAAGTTTAAGGAAACACCAGAGGATTCACACTGGAGAGAAACCACACTCATGTGCTCAGTGTGGGAAGACTTTCAGACAATCATCAACTCTTAATACACACATGAAGATCCACACTAGAGAGAAAACTACACTGCAACGACAGATGTGTCAAAAACCGACACACATGGTTGTGTTTATAGCACTCTGACACATGCTGTGCAGATTTTTAACACACAATGTGTAATTTGTTTTTGATGCCTCGCCATAGATCAGCGGTGTCCAAACTCGGTCCTGGAGGGCCCGTGTCTTGCATAGTTTAGCTCCAACACACCTGCCTGGAAGTCTGGTATACCTAGAAAGAGCTTGATTTGCTGGTTCAGGTGTGTTTTATTAGGGTTGGAACTACAATATGCAGGACACCGGCCCTCCAGCACCAAGTTTTGACACCCCTGTCATAGGTCTACACAGCACATGTTTTCTCCTGGGAGAAGGACGGTTTGCATTTGTGAAATACATCACATTTTATATGATTGACACATGAAAATCCCTCAAATATATTTTTGAATAGGGGGCTCAGTGGTTAGCACTGTCGCCTCACAGCAAGAAGGTTGCTGGTTTGAGTCCTGGCTGGGTCAGTTCGCATTTTTGTGTGGAGTTTGCATGTTCTCCCCAGGTTTGTTTCTTCTGGGTGCTCCGGTTTCCCCCCTAATTCCAAACACATGCGCTATAGGTCAGTTGATTAAGCTAAGTTGTCCATCGTGTATGAGTGTGTGGGAATGCAAGAGTGTGTGGGTGTTTCCCAGTACTGGGTTGTGGCTGGAAGGGCATCTGCTGCGTAAAATATATGCTGGATAAGTTGGCGGTTCATTCCGCTGTGGCAACCTCTGATAAATGAAGGGACTAAGCTATTAAAGGGACTATTTATTACAAATAAAAACAATTGCTATATAAACATCTGACTATATTAAATTTTTCCACCAATCATGTAATTTCTTCGCCATTTTAAATAGGGTATATGCGGAGCTAGTGTTTGTTCTCATACTAAAAAACTTCCAGTGAACGGTTCATGTGACCATTTTATACGGTTTATTTTACAGCAGCGATGTTGTAATGTCATTAAAATACAACCAGTTAAACAGACTTTGGCATTCATTGAGCTGCTCATGCGTAAAATGGGACGAAAAGCTCTTCACCCGCATGCGCCCGTCAGATTCGGCAGGTTAGTGCAGAAGCTCCATTGAATACACTGGGGTAAAATAAATGCTCATATTATAAAGACATGGCGGGGAAAATGTAATTTAATGCAGTGCTTTTTGTACAATCTGAGACCCACTTTATATCGGATATCACTCAGCCAGTGGAGATAAATTTTGCAACGGCATACAGTTAACCAGAAGCACTCAACCCAGGTCACCCTACTGAAACAACCAGCTTAAACCAGCCTAGGCTGGTTGGCTGGTTTTAGTTGGTTGACCAGCCTGGTTTTAGAGGGGTGTTGGCCATTTCCAGGCTGGTTTTCAGCCATTTACAGCCTGGTCTTAGCTGGTCAGGCTGAAAAATGACCAGCTTAATCCAGCTAAAACCAGCTTGACCAGCCTGGTTTAAGCTGGACATAGCTGGTTTTGGCTGGGCTCTCAGCCTGGCTAGGCTGGTCAAGCAGGTTTTGGCTGGATTTAAGACCAGGCTGGAAATGGCTGAACACCAGCCTGGAAATGGCCAAAACCCCTCTAAAACCAGCCTGGTCGACCAGCTAAAACCAGCCAACCAGCCTAGGTTGGTTTAAGCTGGATTTTACTGCAGGGTGACAAACCGAAAGTTCTTTAGCATACTTTGGCATTTACCCTATTGCATCTGCTATTTTTTCACTATGGCTGCCTTAAGAAGAACCATGATGGATGTTTATCAGAGAAGATGGGGAAATTATTTGGCATGTATGGAGGATGAATGAGGTCACTGTGGTGGGACACACTGCAAAAGTATAATTTTCTTACTTTATGCATTTTTTAACTATTAATCGTTTTTTGTACGTGTGCTTTTTTATTTATTGAGTTTGTATTATTTATCTGTGTTTATTTGATATATATGATAGCAGTATCTAATTACGGTAACTGAAGGGAAAGGGGATGTAAAAAAATGTATACGTGTGTAAACTGACTATACTGTTAAATTATTGAAGAAAATAAAGCAAATTTGAGGGCAACATGGTGGCTCAGTGGTTAGAACTGTCGCCTTACGGCAAGAAGGTCACTGATTTGAGTCTCGGCTGGGCCAGTTGGCATATCTGTGTGGAGTTATACTAGTTTATTAAACTTGTTCTTTGTGATTTCTAAAACTGAATACCAACGGTGATATGGATCATTATTTGATTGTTATTAGCTTCAAGTAGACATTTTTAAATGCTACTTTTTATTATTCATCTATAGTTTGTTAAAAACGTTTGTTTACTCAAAGTTAGTTGTTACTTCAGGGAAAAATCCTTTTATTTTATACTCATGTCTGTCAGCCATGAAGGATCACGTTTGTTTTTAATTTTGCTACTTTTAAAGTGCCGAATACACAGTATCTCACCTCATGGTTAAGATTTTTGTTCTCATTACTTGTAAATGTTTTGACTTCTCAATAGTTGATTTGGAGCATTTGTTTACGATCCTTTTTTTAAAAAAAAATGTATTAACAAGTACATAACTATACAATACTATACACAAAAAAATACATGCCAGAGTGTATATATATATATATATATATATATATATATATATATATATATATATATATATATATATATATATATATATAATATAAATAATAAACATTCAGTAATTGAAAATCTTATATTCCTTAAAAATATTACAAGTCTTCTTTGCTTTGTTATTAAAAATGTTTTCCAAACTTGTGCAGTAGTCCTTAGTCTCTTGAAGAAAGTGAACAAAATTTGGCTTTGATCCAGTCCATTTTTTTATGTATATGAAACTTTCCCAAAATAATAAAAAATTGTACTAGAAAGGTAATATTAAAATATTAAATGCAAATATCATTTTTTTAACTTGAACACAATATTTGTTTTCCTTCTTAGAAAATTTTCCACATCCACCCAGAAAATCCTTGTATATACAATCACAAAACATGTAGACAATAGATTCCCTTTCCATACAACAAAAATCACAGGAATAATCGATATCCAAATTAAATCTCTCCAAAACCTCTTTAACTGGATATGTACTATGTAAAATTTTAAATGTAACTTCTTTTACTTTGTTATTTATACAATATATTTCACAAGAACGTTTGTTTACAATCCTCTGTTGCGGCCGCCTCGCAGTAATGACGTCACTACTGACGCGTTCATTCAGCGTCGAGTCTTCAGAGCTGAGGTGAGTCGTTGACGCTTTTTCTCGTGTTTACACAACAATAAAACACACTTTACAGTTTATTAAAGCGACAATCTGCGACTAGTTTCTGCATTGAGTTCACCTCTATCTGTGTGTCCGCTGACCAAAACAATACAGCAGGCTGAGGGCAGCTCTGAGGAAAATAGGCGGGAATTGTGTCTGTTATATTTCGAAGTGTGATGTGAGGAGGGAAATAATGAAAATCTACTGAAATATGAGTATGAAGCACAAAATATTTATAAATTTGTGTTGCTCCATAATGTTAGCAATCTAATCTCTGTATTTCAATATTATTAAAGCTACTAAAATCCTCTATTTTATGTCAGTGGTTCCTGTTTTTACGTTATTAAATATACTAATGTCTTTAAATCACATTAACTTTAATAATGGTTTATTTCGTAAATCGGTGACGGTGTAAAATAAGCAGATATGTCTGTTTCATTTGCAGCTCATCCTCCTACAGTTCAGCTGTAAATACTGGAATAATCCCATCAGTCTACAAGTGAAGACGAGCATCAGACCATCAGGAAGAAGAGAAATCTGCAAAGACAGAGTTTATTGAAGGACAGTGAGAAGATGAGTGATCCAGAACCCTGCAGAATTAAACAGGAAGACACTGAAGAACTAATAGGTTTGTGTTTATTCATTACTCTTTAATAATGAGGCTGAACAGCAGTGAGGTTGTAAAGATTTATTAAGATCTCCATCAGTTTTTTTCTATTTCAGTTTAAAAATAAATATGTATTTATTTAATCTCTAAGTAATCTGACTTGACTCGATTTAAACATATCCGCACTCGAGTTGACCTGTTTAGAGTGAACCCCTGACTGGATGAGAGCTTGATTTGTCTGAACTGTGGCTTTAGATTTGATGGTAAAAGACTTGAGACTTGCTTGGACTTGACCACGTGTTGTCTTTTCCCCACCTCTGCTATGAACTACCGGACTATTAGTGATGTGTGTGAAACCACAAAATGCAGCAGGGCTTGACTTGCCTCTTAAAATTTAACTTATTAACTTCATTTTTTAGATGTGAAGCAGGAGAGTGAAGAACTGAATGAAGATGAGGAGAAATATCAGGTCAAACCTGAAGAAGAAACTCAATCAGAGACTGAACAAAGTATTTTAGGTGAAAGAACAGCTGTTAAAATTTCCACCTGCTCTCAGTGTGGAAAGAGTTTCAAGAACAATTACAATTTCAATCATCACATGAGGATCCACACTGAAGTGAAACCTTACAAGTGTTCACACTGCGACAAGAAGTTCGATTTGTTAGCAAGCCTGAAGCGGCACGACAGGATTCACACGGGAGAGAAACCGTACAACTGTTTACACTGCGAGAAGAGATTCAACACTTCAGGACAATTAAAAATACATGAGAGGATCCACACTGGAGAGAAACCGTACCAGTGTTCACACTGCGAGAAGAGATTCAATAACTCAGGACACCTGAAATCACATGAGAAGATTCACACCGGAGAGAAACAGTTTCGCTGCGCTGATTGTGGGATGAGTTTCAGACATTCATCTTCTCTACGAAGACACGCACAAATCTTTCACAGTAAGTAAAAATCCACAGGGCTCAAAGCTAAGGATTTTTTTACTTACCCTGCCTAAATTTTCACTGGCTCCGCAAATTTAAAAAAGGTTTAATAGCTATTTCTTAGCCACATATTTTAAATATGTCAAAAGCCAAACATAATTGTTTACAAACACTTTTCTTTAAATTAAAATTATTAGTTTTAATTTTTACTTTTAATTCTTTAAATGTAAAAAAATACAACTCTGATGAAACTTAATAAAAAAATGTAATTACACACACACACACACACACACACATATATATATATATATATATATATATATATATATATATATATATATATATATATATGTAGTTAAAGTCAG